GATCTGAAAGCCATGCCCCCAATAGGCCACACCTTTGTATTACCCAAACACAGGTTAATTTAACCATCAGTTGGGTTTTTACTCACTTTCACGCCAAGTTGACCCAGCAAATGGGTCTTTTTTAATGAAATCCATTGGTTATTTTCAGGAGGTGGGGCCTATTGGGGGCGTGGTTTCGGGTAGGTATTTTTGGCCACCCATGAGAGTAAATGTCATTCCTGTTCATGTTATTTTTTTACACTGCACACTTAACTTTCCCTTCAAATTTGTGGAGATTACATATTTTTATATACAACTAATAACATGATTATTGAAATATAAAGTGGGATACACATCGGCACTTGAAGAACTCAACTTGTGTCAGCCTCATTAAGCTACACAAAGTGTCAGTCAACCTTAACACGTGTTGACAATATCACAGAACAGATGAATTGGAATTACATTTACTCTTACGGGTGGCCTGAAATAACCATCTAAAAACCACGCCCCTACTAACCCACGCTTCCAGTCTTCTGATCTGACCCAGTGGATCATAGCTCAAGAACCCAACTAAGTGACCCAGCTGGCTGTGTAAAAAATAACCCAAAGTGTGTTCTGTCCACTATTTACCTAGCGCTGGGTTGTTTTTAACCCAGCATTTTTTATATAGTGTATGAGATATAGATGAACTATACATAGAAAGGGTGAAATAAAGAGAGAAAGAAAGGCTTTGACTCCTGAGCTCCCACCCAGAATCAAATAGAACGGTTAATGTCACACAGATGTGCACAGACAGACTGGCACCTTTAACTGGTTAGCCCCATCTGACACACACAAACACACACACGTATACACAAAAGTGCTTCACAAAAGTTTCATATCCAGTATTAATAACAGTTTATTAGGTACACCACCCCATTCACGAAAATGGTTCGCTCCTACAGACCGCGAGCCAACTGGCCGTGGCTTGCTATATAAAGCAGGCTGACAGGCATCAATGCATTCAGTTACTGTTCGATTGAATCTTATGAGTGTTCTAAGCGACTTTGCTCATGGTATGATTGTCGGTGCCAGGCGCGCCGGTTCCAGAAACGGCCGGGCTCCTGGGCTTTTCGTGCACGACAGTGTCTAGGGTTTACAGAGAATGGTGCGACAAAAAAAAAAAATCCAGTCAGCGGCAGTCCTGTGGGCGAAAACAGCACGTTGATGAGAGGTCGAAGGAGAATGGTAAGCTAACAGGCGGGCCACAAACAGGCAAATAACGGCGCATTACAACAGTGGTATACAGAACGGCATCTCAGAATGTACAACTCGTCGGTTCTTGTCACGGCTGGGCTATTGCAGCAGACAATGGGGAATGTTTTCCTGGTGCACGCTAGGTTGCTTGATAATAATTGCAAAACATGTCCATGGCCTGAATAATTCAGGCTATTCTGGAGGCAAAGAGGGGTCTGACCTGGTACTAGATGGGTGTACCCAATAAACTGTTCCTTGAAGATAACCCAAATCACCCTTTCTCAATCAAACATCCTCCGTTTTTCCAAGAGGTTTCATAGAGGTTTCACATATTTCCCACCAGGCACCATTCTATAAACAGTTCCTCATTATAGGCAGAATCCTAATTTTAGATCTATGCGTATATCTCAATTTTCCCCCTTTGACATCATTGCATGGTTTACCTTTTTAAATTATACAAAATTCTAAAGTTATGAGCGTGGAACTCAAATCAAACTTCATTTGTCACATGCTCCGAATACAACAGGTGTAGACCTTACCGTGAAATGCTTACTTATACATCCTTAACCAACAATGCAGTTCAAGAAAGAGTTAAGAAAATATTTACCAAATAAACTAAAGTAAACAATAATAAAAAGTAACACAATAAAATAACAATAACGAGGCTATATACAGGGGGTACCGGTACCGAGTCAATGTGCGGGGGTACAGGTTAGTCGAGGTAGCAGAAAGAACAGTCTATGACTTGGGTGCCTGGAGTCTTTGACAATTTTTTGGGCTTTCCTCTGACACTGCCTAGTATATAGGTCCTGAATGGCAGGAAGCTTGGCCCCAGTGATGTAATTGGCCGTACGCACTACCCTCTGTAGAGCCTTACTGTCAGATGCCGAGCAGTTGCCATACCAGGCGGTAATGCACCCGGTCAGGATGCTCTCGATTGTGCAGCTGTAGAACCTTTTGAAGATCAGGGGACCCATGCCAAATCTTTTCAGTCTCCTGAGGGGAGAAAAGGTTTTGTCGTGCCCTCTTCACGACTGTCTTGGTGTGTTTGGACCATGATAGTTTGTTGGTGATGTCGACACCAAGGAACTTGAAACTCTCGACCCGCTCCATTACAGCCCCGTCGATGTTAATGGAGGCCTGTTCGACCCGCCTTTTCCTGTAGTCCACGATCAGCTGCTTTGTCTTGCTCACATTGAGGGAGAGGTTGTTGTCCTGGAACCACACGGCCAGGTCTCTGACCTCCTCTCTATAGGTTGTCTCATCGTTGTCGGTGATCAGGCCTACCACTGTTGTGTCGTCAGCAAACTTAATGATGGTGCTGGAGTCGTGTTTGGCCAATCAGTTGTGGGTGAACAGGGAGTACAGGAGGGGACTAAGCACGCACCCCTGAGCTGTAGTCAATGAACAGCATAGCTCGTCTGATAGGCTCCCGTCACTGGGCAGCTCGCGCCTGGGTTTCCCTTTGTAGTCCGCAATAGTTTGAGTGTCAAAGCTGGTGTAGTAGGATTCAACCTGTATTGACGCTTTTTCTGTTTGATGGTTCATCTGATGGCGTAGCGGGATTTCTTGCAAGCATCTGGATTAGTGTCCTGCTCCTTGAAAGCGGCAGCTCTAGCTTTTAGCTCGATGCGGATGTTGCCTGTAATCCATGGCTTCTGGTTGGAATATGTACGTACAGTCACTGTGGGGACGACGTCGTCAATGCACTTTTTGATGAAGCCGGTGACTGAGGTAGTATACTCCTCACTGCCATTGGATGAATCCTGGAACATATTCCAGTCTGTGCTAGCAAAACAGTCCTGTAGCGTAGCATCCGCGTCATCTGACCACTTCTGTATTGAGCGAGTCACTGGTACTTCCTGCTTTAGTTTTTGCTTGTAAGCAGGAATCAAGAAGATAGAATTATGGTCAGATTTGCCAAATGGAGGACGAATGAGAGCTTTGTATGTGTCTCTGTGTGTGGAGTAAAGGTGGTCTTTTTTTTCTCTGGTTGCACATGTGACATGCTGGTAGAAATGAGGTAAAACTGATTTAAGTTTGCCTGCATTAAAGTCCCCGGCCACTAGGAGCGCCGCTTCTGGATGAGCATTTTCTTGTTTGCTTATGACCTTATACAGCTCGTTGAGTGCGGTCTTAGTGCCAGCATCGGTCTGTGGTGGTAAATAGACGGCTACGAATAATATACATGAGAACTCTCTCGGTAGATAGTGTGCTCTACAGCTTATCATAAGGTACTACCTCAGGCGAGCAATACCTCGAGACTTCTTTAATATTAGACATCGCGCAACAGCTGTTATTGACAAATACACCCACACCCCGCCCCTCGTCTTACCAGACGTAGCTTCTCTGTCCTGCCGATGCATGGAAAATCCGCCAGCTCTATATTATCCATGTTGTCGTTCAGCCACGACTCAGTGAAACATAAGATATTACAGTTTTTAATGTCCCGTTGGTAGGATATTCTTCATCGTAGATCATCAATTTATTTTTCCAATGCTTGCACGTTCGCCAATAGAACAGATGGCAGTGGAAGTTTACTCGCCTAAGAATTCTCAGAAGGCAGCCCGACCTCCGCCCCCTTTTTCTCCATCTTTTCTTCACACAAATGATGGGGATTTGGGCCTGGCCCGAGAAAGCAGTATATCCTTTGCGTCAGACTCGTTAAATAAAACAATATTCGGCCAGTGCAAGGTGAGTAATCGCGGTTCTGATGTCCAGACGTTCTTTTCGGTCATAAGAGATTGTAGCAGCAACATTATGTACACAATAAGTAAAAACATAAGTTACAAACAATGTGAAAAAACGAACAAAATACCACAGTTGGTTAGGAGCCTGTAAAACGGCAGCCATCCCCTCCGGCGCCATTATGCATATAGATACGATTTCTGGAGTCTGGGGCTCAATTCAGACATTAGTTGAACATTTTGGCACACACACAAAAAACTGTAGAGAAACATAACAAAACCTGGACCCAACCCCCAAGAAAACAGCACTGGAAAAAGAATGATCCGGAAAAGTATGACCATTCATGTTAGTTTGAGGAATTGTAAGAGGTTAATTGACCATGAATATGTACTGTAAATAAAGATTCTAAACGTGCATATTCATTTGAGACGTTTCATGACAATCTTTTGCATACAACAGGGACTTGTTGAAAGCAGAGTGTCTTTGGTAAGTCTGAGAGATCTGAGAGTTAAGATCAATGTTGAAAAAGACAGGTGTCAATCAGCTTCACTCTGAACAATATTTTCTCTTTGAGTAAGGTTCATAATCATCAACACACCAATACTGTTAATATGTACTGTAAACAAAATATGATTAAGAAAATATGTAAACTACTTTAATTAATTGAAATCTGTCTTGATCACCTTCATTCTCTTCATACCCAAACATTTAGACTTAAACCTGTTCTGATTCCTCCAGTAAGGGACATGAGTATCCTGAGTGCAGTTACCACTAGTAAAGGGACTGCAGTTGATTGGTTGAGGTGCACCTCAACTCTGATCTGATTGGCTGAGGTCTACCTCTGCTCTCATCTGATTGGTTGAAGTTGTACTGGTTCAAGAAATAAGAACCTGTTGCAACAGGACATACCACTAACTAATGAATAAATATAATACATTCATATATAAATACACTCATTAATAGATGTGCTCTTATTTTGAAAATGGCAAAGATTTACATTACAAACAAAAATCAAATCTCTGTCTTAAGACATTGATGTTAAGAAAATACATTCATAAAAGAGAGGGAGGGTGTGTGTGTATAAAAGCCTGTGTTTCTTAGGGTCCGACAGTCTTGGTGTGGGAGGACACAGTCTCCAATGTGATCTCTATACTGCCTATCTCCAAACTTTTCCTCCCGCATACAATGACGCGGACACTCTTCTTGGTGTTGGCGATGGGAAGCAGCGTTTTAATTGGGGGTCCGGAAGGGCCCGGTGTGGGAGGTACAGCGCGAGAGACACTATCCTGTAGTGAGAGTTGCACAGTGTTCACGTTGACATGACAACGTCTCGGACACTTTAAAATGCTCAAATGTATCCTGCCAGCGCTCGCAGGGGGAGTGTGAGGAGCCTAGCTTGGCGTAGTGGCGGGGACCACGATGGGGGTGGTGTTTGATTCTGATCCCCACGGATGTAGCGAGCGGAATGTAACAGCCAGTACGGAGCGTTAGGAGAAGCTGCGGACGCAGAGACACTGATGAACACAGGCCCTGTGGCCGGAGTGAAGGTCTTTACACAGCAGGTGGCGGAAGTTGGGCTTCAGCAGCAGGTGGACTAGAGGGTTGAGGAATTAGCAAACATGGCCAGGATGGCGAACGCCATCGGAGGGATGGAGTCCATGTGACCAAACGCTGCCCACATAGAGACCAGGGCGTAGGGACTCCATGCCGTGAAGAAACCAATACACACACACACACACAGAGACAGACAGACAGACATTTTACATAAATTATTTATTAGTCTTGGTACAGTTTGACAATTCATGGAAAAGTTCATTTCTGGTCTGAGTTGGAAGTCGAAGGAAATCTATTCTTTGCTGCAAATGTGAAATATGAGTTTCAAAGAGCGACAAAGCTACTGCATACCCAGCCCCGTCTGGCACCGTTAAAAAGTAAAAGGAAGCTAAGCTGTTCTGTCCTTTCTGAAGGGAAGCGTTTATTGCATAATGATTGAAGTGTCGTAATCAATTCACCAATACCAACAAACACACTTTGAATCCATCTGGCACTTGTTGCTTCAACTCACACACTCATCTGTAGACACACCAACTACACACACACACCGAATCTACTCGGAGTAAGCGGTAAGCATGCACAGAAAATATGCGTAAAAAGTGTTTTGAGTTTTATATCTGAGTGTTAATTCTTGTGGGGTTAACACCAGTGGGAAAATAATAATAATTTGTCATAAATAATATATTTTTATTATAATATATTCACTAACTTCCACTTGGCACTCACTTGGTGAAGGCTACAGGACTGAAATCCATTGAATGCAACAATCATGTCACTAGCAAACACAGTCATGGGTGGTACTGGTACCTCTAAAATTCACTCCAAAGGCACCCTGGGAAATAAATATGCATATAACACCCTACAGTGTTAAAAAACAACAACCCAAAATGAGTTACTGTAACACCACAGCTGTTAATTCCCTAACACTGAGAAAGTGTAAAGTGTTAATTTTATTGTCAGAATTAGTTAGGGACCCAACACTCTTGGTGTGTTAGTTTATCATCACTTTGCAAAGTGTTAGTTTAACACTATTTGAGATGGTTCCATATAATTTCTAAGAAAGTGTTACATTTAACACTGTGGCTGTTAAAATTCTGATCGCTAATTTTCTGTGTGTGTGTTAACTTGATAACTCGATAATGGTCTGTATGATGCCCATGTGTGTCTGCTGTGAGACGTGTTGCTCCACTGGTCTCCGTGACTCTGGGACCGTGACCAGGATCTGTGTGTAGGAGGAAGTGACGGCACAGCAGGGCAGGATGTAGCAGCCGAAGAACAGTGCCACCGTGTAGGACCTCGCCCCACCGTCCTGGTTGGAGCGCTTTCCAATGAATGAATGAAAAATGAATCACCATGATGATGTGTGGTGCAGTCACAGACAGTCATATGTGGTCAGGGATGCTTGGTGATCAAATATGTGCATAATGCCAGCAGCAGTGCTGTGGTCTTACCGTAGCGTGGGTAGCAGACAGTACTGAGGATGGTCAGGGTGGTCAGACTGCAGATACCAAACAACACTCCACAGAACGCACAGATCAGACACAATGTCTTACCATACAACCACCTAGGAAAGGAGGAGGGGAGAGAGAGTGGGAGGGAGATATATTTATATAATTAGTTAGATATCAAAACAGCCAGTGTGTGTGTGTGTGACCTATGACCTGTGGTAGATATTAGTTGTCACAGCCAGGGGTTAGATGCTAAGGGTCATGCCCAGGTCACTGACAACCAGGTTAATAATGAAGAACTCTGCTGGTTTCAGCAGCATCTTCTTCTTATAGGACACATAGAGCAGCATGGTGTTACCCACCAGAGAACACACACCTGGGGGGAGGGAGGGAGGCAGAGGAAGTTAGGAATATCCCTAACCCCATTTACAGAACTTCTGATAATTTTATTTCCTTAGTACCTGACTTGCATATCTTAGACCACCCTTTGCAAAACTGTAAATACAAATGTCACTTAAGTGTTTTGTTCACAGTATATTACACATTGTTTTCATCAGAAGAGAAAAGTGTGCAAAACTGTTTCCAGTAATGAGTAAATACTACTGCACAAAATCCTAAATCAACCCCATCAGTGTCATACCACAACACTGCTGCTGGCATGTTCAAAGAACAAATTATCCTTCCCGGGGAAGGACTGCCCGCTCCATGATCTCGCCATCACGGTTGACAACTCCATTGTGTCCTCCTCCCAGAGTGCAAAGAACCTTGGTGTGACCCTGGACAACACCCTGTCGTTCTCCGCTAACATCAAAGCGGTGACCCGATCCTGCAGGTTCATGCTCTACAACATTCGCAGAGTACGACCCTACCTTACACAGAAAGCGGCACAGGTCCTAATCCAGGCACTTGTCATCTCCCGTCTGGATTACTGCAACTCGCTGTTGGCTGAGCTCCCTGCCTGTGCCATTAAACCCCTACAACTTATCCAGAACACCGCAGCCCGTCTGGTGTTCAACCTTCCCAAGTTCTCTCATGTCACCCTGCTCCTCCGCACACTCCACTGGCTTCCAGTTGAGGCTCGCATCTACTACAAGACCATGGTGCTTGCCTACGGAGCTGTGAGGGGAACGGCACCTCCTTACCTTCAGGCTCTGATCAGACCCTACACCCAAACGAGGGCACTACGTTCATCCATCTCTGGCCTGCTAGCTCCCCTACCTCTACAGAAGCACAGTTCCTGCTCAGCCCAGAGAAAGCTATTCGCTGCTCTGGCACCCCAATGGTGGCACAAGCTCCCCCACGACGCCAGGACAGCGGAGTCACTGACCACCTTCCGGAGACACTTGAAACCCTACCTCTTTAAGGAATACCTGGAATAGTATAAAGTAATCCTTCTTCCCCCACCCCCCATAAAAATAAAAAAAAGTGGTTGTCCCACTGGCTATCATAAGTTGAATGCACCAATTTGTAAGTCGCTCTGGATAAGAGCGTCTGCTAAATGATGTAAATGTAAATGTAAGTGTAAATAATGTTGAACGGGCTCTCTTCATTACTAACTGACTCAAATACCCTCTGGACTAAAGAACATTTACAGGCAAGCCATCAAAGAACTTACACACATCTGATGGCCAACAGAGTAGAAACGTGTGTGTGTGTGGACTGAGGGGAAATTGAGCTCTGAGCCTCTGATTGGCAAACTCAGATCTCCCTTCAATGAATGAAGCCAATCTCCTCCTGTCACACATACACACCGTTGGGTACAGTAGGACTTACGTATATAGAGTAGACCACAGCCACCACAAGGTCAGCAGCCTCAAGGATATAGGCGTGTAACGTGCTGTTATCTGCTAGCCAGCCCATCGGAGACAAGACACAACAGTCAACACACACTTATACACACACATCCTGCATATACACAGATTTCTAATAAACAGAAATATTCTTATGCAAACCAAGTAAAAAGCTTCCTGTCACAGTCGCCTCTGTGACATTTTTCCTCTGCTCTGTGCTTTGAGGGAGATTTCTGTGGGAATGTGAAAGGTGTAGAAACCTCACAGTGACTCACCTGATAAGACTAGATCTGAGCCTCGACTAACGCTTCGGACTCTACCTCGATGAAAAGATGAAAAACTAGACGGCACATGAGAGATGGAGAGAGACGGAGGGGGAGTCCAGTGGTTTTTGAACTTTTACTGTTGAAAAGTGATATCCCAAGTATAGATACAGTAAAGTACACACACTTAAGGGTAAAAAAAAAAGAAGTGTTATTTAGACAACTGCAAACTTCAAGGAGTAGGGCATTCAAGGAGTGATGTCCTTGATGTCATCGGCCTCCCCCCTTGCTTGAGGAACAATAGAGAACAATAGAGTAAAGGCCCAACATAAAATATTCTGTGATCATTGACACCCCTTTTGAAACACTCACACAATCACATTACCCGCTTACTGAAACAACGGTTCAGAACAGGGCAATCAAGTGCTCAGCAACCTGGATCAAAAGGCACTCCCTGTCAGCAGTGCAGTTGGTTTGGTCTGTCTTTGAAGCAGGATACAGCAGGCTTGCTTAGTTCTTCACCCAACTAGTTGTGGAAACGTCAGAAGATAACCTCAAATACAGCATTGTACTTAACATCTCACTACCCTCCAAACTGCTGATCAGTTCTGTTTTAATTGGACCAAACAAACCTTTGAAAAAAGAAATTCTCACAATGAAACGCCAAGTGTCTCATAGTTATTTACCAAGGTTTTTGTTATGTTTTTGAAATTCTTTACAGACGTCTTGAAGAAGTTATGCTTCCCTTCACACTTCATGCACCACATGTGCAGAAGGGGACCTATTCTATGAAAACACCACGGATAGTGTATCATATGGTGGTGCATGGGAATAAAGTTTCTGTCCGGAAACAGACACTTGAACAACGTGTGGTGCTCACAAATCAGATGCTTCAAATAACATGCCATACCATTAGTTACAATAGGTGAAAACACAATATTTACATCTCCAAGTATCAGTGGAGTATTGCGCAAGAGACACCATGATTGAGTTGCATTCAAACCAAGAACATTGCTAATGTCATTCATTTTCAACCCACTTGGCCTGTTTCTTCTCTATGTGTAACCGTAATTGAAGCTTTCATGTCCTGAACTCTATAACTGGTATCCCCTGAGAGAGATTTCAGTCATTTGGAAATCTAGAGTAAAGACAAAGATGAGTATGCATTGTTACACATTACCTATGTTCATACTTACATGACTCTGAATCTGGATCATTCAAGTTCAGGAATAAAATTACAATCCCCAAGGCATAGTTGATGCATAATACCATCAGTGATGAATTTCTCAGCAAAACTACAGTTACTCTACATGTTTTGAATTCTAAATACAGTGCCTTGCAAAAGTATTCAACCCCCTTGGCGTTTTTCCTATTTTGTTGCATTACAACCTGTAATTGAAATTCATTTTTATTTGGATTTCATGTAATGAACATACACAAAATAGTCCAAATTGGTGAAGTGGAATGAAAAATAACTTGCTTCAAAAAATGCAAAAAAATAAATAACGGAAAAGTGGCGCGTGCATATGTATTCACCCCCTTTTCTATGAAGCCCCTAAATAAGATCTAGTGCAACCAATTACCTTCAGAAGTCACATAATTAGTTAGATTGCACACAGGTGGACTTTATTTAAGTGTCACATGATCTCAGTATATATACACACCTGTTCTGAAAGGCCCCAGAGTCTGCAACACCACTAAGCAAGGGGCACCACCAAGCAAGCGGCACCATGAAGACCAAGGAGCTCTCCAAACAGGTCAGGGACAAAGTTGTGGAGAAGTACAGATCAGGGTTGGGTTATAAAACAATATCAGAAACTTTGAACATCCCACGGAGCACCATTAAATCTATTATTTAAAAAATGGAAAGAATATGGCACCACAACAAACCTGCCAAGAGAGGGCCGCCCACCAAAACTCACAGACCAGGCAAGGAGGGCATTAATCAGAGAGGCAACAAAGAGACCAAAGATAACCCTGAAGGAGCTGCAAAGCTCCACAGCAGAGATTGGAGTATCTGTCCATCGGACCACTTTAAGCCGTACAATCCACAGAGCTGGGCTTTACGGAAGAGTGGCCAGAAAAAAGCCATTGCTTAAAGAAAAAAATAAGAAAACGTGTTTGGTGTTCGCCAAAAGGCATGTGGGAGACTCCAAATATATGGAAGAAGGTACTCTCATCAGTTGAGACTATAATTGAGCTTTTCGGCCATCAAGGAAAACGCTATGTCTGGCGCAAACCCAACACCTCTCATCACCCCGAGAACACCATCCCCACAGTGAAGCACGGTGGTGGCAGCTTCATGCTGTGGGGATGTTTTTCATCGGCAGGGACTGTAAACTGGTCAGAATTGAAGGATGGCGCTAAATACAGGGAAATTCTTGAGGGAAACCTGTTTCAGTCTTCCAGAGATTTGAGACTGGGACGGAGGTTCACCTTCCAGCAGGACAATGACCCTAAGCATACTGCTAAAGCAACACTTGAGTGGTTTAAGGGGAAACATTTAAATGTCTTGGAATGGCCTAGTCAAAGCCAGGACCTCAATCCAATTGAGAATCTGTGGTATGACTTAAAGATTGCTGTACACCAGTGGAACCCATCCAACTTGAAGGAGCTGAAGCAGTTTTGCCTTGAAGAATGGGCAAAAATCCTAGTGGCTAGATGTGCCAAGCTTATAGAGACATACCCCAAGAGACTTGCAGCTGTAATTGCTGCAAAAGGTGGCTCTACAAAGTATTGACTTTGGGGGGTGGGGTGGGGTGGGGTGGGGTGGGGTGGGTGAATAGTTATGCACGCTCAAGTTCTGTTTTTTTGTCTTATTTCTTGTTTGTTTCACAATAAAACATATTTTGCATCTTCAAAGTGGTAGGCACGTTGTGTAAATCAAATGATCCAACCCCCTAAAAATATCAATTTTAATTCCAGGTTGTAAGGCAACAAAGTAGGAAAAATGCCAAGGGGGACAGTGTCACCAGCAAAGCACCCCACACCGTCACACCTCCTCCTCCATGCTTCACAGTGGAAACCACACATGCGGAGATCATTCATTCACCTACTCTGCGTCTCTCAAAGACACAGCAGTTGGAACCAAAAATCTCAAATTTGGACTCATCAGACTAAAGGACATATTTCCACTGATCTAATGTCCATTGCTCGTGTTTCTTGGCCCAAGCAAGTCTCTTCTTCTTATTGGTGTCCTTTAGTAGTGGTTTACATTTACATTTTAGTCATTTAGCAGACGCTCTTATCCAGAGCGACTTACAGTTAGTGAGTGCATACATTAATTTTGTATTTTTTCATACTAGCCCCCCGTGGGAAGCGAACCCACAACTCTACCAACTGAGCTACATCCCAGCCGGCCATTCCCTCCCCTACCATGGACGACGCTGGGCCAATTGTGCGCCGCCCCATGGGTCTCCCGGTCGCGGCCGGCTACGACAGAGCCTGGATTCGAACCAGGATCTCTAGTGGCACAGCTAGCACTGCGATGCAGTGCCTTAGACCACTGCGCCACTCGGGAGTACACTCGGGTTTCTTTGCAGCATTTCAACCATGAAGGCCTGATTCACACAGTCTCCTCCGAACAGTTGATGTTGAGATGTGTCTATTACTTGAACTCTGTGAAGCATTTATCTGGGCTGCAATTTCTGAGGCTGGTAACTCTAATGAACTTATCCTCTGCAGCAGAGGTAACTCTGGGTCTTCCTTTCCTGTGGCGGTCCTCATGAGAGCCAGTTTCATCATAGCGCTTGATGGTTTTTGCGACTGCACTTGAAGTAACTTTCCAAGTTCTTGAAATCTTCCGGATTGACTGACCTTCATGTCTTAAAGTAATGATGGACTGTTGGGGGGTTGACAGTGGAAGCGTTTTTACCTTTCTGTGTATGTATGACAGGGAGAGAAAAGGGGTTGAGTAAGGACATCTGACAGCATGCGTCTTGTCTTCATTGTAATTTTTGTCTGCTTTCAGAGGGTCATGACTGCTTTCTCTCTTTCCTGGCACATTTGCCTGTATATCCCTCATCTCCTGCTCCATCTACCCCTATATTAGTTAATGATAGAGAGCTCTGCTCTAAATCAAATAAAGCCAGTTGAGCTCTGAAAGTGTGAGGCTCTAGCCTCCCTGAATGAGAATCACCTGAGAGGGGGTTGGAGGCAGAGTGGGCAGGGAGAGAGAGATGAGTAGGAGCCAGGGGTGTTGCTACTCTATCTGGTCACGATAGAAAGGTATAAAGTGTGAGAGTGGGCCGGGAGAATGAAGGGGAAGGAACCATTACTTAGCCTGGTCCCAGATCTGTTTGTACGCTCTTGTCAACTCCTACAGACAGCCAGCCATTAGCCATAACTGTATCATTTGTCTGTGAGTGGACTACACCCTGATCCTGTGACAAAGGCCACTGATGTTTAGTCCAGGACAGAGGGGGTTAAGATAGTAATGATAAGAGACCCAAATGACTATTTAATTTTCCTTGCAGGTGAAAGGGTTTGTTGGAGCCAAATTCCCATTTTCTTTATTTGTGCTATATTTATTATTTTGCTCCATTTAGAAAAATACTATTATTGAATATAAGTATAAATATTGCTTTATGAATTATGGCGTATGGTTGATGAACTCATGTCTTTGGTTTTCTACGATGTTTATCACAGGTATTTAAAAGCATTATGGAGCCTTTCCTGGGCACACCAATTTTTCCCATGTTTGACCGCTACGCTAAGCTACGCTAATACTTGGAACTAGAAAAGCTGCTATTAGTCTATACCTTTTGTTTACCGTTTGAATCTGATCGCTTTGACTTTGATCATCGATGGAATATAGCCTATGAAATTACCTTTATTTGGAAAATAAATGTGTTTATTTTTACACTGAGCTTTTGGATTCCCTGTTTTGTGGTTGCTTTGGAAGCGTGTCTGACGGCGGCATCACATACCTGTGACCTCAAGGCAAGGTTGGAATTGGATTACAAATTCCTAGAACCATAAAGGGTTCTTCTACTACAAGGATAAGCCTGTAGAACCCTTTCCCCCCCCCAATAGTGTAGAGAACCACAGGGGACTTTACAACTTTACTTATGTTAAATGTATTATTAGGTACCAACCAGATTATTAATGCTTTATTAAAGAATGGCAACTTCGCAACTAAAACTTCTGAATTAAATATCTCATATTTTAAGCTTTGCCCAGATATGCATGTGTCAGCAGAACTACTAGGTTGAGTTCCTCTGTGTATCCTTGAATGTGAAAGCACCTGGCCAGGCATACATTTTCAAATACTTTAAATTGCATCTCTCAGATGCAACCTTTTCCGAAATTATTAGTATTCGGAGATTGGAGAATCCATTTGAAACAAACTGAGATAGATGCACATCAGTGTAAGTGTGTGTGTCAGGGCGAAAGAGCGACACAGGACAGCTTGACATAAAGACGTCGCTCCTAATGCATTTAAATCAGAGTTGACATTGAGAACAGGGTGATATTTGGGAGGCAAAATAAAACTTGTCCTGAAGAGTATTATTACAAATCACCACGTTGTCCACACATTTCACCACCCAGAGGAGAAAGTTACTGTATCTCACAGCCCATATCATTGGTTACGTTTTATTTCTATTTACAGTAAATTTGTTATAAATATAATACATCATTTTCATCTGAAAAGCAGTTGAGTAAATAGATACATTTAAATAACAGCTTGATCACAAGGTGGAGGAGGTCCAATGAGGGAGAAGTATAGGGATCATGTTGATTTGATTGGTTCATTAGTTTGTTTTGTAGAAAATTAAATGTGCTCGTGGTGACTGATAGCACAGTAAATCCAGATGGACTACAGACCAACAACAGACAGGTGGACAGGCAGCATCAGGGCCTGTCAGTCAAAGGATTTGTTCATTAGTCACATAGTATAGTGGTCAACCTCTGGTTCATATTCTAAAGGGTTTGTGATGTGCCGAGGGTCCGGTCCATGTGGGGCAGTTCTTCCTACTTCCTCATCCAGGTTAATCCAGGAAGTAAACAATGTCATCACCACAGTGACAACTCAACAACAACCTGTTATAATGTTTGTCAAAAAAACTAAAATAACAAAAATCTCTGGCGGCAGACAGATGCCACCGTTACCATAGGAGACACGTCATTGTCGTCTTTGTTTAGAACGTCTTTGTCTGTTCTGTGTCCTTCCCTTTCACCTGTCGATTTAATCAAATAAAAAAAGGTCAAAACCAAAGCGCCTCCGCTGAGATGATAGATTAATACGCAGAGAGAGAGAAAATAGTTCCTTCTTCCACATGTAAATCCATGATCCTTTGCTTTGTTGCTGGAACATAAAATAGCTAACAGTCTGACCATCAAAGTGGTTACAAGCTCAACTGATGCACAATTCAATTTTTTTACATAATTTGACAAATCTGTCACATTTTTAGGGCGGTGAGTTGAGTTGGTGATTTGAGACTTGGTGGAAAGATGGGATGTGGAAAAAACTTCTTGCTGGGTGGGTCTCAGAGCTCTCAACCCTGTTGTTGCCAACCAATTGGCGACTCAACAGATTTTATCCAAATGGGGAACCTAGGTAGTGATGATTGACAGATGATTCATTGGCTATTGATGATGGGGCGGGACAATGTTCAGGTGCTGTTGATGATGATGATGAGTGCTGGCGTGGCCGTCTGCTGGCTGGTCTCACACATGGCTCCCTGGTCCGCCAGCTTGGCAAAGACCCGTGGCGTTCCCAGGTTATAGACGCCCGCATGCAGGAAGCAGGCTCGCAGCGGCACTCGCATCACTTCCTGTGCCCTCAACTGCAGCTTGTATTGCGTTTGGCCCAGCCATGTAAACGAACCGTGCACCTCGAGAGACTCAGGGCTGATGGGGTGAGGGAGGAGAGGGGGAGGGATGATGGCAGAGCGGGAAGAGAGGAAAATAGAAAGCTCATTAAAACCAGGAGGATAAATAGGATGCAGTTTATCAGGTAAACATTTGGTCAGGGACATGAGGAACAGATGGCAGATTTAACAGTATGGAGTGAGTGTGTGTTATATTTACCTGGTAGTTTTGTGTCGTAGGTCAATGATGACATCAACTTGAGCCAGGGAGCAGTTAGACAGAGTCAAAGTGACTGGAACCATACAGAGACTACAGAGGGGGGACGGAGAAAGATGGAGGTAGGGAGAGAGCCAAAAGAGAGAACATTAAATATATATATTTTTTTACGCAGTTAATCACATCTCCATTTCTTCACTGCATGGAACCTTAAGCGCATAACACGGAGCACAGCTGCAGTCAATGCTTGCACCATTACATAGCTGAAGACTGTGTGCACATGTCTTGGGCTGTTTTAAAATACTCTCGAGATGCTATCTTTTGGTTTGATAACCACATTGTTTAGCTAGCTAGTCATGTTACGTGTGTGTGATACCTCTTCTGAATGAAAGGGTGGCTGTAGCTCTCTGGGTAGTGCAGGTTGGTCTTGATGAGGTGGGAGAGCTGTTCCATAGAGGGTCGTGTCATTGGAGGAGGAAGCTCTGGTTTAAACTTCAGCAGCACCATCTCCTGAGCCTCCTACAACCGGACAGAGAAACACAAAATCAGGTCATGACATACATTTACATTTTAGTCATTTAGAAGACGCTCTTATCCAGAGCGACTTACAGGAGCAATTAGGGTTAAGTGCCTTGCTCAAGGGCACGTCGACAGATTCTTCACCTAGTCGGCTCAGGGATTTGAACCAGCGACCTTTCGGTTACTGGCACAACGCTCTTAACCACTAAGCTACCTGCCGCCCTGGATGACACTGGAAGAGTACACACCGACACCTTTACGTCAAACACACCGCCTAAACATACATGTACATGTCCTAAGCCTCTTACTCCACAACAGAGAAACATACTTACAGACCATTACAGTGGCAAGAGAAAGTTTGGGAACTCTGTATTTCTGCATAAATTTGACCTAAAATATGATCAGATCTTCATCTTAGTCCAAATAATAGATCAAGCGAACCTGATTAAACATAACACAATTGTAGGAACGGGCAGGAGTAATCGAGTACTCGAATTGACGTCAAAATAATTATAGAATGCAAAGCACTTGGCACGTCTCTCTCCAAGCGCACTTTCCTACCAATTCATGCTCATTCATTGTTTTCATGGTGTGAATTGTTTGTCAATGTTTATGAATTCGCTATATAATCAAAAGTATCACCAGTTGTTAATGTAGGCTACCATTAATCATTGCCATTTCCACATTAATCTAGAATGTTTGGTTATGTTCATTTCTGTTTATTCAATGTATTAATACTGCATACCGTTCTCATTCTCGTAGTGTACACGTTGTTTGGAGAGCTCGCAAACTGCGCAGTGATAATGAAGTTGTGGTTTATTTAATTATATTTACCAGTTATGTAAATTGTGTGAACGCACACGCTTGAGTGCGCAAAGATATTGACTACCTGCCAGTATAGGCAGTCGCGTTAAAGTTCATAAATCTGCATTTTCTAAACGCAGACCATCAAAAAAGCTGTGTTTTAAACCATTTCACCTGCGTTTTGTATAGAAAGTCAGTGTTTGATTTTTTCTCTCCAACAGATCAGGGTCTTGCAACTAGTTTTCCAGGTAATTATTACTCAGAGGAAAATGGGGGAGGGTCATGCTTTTTAGATTTCAGTCAGGGGGAGGGTCTGTATATAGCGCCATTCTTGTGTATTTTATTTTATTCCTCGTGTAACTATTTTATTTTTAGGAAAGGCTCGCAAGCAAGCATTTCACGGTAAAGTCTACACCAGTTGTATTCGGCGCATGTGATAAATAACATGTGATTTGACTTGCAGTTATTTCGGCATGGACATTTAAGCGGTTATTGTCTTGCTCTTTACTGTAATCAGAGGGTTATTATCAATATAATGCATGCCAGTCTCAATATAATGCATGCCAGTCTCGAAAAGTACAGACTGCATCACTTTTTGTTTTTAGAAGAAGCATTGTGTTAAATTCCAAATTGTTTGCATAGCCAACTTACACACAGCACTGACACACACACACTGACCCCACCAGCTGTGTGGGACATTTTAAATACATGTAGTTCTGTCCTTAAGCTGTTGTCTATTAATGTTCTGTATTGTCATGTTTTGTGTGGAACCCAGGAAGAGTAGCTGCTGCAATCGCCACAGCTAATGAGGATCCTAATACAACAGAACATTCTAATTTAAAATTAGCCTACATCACTGTGTGTACTCACATGATAATAATACATTCCTAATTGCACTGTGTTGTTGTAGCCTAGGTAGAATAATATTGTCTAAAAATGTAGGCCTAATCAATAGTGGAGCTTTGCATGCCCGACTGCTGCAGAGCGCACGCAGCCTGGAAGAACGCACAGATCTGCCATTTCATAATCTGTTCACTTTTTTTTCTTGCACTTTGACAGGTAAATATTTATAGCCCTAATATTTAGCTAATGAGTGGCCTAATATTTTGCTTAGTTGGCTACACAACTCTAGCCTCTCTCATCCAGCTATTGCCGTGCACAATGGTGGTCTCAGCTTTGCTCTGCGACCCCTACAAGTGTCACGGGACTCGTCTGAATGTAACCCATACAAATGAATGGCAGTATGGAGGTAGTTTTTTACTAAGCTTTCTTATTATTTTTGATTTATTTTTTTACTCTCTTTGCCATTTATGTGTTATTCAATTTGTTTATGGGCTATAGTAGTAAAGGCCAAATTCAATATTTTATCACATAATAAAAACATTTAAATGTATACCTAAAGGGGTCCTAAAATTCTAAATCAAATAGCTAAATGATCCATGGTATGAACATCTTAAAACAATTCTACATGTTAGCTTAAACTTAAGCTTGCATTTTACAGGAGAAAAGAAGAACACACAGAGAAAAGTACTGGAGAATGTTTTGTTGTAGCCTCTAACTTTCTCACTCATAATTATTCATTAATGTTTTTTCTTAATCATGGCATTATCAGGATTCATTTAGAAGTGTTCAAAAACATCTTATCTACTCACTTAAAAACATTTTATTTACCATTCAGTTACTATTGGGCAAAACATACCCCAAAACAAACTGTAAATGCATCCAACGAGTTTGTAGAGTCACAAGCTTGATGTAGTCATTGTGTGCTAGGAATATGGGACCAAATACTAAACTTAACTACTTTAATACACTTTATTGAGCTGATTAATCTAGAGGGTCACATACTTTTTCGGACAAATAAATAGAATGTTGGATCAATTTGACAATAATGAAATGAAAAAGTACAATTGTTTGTGTTATTTGTTTAAAATCAGGTTCACTTGATCTATTATTAGTACCTAGATGAAGATCTGATCACCTTTTAGGTCAAATGTTTGCAGAAATACAGAAAACCCTAAAGGGTTCACAAACTTTCTCACCACTGTAAGTCAGAGACCATTATGTCAAACCTACACTGCTTGTATATACAGGTAACTGTCACCAGAACAGCTTCAGTGCGCCTTGACATAGATTCTACAAGTCTAAAACTCTATTGGAGGGACGCGACACCATTCTTCAACAATAAATACTGTCACAGGCACCGCTCCAGAATCTCCCATAATTGTTCAATTGGGTTGAGATCTGGTGACACACACACACACCCTTTAAAACCCCTACACTCCTTTGAGACCCCTCTTTCAAAGTCACTGAGATCTCTTCTTCTAGCCATGGTAGCCAAAATAATGTGCAACTGGATATTTCTATACATGACCCTAAGCATGATGGTATGTTAATTGCGTAATTAACTCAGGAACCACACCTGTGTGGAAGCACCGGTTTTCAATATACTTTGTATCCCTCATTTACTCGTGTTTCCTTTATTTTGGCAGTTGCCTGTACATGTAGCTATACAGACTATTTGTTGTGGTATCATTTGTTAACCATTGTGCAGCCTGCTCTGTGCAGAACATTTGCTTTTACAAAATATTATTAACGGCCTCTTCGACAAAATGCCTTCCTAGAACATTCCTAGAACTGTAATTCCATGTTTTGACAATAGGGACAGTTATCAGCTGGTGTGTGTGCGCGTGTCGGGTTAGAGGCAGAGATTAACAGAGGCTGGGAGGGTGTGCATCAATACATTAACACAGGACATCAACACACCCATATAGATAGTCATGCACTGGAAACATGAACAGGTTCTATATTTATACATTTATGAGCCCTATAAATGCAATTCACCTATATGACATTCTGATATTCAAGCCGAAGTAGGTAGAAACAATCACTAAGTAATTCTTAGCAAATCTTTGCTAGAAGCAATTCCAGTTAGGAAATGAGGGTCTTTCAATATGAGATCTTCTGTGAGAAGAGAAAGAGAGGGTGCGAGAGAGACTGAGGGAGGGAGCAAGAGAGAGGGAGGGAGGGAAAAAGGTAGTCTTGGCAGCTCATGTGCAGAGCTATAAAAAGCCACAGGGATAAGGGATGAGAGAAGTTCTTTATGAATGAGCACGCCGTGGACACTGTTGCTACGCAACGGCTTGTCTTGGAGGAAGTGTGTGTGAGGGAGGAGTTTAAGAACAATATCTTTTTTTTTTTTTTTAAGTCTGACAATGTGGATGTGGTCTGGCCGGGTGAGTGGGTGGAAGAGAGAGGGAGCGAGGTGGAAAGTTATTTTTAAACAGGTGTGAGGATCTCATGCTTAAACCAAATCACACACCACTTCCACAGGAGGTAGGCAGAAGAGAGATGGAGACATGGAGACTGCTTGCAGCGGGTACAGTTTCAGTCTGTGCCTGAAAGATGTACACACGTGCGCGCACACACACTGTTAAACCCACTCCGTCATTAAATCACACTACTGTCTGTGGGAGGGAGGTGTACCGCTGTGATGTGCATGTGATCGTGTATTGTAAAAGTGAAATGAAAAAAACTTCACTGACGTATTTTGTAAAGTGTGATACGGTGTCACTTTCTCTCGCACACTCGAACACACACCCACACACTTAATGGCTTGGTTCATCACCCTGCGATTGTCTTCATAAAGACCAAGAAAAAAAAAACACACCAGCTTTAATCTTTGCTGAATGTGACGTTGGGCCTGTGACGTGTGTTAGAGAGTGTGTGTGTGTGTGTGTCTCTGTGACTGTCAGAGTTGAAAAGGTTTAAAATCAGAGAAATCTGGGTCCGGAGCCAAGAATCACCTATATAACCATCCATCTGTATAGTAGGCCTATAACAGCTCTACATCAGTAGAGTATGGAATTTGTCTTTAAAATGGAGCCGAGGTACTTTACTTAATCTGTATAGTCTAAGACTTCTAAGAGACCTCTATGTCCCTCAATGCCCTCCACTGTCCACTCAGGAGACAGCTCTCACCCTCAGCAAACCATCAGCCATCCCTCTCTCCACCCACTAAACAAGTCATCTGACCTTCCTTACTCGTTTAAACAGACAGATTGAGGGAGCCACTGTCCGTCTCTGCACTAATCACTCTTGAAGGGCATTCCTCACTCCTTATACACTGTTAGACAGCATGACATCAACATTACGCACACACATAGGCGTGCACACACACACACACACTCCTTAAACACCCTGGCAAAGTGCAAGATGTGTGAGAGAGTGAGTGAGTGTGTTCATGAACACGTGTGGCAGTGAGTTGGACATACTTGACATTGTTAAGCTGTAAAGCTCATCCTTGACTACTGCTGGAGAGAGAAAAACATTTTGAAGAGAGCAAGCATTGGTTGGTTCACTGTCAGCATGGACAATGTCACTAATAAAATATTCTAACAATAATCAAAACTATCATTCCAGCTGAGTACAATGGTGGTATGAAACATAACATACTACTTATTATAGGAGTGATTCATTCCATAGAAACATATTTTAATTGAAGTGAATCAACTTTATTGATCCACAGAGAGGAAATTCCGTCACAAACATAGGACACATACAGCACAAGGACCATATAGATATAAAAGGTATACATCAGAATGATGACATCAATAAAACCCATTTGAATTGAAGTGAATATGTTTATATAGACGTCATGTATTGTACTTTGACTAGCCAATCCATGCTCAGGTACAGTGCATTCTGGAAGTATTCAGACCCCTTTACTCTTCCCACATTTAATTACGTTACAGCCTTATTCTAAAATGGATTAAAATAATTGTTCTCCTCATCAATCTACACACAATACCCCATAATGACAAAGCCAAAACAAGTTTAGAAATATTTGCAAATGTAAAAAAAATATTTAAAAAAATACTTTATTTACATAAGTATTCAGACCCTTTGCTATGAGACTTGAAATTGAGCTCAGGTGCATCCTGTTTCCATTGATCATCCTTGAGATGTTTCTACTATTTGAATTCAATTGATTGTACATGATTTGGAAAGGCACACACCTGTCTATATAAGGTCCCACAGTTGACATTGAATGTCAGAGCAAGAATCAAGTGATGAGGTCGAAGGAATTGTCTGTAGAGCTCCGAGACAGGATTGTGTAGAGGCACAGATGTGGGGAAGGGTGCCAAAAAATGTCGGCAGCATTGAAGGTCCCCAAGAACACAGTGGCCTCCATCATTCTTAAAATGGAAGAAGTTTGGCCAAACCGCGTTGCCAAACTGAGCAATCGGGGGAGAAGGGCCTTGGTCAGGGATGTGACCAAGAACCCGATGATCACTCTGACAGAGCTCCAGAGTTAATCTGTGGAGATGGGAGAACCTTCCAGGAGGACAACCATCTTTGCAGCACTCCACCAAATCAGGCCTTTATGCTAGAGTGGCCAGACGGAAACCACTACTCAGTAAAAAGGCACATGACAGCCCGCTTGGAGTTTGCCAAAGGGCACCTAAAGGACTCTGACCATGAGAAACAAGATTCTCTGGTCTGATGGAACCAAGATTGAACTCTTTGGCCTGAATGCCAAGCGTCACATCTGGAGGAAACCTGCCACCATCCCTACGGTGAAGCATGGTGGTGGCAGCATCATGCTGTGGGGATGTTTTTAAGCAGCAGGGACTGGGAGACTAGTCAGGATTGAGGGAAAGATGAATGGAGCAAAGTACAGAGAGAACCTTGATGAAAACCTGCTCCAGAGCACTCAGCACCTCAGACTGGGGTAAAGGTTCACCTTCCAACAGGACAACAACCCTAAGCACACAGCCAAGACAACACAGGAGTGGTTTCAGGACAAGTATCTGAATGTCCTTGAGTGGCCCAGCCAGAGCCTGGACTTGAACCCGATCAAACATCTCTGGAGAGACCTGAAAATAGCTGTGCAGCGATGCTCCCCATCCAACCTGACAGAGCTCGAGAGGATCTGCATAGAAGAAACTCCCCAAATACAGGTGTGCCAAGCTTGTTGCGTCATACCCAAGAAGACTCAAGGCTGTAATCGCTGCCAAAGGTGCTTCAACAAAGTACTGTGTAAAGGGTCTGAATACTTATGTAAATGTGATATCAGTTTTTTATTTATTTTTATAAAATGTGCAAAAATGTTTTAACACCTGCGTTTGCTTTGTCATTATGGGGTATTTTGTGTAGATTGATGAAGGGGGAAAAAAAACAATTTAAACCATTTTAGAATAAGGCTGTAATACAGTATATTGCCCCCTTACTGTATGTGTCCTATGCTGTGAGTGGTGACAAATTGAATTTTCCCTCTGGGGATCAATAATGTCCTCTGTAGCTCAGCTGGTAGAGCACGGCGCTTGTAACGCCAAGGTAGTGGGTTCGATCCCCGGGACCACCCATACACAAAAATGTATGCACGCATGACTGTAAGTCGCTTTGGATAAAAGCGTCTGCTAAATGGCTTATTATTATTATTATTAATAAAGTTTATTCAATTCAAAGCAAAAAAATCCTCCACTTAGCCTTGAGAGAGCAAAGCATGGGCCTGCATCGGGCGGCTTATAGGCCCTCAAGTTCTACCTCAATGAACGTCCCCCTAATGCTCTTCCCAGCACCAACAGTATTGTGGACTTGGCTGAACTGTTACTAACCTCCAACTATTTTCTCTTCAGAGGATACTTTTTCCTCCAGACCAAAGGGACAGCGTTGGGGAGCACTATGGCTCCTAATTATGCTAACCTTTATCTAGGAACGTTTGAAAAACAGGTGGTGCTGAATCCAGACCTTAACCCTTTTCTCTCCAATATTCTCCTAATTCTGAGATATTTGGATGACATTTCGGTGATCTATACAGGGACCCAGGAAGAACTTTTGGAATTCCATGCTTATCTAAACTATGAATTAACACCTTCGTTTCACCATTAACTAAGACCCATCACAAATCAGTTTTCTTGATGTGATGGTTATTAAGGACAAAACCTCCCTCTCTACAGATCTCTATAGTAAACCTACGGACAGGAATACCCTCCTTAGAGGTGACAGCTTTCATCCACGTCCACTTATTAAAAGTCTCTCTATAAGTCAATTCAGTCACATCAGAAGAATATGCAGCTCTGATGCTTCTTATTAGAAACAGACCTCACACAAAGGTTTAAGGAAAGGGGGTACAAAGACAATTGGGTAAAACATGCCAATTATAATTTTGAAGGACTAACACAGTTGGAAAGCCTTCAACCAAAACTTAAAGAAAAAGCAGAACATGTCCCCTTATGCTTCACCCAATACTCACCATTGGGGAAGGCATTTAAGGACATTATCAGGAAGCAATGGTACATTATTGATATTGACCCACAATTGAAATGCATTTTTAAATATCCCCATGTATGGTCTTTAAAAGACCCCCAAAACGTGAGAGACATTGTGGTTAAATCTGATTATGCACCAGAGAAAAGGGAAACTTTCTCGGACAAGGTTCCGGAAGGTAATTACAAATATGGCCAATGTGCTCAATGCAGCTTCACGTATAAATGCAACTCATTTACCCACCCGCGCACAGGACAAATATTTAAGATCAAAGGCCTGATTACCTGCAGGTCCACCAATGTTATTTACATGTAGAAATGTCCTTGTGTTCTGTCTTACATAGGGAAAACCCGTAGAAGCCTTAAGACACGGATCAGTGAGCACCGCAGCAATATATGGACAGGTGAGACAAAAAATCTGGTTGCTGTTCATTTTGTACAAGCTGGACATCCTATTAGTTCTCTGTGATACATTGTAAAATAAATGCTCAAGATGTCATGTAGGGGAGCGGACATTGAGAGGAAACTTCTTCAAAGGGAATCTTTCTGGATCCACAGACTCAACACACTGTCTCCTCTTGGCCTTAACGAGGAGTTTGACTTGAAACCGTTTTTATAGTTTCAATATGTCAAAATTGAATATTGCATGTGTATGTATATTACTGTAAATATTGATCACATTCCTTGTGTATGATCATATATTTTGATACATTAATGTTAATATTGTGAACCTATGTTATACATTTTTTACCTCCTGTTTCAGGAAGTGATGTCACTGAGTACTACCCCTATATATAGGACCTTCCACCCCCACCTGGGATATGGATGCCTGAAGAAGACCTAAGGGTGGAAACGTTGTTATAAATAAATATCACCTGGGAGCATGAGCAGCAGTGTGCGGCGTTTTCCTTTCCATTTTTCATGAGTTTGCCTACAACTCCACCACCAGCGGAAAGTACCTGGATGTGCGCATGTTTTTCAGCCTTTGTACCTGCCTCCTAAGCGCTCATCTGTGTAGCGTAGACCCTTCCTTACTCATGTTGGCCCATAAACCCATGAGGAGCATAGGTCAGAGTAGACACTAACCCTGTAAAAACCTCTACCAGGCCTGAGTCCGACATACCAAGCTTTCCAGTGTCACCCTGGCCCCACAGATTACAGGGTGTTTGGGAGGTGGCCAAGTAAACACTTAGCCCAAGTCGAATTCAGTGCCCTGTTGGACCTTGGCAGGGAGATATAGAGGCTTTTAGGTAGTGAATGATAGCGCATTCTCCAAGAAGAAGGATCGCTTTGTTTTGTTTGTGCTTTTGTCGCAATGCAGAGGAGTCCAGGAGTGTGTATAGTTATTCAGCTTGTGTGTACACTACCGGACAAACGTTTTTGAACACCTACTCATTCAAGGGTTTTTCTTTATTTTCACTATTTTCTACATTGTAGAATAATAGTGAAGACATCAAAACTATGAAATAACACGTTGAATCATGTAGTAACCAAAAAAGTGTTAAACAAATGAAAATACATTTTATATTTTATATTCTTCAAATAGCCACCCTTTGCCTTGATGACAGCTTTGCACACTCTTGGCATTCTCTCAACAACCTTCGCCTGGAATGCTTTTCCAACAGTCTTGAAGGAGTTCCCACATATGCTGAGCACTTGTTGGCTGCTTTTCCTTCACTCTGCGGTCCGACTCATCCCAAACCATCTCAATTTGGTTGAGGTCATGCGCACATGACTAAGTCTCTTTGGATAAAAGCGTCTGCTAAATGGCATATTAAGGTCGGGGGATTGTGGAGGCCAGGTCATCTGATGCAGCACTCCATCACTCTCCTTCTTGGTAAAATAGCCCTTACATAGCCTGGAGGTGTGTTGGGTCATTGTCCTGTTGAAAAACAAATGATAGTCCCACTAAGCCCAAACCAGATTGGATGGCGTATCGCAAAAGAATGCTGTGGTAGCCATGCTGGTTAAGTGTGCCTTGAATTCTAAATAAATCACAGACATTGTCACCAGCAAAGCACCCCCACACCATAACACCATCTCCTCCATGCTTTACGGTGGGAACTACACATGCGGGGATCATCCGTTCACCCACACCGCGTTTCACAAAGACATGTCGGTTGGAACTAAAAATCTCAAATTTGGACTCCAGACCAAAGGACAAATTTCCACCGGTCTAATGTCCATTGCTCGTGTTTCTTGGCCCAAGCATGTCTCTTCTTCTTATTGGTGTCCATTAGTAGTGGTTTCTTTGCTCGTGTTTCTTGGCCCAAGCATGTCTCTTCTTCTTATTGGTGTCCATTAGTAGTGGTTTCTTTGCAGCAATTCAACCATGAAGGCCTGATTCACACAGTCTCCTCTGAACAGTTGATGTTGAGATGTGTCTGTTACTTGAACTCTGTGAAATTTATTTGGACTGCAATTTCTGAGGCTGGTAACTCTAATGAAGTTATCCTCTGCAGCAGAGGTAACTTTGGGCCTTCCATTCCTGTGGCGGTCCTCATGAGAGCTAGTTTCATCATAGCGCTTGATGGTTTTTACGACTGCACTTGAAGAAACTTTCAAAGTTCTGTATTGACTGACCTTCATGTCTTAAAGTAATGATGGACTGTCATTTCTCTTTGCTTATTTGAGCTGTTCTTGCCATAATATGGACTTGGTCTTTTACCAAATAGGGCTATCTTCTTTATAGCCCCTCTACCTTGTCACAACACAACTGATTGGCTCAAACGCATTAAGAAGGAAAGAAATTCCACAAATTAACTTTTAACAAGGCACACCTGTTAATTGAAATGCATTCCAGGTGACTACCTCATGAAGCTGGTTGAGAGAATGCCAAGAGTGTGCAAAGTTGTCATCAAGGCAAAGGGTGGCTATTTGAAGAATCTCAAATATAAAATATATTTTGATTTGTTTAACACTTCTTTGGTTACGACATGATTCCATATGTGCTATTTTATAGTTTTGATGTCTTCACTATTATTCTACAATGTAGAAAATGGTACAAATAAAGAAAAACCCTTTAATGAGTAGGTGTTCTAAAACGTTTGACCGGTAGTGTACACTACACAGTTGAAACAAAATGGTGAATTGAATGTTTAAAATGGTTTCTCAATAAATGTGTGTACCTCTTTCTGTGTCAAAGAGCAGGCCTCTTTGTCAATGGTCTGTAGAGCCACATGAAGCTGTCCCTCTAGGATCACCTGCTTGTTGTCCTCAACAACAAATGCCTGTAAACAAAACAAACAAACATTAGCAACATCATTGACCTGATGCCAATAGCAAAACAGCAAAAACAACTTCAGCAATCAGCTCAACAAAAACTTGACATAAAATGTACATTTACATTTTACATTTTAGTCATTTAGCAGACGCTCTTATCCAGAGCGACTTACAGGAGCAATTAGGGTTAAGTGCTTTGCTCAAGGGCACATCGACAGATTTTTCACCTAGTCGGCTCGGGGATTAGAACCAGCGACCTTTCGGTTACTGGCACAACGCTCTTAACCACTAAGCTTCCTGCCGCCCCAGGCATGTACTCTTTATTAATGCATAATTCAACAATGGAACAATGGAGCATGTAAAAAAAGGCCATGCCTGTGCACCTGACTTTTCAAACAGTCCCATTAGGGTGATTTCTCCCCTTCTCAGCTGTCTATCACAGCCTCTTAGTTTCAGCCAATCGGTGTCCCCGAATGGACATTTGGACTCTGGCCCCTCCCACTCTAGCTCAGTGGTTATTGTCTTCAGCCGATGATGACGCAAAGTTTGGCTGGAGAACAAGTTTTTACTGTGTTTACTAGGAAGATTGTGCATGCATCAAGTGAGTTGTGGGGTATATTGTCGGGAGGGTTAATGCTACGTTATTATGATAGACTGCAAGCAATTACCCTTAGGCCTAATTACCTTGTTACATCTGTAGCTGTATAGTACTGCTGGAGCTTATGTCCATTTCAGATACTCCATGTGCATGTTGTTTAGAAGTGCCTGTATTGCATTGAATGCATGAGTGTTGTGCAGTAGATGTTCTTGTTTAGAGATGTTTAATTCCTATAGCCTATATGCGCACTTTACCTCTGCGCTTTCATAGTTCGCACTACTGTTAAAAGCTGCAATACGTAACTTTTTGGGTGACCCGACCAAATTCACATAGAAAAAAAAGTTATGTTCTATGTGAGCTATTTTTATGCTTCCCATTCTTAAGTAACATTTTTGCGTTTTACCTTCTGTTTTGTACACCAGCTTCAAACAGCTGAAAATACACTATCTTTGGTTATGGAAAATGTATTTCACAGCAGTTTGGATGGCACAATGATTCTCTACACTATACTTGCTTGTTTTGTCAAATAAACTGAAATTAAGGGCCTCCCGAGTGGCGCATCGGTCTAAGGCGTCACTACAGACCCGGGTTCGATCCCAGGCTGTGTCGCAGCCGGCCGCGACCGGGAGACCCATGAGGCGGCGCTCAATTGGCCCATGCATCTGGGTTAGGGGAGGGTTTGGCTATTGCGCTCTAGCGACTCCTTGTGGTGGGCTGGGCCCATGCACGCTTTATTCTGTCGCCAGTTGTACCGTGTTTCTTCCGACACATGGTGCGGCTGGCTTCCGGGTTAAGCGAGCAGTGGTGGGGCTTGGCAGGGTCGTGTTTCGGAGGACGCATGGCTCTCGACCTTCGGCTTTCCTGAGTCCGTAGGGGAGTTGCAGCGATGGGACAAGACTAACTACCAATTGGATATCACAAAATTGGGGAGAAAAAGGGGTAAAAGTACAAAAATATAAAAAATTGGCGAACGATTGTAGTTTTAGCAACCAGGAAATGGCGACGTGATTAGTGCAACTTTAAGCCATGGTGAGAGATTCTAGAAGTTTCAGAGTCTGTCCTCGGCCCTGCATGCACAGTAAGATTTATGACTCTATGGTGATAGAAAAATATCAGATAAGCGCACCACCAGTCCTGAGAGCAAGGGCCATAAATCTTGCATGTCCAAGTAAGTTCTCTCTCCTGTGAGATGTTTATACATATACTGCTGTTAATGTGTATGCTGTTATGTGAATATCCCTGTATATATGCTATGCCATTCTTTCCTGAGTAGATATTCCTATTGCATAGCTTACAACATGATATATTGGTTCTTACCTTTCAGAACCACAAGTCCATTCCTAATTGTAACATGAAGATCACTTCTAGTCTGTGTTTGCTAATGTGTGGTGGTGACCATGAGCCAATAAAACTCTGGATATGGACACGTTTGCCTTGTTCTTGCTGGGCAGCCTGTAGCAAATCTATATACAAAAACATACGGACACCCCTTCAAATAAGTGGATTCTGCTATTTCAGCCACACCCATTGCTGACAGGTGTATAAAATAGGGCACACAGCCATGCAATCTCCACAAACAAACATTGGCAGTCATAGGATGCCACCTTTCCAACCAGTCAATTCGTCAAATTTCGCCCTGCTAGAGCTGCCCGGTCAACTGTAAGTGCTGTTATTGTGAAGTGGAAACATCTAGGAGCAACAACGGCTCAGCCGCGAAGTGGTAGGCCAAACAAGCTCACAGAACAGGACCAGCGAGTGCTGAAGCGCCTAAAAATCGTCTGTCCTCAGTTGCAACACTCACTACAGAGATCCATACTGCCTATGGATGCAACGTCAGCACAAGAACTGTTTGTCGGGAGCTTCATGAAATGGGTTTCCATGTCCGAGCAGCCGCACACAAGCCGAAGATCACCATATGCAATGCCAAGAGTCAGTTGGAATGGTGTAAAGCTCGCCACCATTGGACTCTGGAGCAGTGGAAATGCATTCTCAGAAGTGATGAATCACGCTTCATCTGGCAGTCCGACAGACGATTCTGGGTTTGGCGGATCCCGGGAAAACACTACCTGCCCCAATGCATAGTGCCAACTGTAAAGTTTGGTGGAGGAGGAATAATGGTCAAGGGCTGTTTTTCATGGTTTGGGCTAGGCCCCATAGCATGACAATGCCCCCATGCACAAAGTGAGGTCCATATAGAAATGTTTGTCAAGATCGGTGTGGAAGAACTTGACTGACCTACACAGAGCCCTGACCTCAACCCCATCGAACACCTTTGGGATGAATTGGAACGCCGACTGCGAGCCAGGCTTAATCGCCCAACATCAGTGCCCGACCTGGCTGAATGGAAGCAAGTCCCCGCAGTAATGTTCCAACATCTATTGGAAAGCCTTCCCAGAAGAGTGGAGGCTGTTATAGCAGCAAAGGTGGGACCAACTCCATATTAATGCCCATGATTTTGGAATGAGATGTTCGACGAGCAGGTGTCCACATGCATTTGGTCATGTAGTGTATAACTGGGCAAATAACTCACAACTAGCAATGAATATCAACAGATGTGCACACTCGGCTAGGCTCGCTTTGATCTCAAAAACGAATTTCTTAACTGCATGATTGAAAGACCGCTCAGGCCTGCCAATGCATCACCACAATAATTATACTCTGATGCGCTCTGCAGAGAGTGGGAGGACACTTGTAATATCTTACAAATAATGTCGCCAGACAAGTATTAATGTCAAGCCCTGTTTAGCCTGTCTCCTCCCCTTCATCTACACTGATTGAAGTGGATTTAACAAGTGACATCAATAAGGGATCATTTACCTGGTCAGTCTGTCATGGAAAGAGCAGGTGTTGCTAATGTTTTGTACACTCAGTGTAATACTACAGCCCTATATATGGCTACTAATGGCTAGTACAATACTAGTATTAATTGCAATAGAAGTCTATTTAAATTCTGTAGTCGTACTACTACTAGTAATACAAGTAGTAATAGTAAGTGTCCCTTTAATTCTGTGGTTTTACCTTCCAGAGAATAATGATGTCGAGGTCCACCTCGTTGCACTTCCTGACCACGCCTGTTATATCCTTGGCCCCGCCCCCATGCCCCGCCCCTTGACTCCTGGAATGTCTCCCCTGTGTCTCTATGGCAACGGGCAGTCTAAGAGACTCCAAGGGCTGACACCTCCGGAAGAAGAAATCTGCACATGGAGTGGTGGAGGTGATGATCTGAGGAGAGGAGACACCATACGTAGAGAGGAAGGGAAAGGGTGATAGTATTGATTTCTTGTTAAATAATGCATTCACAGCAATAACACGACAGCATTGACAGTCACAGATAACACTGTGTTTCCTCCTCTTGTATTGGTAAACATACCTGTTCATTCCCAAGGCTCAGGTCTGCAAAGGTGTATTTCTCTACTGCCTTCGAGGTAACTGAGAAAACAGGCATGACAGAAAAGAGATTCTCCTTATTGACTGATATTGCTGGTAGTGTGTGTGTGTGAAATGCATGCTTGTCATGTTACCTTGCAGGGGTTTGCATCGTGTTGCTCTGAAGCACAGCTTTCCCCTCTCTCTGCTGGTGAGTTTGCAATCTGGAATGACAACAAGAGGAGGATGAAAGAAAATATGTCCATCCTCTCTCTCTCTGAACTCTAACCCTCTTGAACAGCCTTATTACAGTACTCAGAAAGCCTCTGTTAGAACAACTGTATCAAAGCATCATGATCATGACACACACTACATATGCACAGCTATATATAAACTCACACATCCTTGGACTGTCTGAAGGCATGCTAATAAATGATTTAGCAAAGTATCGGACAAGGCCAGCTCTCTTTACTGCTAACAAAGAGCATATTTTAATGTCAAATGTTAAGTTAGCCAATTTAAGCCTTAGAGTGGGTGATGATTCAGAGAGCTAACGGATTGGCTGCTCACCCTGCACACACAAAGCTAGAAAAGCCAGCTAATGTTTTAACACATTGATGTTCTTTTCAGCTGACTGATTACCATTATAGGCCAGCTGCAGCTCAGTTGTTCTAAGCGGATAGTGTGTGTGTGATTTATGTTCTAGGCCCACGGATATTTGTGTGATTAACAAATAGTGATGGGGGGGGAAATACAATAGTTAAATATCACACTTATTTTTAGACATTATGTCGATATTTAACTCCAAGTATCGATTTGTAATTTTGTTTTAATATAAATAAATAAATATCTATATATAATACCAGTCAAAAGTTCATGAGGTAGTCACATGGAATGCATTTCAATTAACAAGTGTGGCTTCTTAAAAGTTAATTTGTGGATTTTTTTTCCTTCTTAATGTGTTTGAGCCAATCAGTTGTGTTGTGACAAGGTAGAGGGGTATACAGAAGATAGCCCTATTTGGTAAAAGACCAAGTCCATATTATGGCAAGAACAGCTCAAACAAGCAAAGAGAAATTACAGTCCATCATTACTTTAAGACATGAAGGTCAGTCAATACAGAACATTTCAAGAACTTTGAACGTTTCTTCAAGTGCAGTCGTAAAAACCATCAAGCGCTATGATGAAACTGGATCTCATGAGGACCGCCACAGGAATGGAAGACCCAGAGTTACCTCTGCTGCAGAGGATAAGTTCATTAGAGTTACCAGCCTCAGAAATTGCAGCCCTAATAAATGCTTCAGAGTTCAAGTCACAGACACATCTCAACATCAACTGTTCAGAGGGGACTGTGTGAATCAGGCCTTCATGGTCAAATTGCTGCAAAGAAACCACTACTAATGGACACCAATAAGGAGGAGACCTGCTTGAGCCAAGAAACACAAGCAATGGACATTAGAACGGTGGATATTTGTCCTTTGGTCTGGAGTCCAAATTGGAGATTTTTAGTTCCAACCGCCATGTCTTTGTAAGACGGGGTGTGGGTGAACGGATGATCTCCACATGTGTAGTTCCCACCGTAAAGCATGGATTTACGGTGGTATTATGGTGTGGGGGTGCTATGTTGGTGACACTGTCTGTGATTTATTTAGAATTCAAGGCACATTTAACCAGCATGGCTACCATAGCAATCTGCAGCGATACGTCATCCCATCTGGTTTGGGCTTAGTGGGACTATCATTTGTTTTTCAACAGGACAATGACCCAACACACCTCCAGGCTGGGTAAGGGCTATTTTACCAAGAAAGAGAGTGATGGAGTGCTGCATCAGATGACCTGTCCTCCACAATCCCCCGACCTCAACCCAATTGGGATAGTTTGGGATGAGTAGGACCGCAGAGTGAAGGAAAAGCAGCCAACAAGTGCTCAGCATATGTGGGAACTCCATCAAGACTGTTGGAAAAGCATTCCAGGTGAAGCTGTTTGAGAAAATGCCAAGAGTGTGCAAAGCTGTCATCAAGGCAAAGTGTGGCTATTTGAAGAATCTCAAATATAACATATTTTGATTTGTTGAACAATTTTTTGGTTACTACATGATTCCATATGTGTTATTTCATAGTTTTGATGTCTTCACTATTATTCTACAATGTAGAAAACAGTAAAAATAAAGAAAACCCCTTGAATGAGTAGGTGTGTCCAAACGTTTGACTGGTACTGTAAGTATGTATGTATGAATGTATATACATGTATACACACACACTGTACAAACTTTAGGAACACCTGCTCTTTCCATGACAGACTGACCAGGTGAAAGCTATGATCCCGTATTGATGTCACCTGTTAAATCCAGTGAGTGTGTCAAAAACTGCAGCGCTGCTGGGTTTTTTATGTTCAACAGTTTCCCGTGTATATCAATAAATGGTCCACCACCCAAAGGACATCCAGTCAACTTGACAACTGTGGGAAGCATTGGAGTCAACATGGGCCAGCATCCCTGTGGAATGCTTTCGACACCTTGTAGAGTCCATGCCCTGACGAATTGAGGCTGCTCAACTCAATATTAGGAAGGTGTTCATGTTTTGTACACTTAGTGAGTGAGTGAGTGTGTATATAGGTAGCATATATATGCATGCTACTGTAGGTAGTGTTAGCTAGCGCTAGTCGGCTGTACCTGTGTCAAGACTATTTTCATCCTATAACTTGTTCTCCCTATTTTTGTTTATAGTGAGCCAACATGTTTTCAGCACTTCTACTTCCCCTGACTGATCAAAACTCGTTTTCTCATGCTTTCTCGTGTCTCTGCAGCAGACATAGTGAGCAATATTTTTGGAACATCAAATCGCAGTATCGTTCGCAATACATATAGAATCATGAGAATCTCAACACATATCGTATCGGCACCTAAGTATTGTAATATCATATTGTGAGGTCCCTGGCAATTCCCAGCCCTATTAACAAACAGCAATTACTATTATAGAAGGAAAAGATGATGTAGCTTAATGTATTGTATGTAGGCAACTAGCACTTCTACTGTGAACTAGTATGATCGCAGAGGAACAGAGAGAGGAAGAGAGAACAATGGAAAGAGGAAAGAGAGGGAGGAAGGGATAAGAGATGGTATTGGCAGAGGAGTGCAGATATTGACACTGTGTGTGTGTGTTATCGAGTGATCCTGCTGAGAGGCTAATTAGCGCATTAGCGGTGCAGCATACGTTCTGGCAGCTTTCTGTACGCCACACACACGTCTACGTCATTGAGGAAGAATAACCCCCACAGATATCCCTTCTGATTAATGTGAATGTGCAATGTTATGAGGCAAGTCCACTGTGCTGGGGGGGGGGGGGGGTGAGTGTGGTGTCTCTTTTCCACTCTGTTCTGGTCACTGCCACCTCTATAGCGCCACAATTCCATGTGTGATGACAGAGCGAAAATGAGCAAAGTGACCTACTTGCAGAAGTGCCCACCCTGTGGTGTGTGTGGTGATTACTGGAACTACCATATCACACACTGCTCTAGGGAGTGGCTAAAAGTTCACTCTGCACTCGGCTATGTGTCCTGGCCACCAGCCACACCACTGGTCATCAGTCATGAAGCTAGTTCCCACGGGGATAGTCTAACCAGCCTGGCATAGAGCTGAATAACAAGAGTTGGATCTGAATCAAAGTACACTATATATACAAAAGTACATGGACACCCCTTCAAATTAGTGGATTCTTCCATTTCAGCCACACTCGTTGCTGACAGGTGTATAAAATTGAGCGCACAGCCATGCAATCTCCATAGACAAACATTGGCAGTATAATGGCCTTACTGAAGAGCTCAGTGTCTTTCAAAGTGGCACCGTCATAGGATGCCACCTTTCCAACAAGTCAGTTCCTCAAATTTCTGGCCTGCTAGAGCTGCCTCGGTCAACTGTAAGTGCCGTTATTGTGAAGTGGAAACGTCTAGGAGCAACAACGGCTCAGCCGCGAAGTGGTAGGCCACACAAGCTCACAGAACGTGACCGTCGAGTGCTGAAGCACGTAGCGCCTAAAAATCGCCTGTCCTCAGTTTCAATACTCACTACAGAGTTCCAAACTGCCTCTGGAAGCAACGTCAGCACAATAACTGTTCATCGGGAGCTTCATGAAATGTGTTTCCATGGCCGAGTAGCACTACACAAGCTTAAGATCACCATGCGAAATGCCAAGCATCGGCTGGAGTGGTGTAAAGCACGCCGCCATTGGACTCTGGAGCAGTGGAAACGCGTTCTCTGGAGTGATGAATCACGTTTCACCATCTGGCAGTCCGACAGACGAATCTGGGTTTGGCGGATGCCAGGAGAACGCTACCTGCCCCAATGCATAGTGCCAACTGTAAAGTTTAGTGGAGGAGGAATAATGGTATGGTGCTGTTTTTCATGGTGTACTTCCAACTTTGTGGCAACAGTTTGGGAAGGCCCTTTCCGGTTTCAGCATGACAATGCCCCCATGTACAAAGTGAAGTCCATACAGAAATAGTTTGTCGAAATCGGTGTGGAAGAACTTGACTGGCATGCACAGAGCCCTGACCTCAACCCCATCGAACACCTTTGGGATGAATTGGAACGGCGACTGTGAGCCAGGCCTAATCACCCAACATCAGTGACCGACCTCACTAATGCTCTTGTGGCTGAATGGAAGCAAGTGACTGCAGCAATGTTCCAACATCTAGTAGAAAGCCTCCCGGAGGAGTGGCAAAGGAGAGACCAACTCCATAGTAATGCCCATGATTTTGGAATGAGATGTTCGACGAGCAGGGGTCCACATACCTTTGGTCATGTAGTGTATGTAATACTGTATGAACTATGAAGGGCGGTCGCATAGCTATTGGATAGCATAAAAAGCCACCAATTGTAAGCCGCTCTGGATAAGAGAGTGTCTACTAAATGACTAAAATGTGATTCTAAAATGCTCTGTGACTTAGGAACATAATATTCTGTACGCTAACCTACCAAATGAACTAGATAGCCCAATCAAGGTAGCCCCTCCAAACAAGTGAACCTCACTGATCAAACCACCAAAACGCATCTAATTAACATAACAGCTATGGAACACAACCAAACACACCAAAGCAATCCAGTGGATGAAGTGAAACCTTCCTAACCCAGTCTGCCTGCTGCCACATGGCTAACTAGGAAACTACATAGTTTCCACAGACAGCATATCACCTAGCGATAGACTCCTCAGCAACACAAAAAGCTAAATAAAATCCTTCCAAATGAAACAACGGAAAGAAACAGTGAAAGAATTGAAAGGAGTGAAATGCCACCAACTGAAACTTATTAAATCAAGCATTTTCTTTGAATGGAAATGCACAAATCAAAAGTAGAGACCGAAATGTCAAACAGTCATCCAGTAAATGAGTTTAAGACTATTTGTAGTCCCATCTGAGAGGGCTACGGAGAGCAGAGGGACAAACCTTTGTCTTCTGCTGGGTTTATACACTTGTGTAGTCTCCACTGCTTACTGCTGCTAGAGACCTGTGCAATGTGAAACTCACGCACCCCAGCCTCACTCTGTAGAGAGAGAGAGAGAGAGAGAATATGTATCATAATGATCAGCATTTAAAGTCAACATATTGAACAGCAATGTCTGACTTAATATTCATGTGTACATCACATCCACATCAGCATGCCCTATCATGCTTGTACAGTTCACAACACAGAGGAAACTTGAATAACAAATGTACCATCAATCATCACCTTAACTATGAGTGATTGTGTGACTGAAATAGTATGTGTGCGTATGAGTATCACAACAGAACGTGTGTTAGTGTGTGTGTATAGCATGTTTTGTGTGTGCACGCATGTGTTGAGCTCACTGAGTTGATGTTCTCCACGTCAACAAAGACCAGCATGCTGCCGTTCCTCCCCTCCTCCCCCTCCTCCTCCTCCTCCGGCAGTGTGTTACTACGACAAGCTGTGGCCCGAACAGACAGTGAACGACTCACACAAATAAATACTGTGTGACGCAACACCCTGTGACTGGGGGGGTGAGAGAGAGAGGGGGAGGGAAAGAGGAGATGGAGAGAAGGGGGCAGGGAGGTAAGGAGGGGGAGAGAGTGGGGAAGGGAGAGAGAGGGGTTTGAGATGGAGGAAAGCAGAGAACGTGAGTGGAGTGACAGAAGGAGAGAGCAGAAGTTAGATGGAGGGATGGTCAAAAGAGAAACGGATGGAGGGAACGAGAGATGAGGAAAAAGAGATTGAGTCATTTAAATGTGTTCATGCAATGCATTTACAACTCAAACGTTGTGCTTAGTAATGCTGCAGGCTCTATATAATTGAAACTACGAAAACCACATTAAAATTAAACCATTTAATTTAAACAGATGATCAGGCACATTCTGTAAGATGTGAAATGTCCTTTATGAAGAGAAAAATAAATAACTTTCCAAAGTAGAATGATATGGCTTTTCAAAAGTGTCCCAATTTGACCTCATTTGATCTCCAATGAGCACAGATTTTAAAGCAAGACTGACAAACATTCAGGGGTACATTCAGGATGTCTAGGAGGCTAAGAAATGGACACCTGTATTGAAATGATACCTAATATGATACCTAATATGCTGCAGGCAGTGCTTAAATTGGGCCGGTGCTCATCTTCCATTTTCTACTGCTTGATTACACCCCTCAAGTCAACTCTCATAGCATATTTGCTCTAAAATATGTGAAATTAAAACTTTTTAATTCAACTTGAAGCACTAGTCATGCTTAAAATAGACTCTAAATGTAAAAAAATTACTTTAATCATATTGAATTTAAATCATGTAATACAATTGTAGAAAAGACATGAGGAATCTCTTTCATGTTCCACTCCTTGGTTTGTGTACTAGTGAATAATCTTCAACTCTCCCTATGCCTCTCCTCTACCTGAATATAAAAAGGCTACTTTCTTCCCTTATCGCTTTCACGTTACACTATTTGGCTTGTGAATGTGTATTGACTAATGAGTGAATACCAGTCTTCTCTTTCCCTACCTGATCTTAACTTGTGTAGTCTTGTGTGAAGACTTGAAACGTAGGCAGCTTTCCCAATTTCTTTGAGGATTACATCTGCTCCGTTCCGTCTTTTATTATGAGATAGTTTCTTGCATTCATGTCTTTCATCAGGCAGCTTCCCCACAGCCCTACCTGAATAGAATAGCCTGCTTTCTCTTCTAACTGATTAACAGGCTGCTCTCTCCCTTTTCTGGATGGCTGCTGTAGGCCTAATGTGTAGTGAGTAACAGGCTTCTCTCTCGAATAACTCTCCCCTATCGGATTATAAAAGGTTGCTCTTTTGCTCTCCCCTACCTGATTTGGATTCTCTCCCCCGCTTCAATGGCTGGTCTAATGTGGCTTTTCAGTATGTAGTGAGTAACAGACTTCGCTCTTGAATAACTCTCCTCTACCTGACCTTGGCTTGTGTAGTGAATATCCTACCTGATCTTGCCTCCCTTCTCGGCGCTCTCGTAGTAGAACAGGAAGTTGATCTCGTGGACTCCTTCCTGGTCTGGTCCTCTCAGCCACAGGGGCAGCTGGGTAGATTCTCCAGGCTTTAGTGTCCCCTCTCCTAGAGGGATCTCTGCTACCCATTTACCCCCCGTACCCGCACCGGACACTCCTCCTCCTCCCAACCCTGTCCCCGACCCAAAGTCCCCCGCTGAAACCAGTGTCACCGCGGCAACGGACCCGGGCGTGGCGCCAGGGGGTGTGGCCAGAGTTTTGTAGGCGGAGCAGTTTTCAAAAGAGGTGGGGCTGAGTGGGGTGAGAGGTGTGGCTAAGGAGGTGCTTCCAAAGGTAAAGAAGTCTGGGTGCGTGGACGCCACCCGCAGGCCACACAGGGTAACGCGACTCACGTTACAGAACTCCACGTAAGCCTTCCTGATCTCACCACATAGCAGGGCGGTAGGGAACTGGAGGAAGAATACCTGGGGGGGGGGGGGGGGGGGTGCGAAAGGGAGAGAAAGCGGAGAGAGTGAGGAAGAGAGGGGTGGGGGGATGGGATAGTGATAGAGAAATGGGGACAGAGAGAGGTTAGTTAATGGGTGACCAGTTACAGTGTAGCAGTCTTTCTCAGGAGACAGGCAGCATAAAGCAGTGATAGGGAGGGACTTGGCTGCCAGTCATTTGAATATAGACTAGTCTGAATCCATCCCATAATTACTCATATACTGCCCAGTTCAATCTAAATGGAAATACATCGCCGAAATTGAGAAAGTAGATGGGGGAAAAAAAGTAGATGAAATCCCGAAAGATGGAATAATCAGAAACCACCTAATTTTATTTTCACGACTATGTATGGATGGAACAGTTTGTATTTTTATGGACCATAGACATATTCATATCGCTGGTATGGAACCATCAGTCATACAGGGAAAGAGGAGGGCAGACAGCAGAGAGTGAGGGGTGGAGAGCAGTGGGTAATGGACAATGGACGAGCCCTGAATCAAAAATTTACCCCCTAGCCCCTACCTACTCCCTAGCCATTCCTGTGGATCTAAGAATTACTTCCACTAATCCAATCCTCTCAGATCTACAGAAGTGTCCAGTGAGTAGGGATCTAGAGATCCAGGGGCTAAGGGTTGATTTGGAATTGAGCGAGTACCTCTAGCAGGGGCATGGGAGGGGTGATGGTGGGGTCGAGACGTCGGTCAGGACCGTGGCTGACTGAGGTCTTCTCCTCTTTGGTCTGGTTCAACCGTGGTCCCTGGATCTCTAGGTCCTGTCGACCACGAACTGACGTCCCCTCTGCCGCTGAGGGACCTGTTGAGAGGACCGCAACCACATTGGTCAGGTGAGAGGGACCAAAACAGGATAATAAACCGGGTGGTTCGAGCCCTTAATGCTGATTGGCTGAAAGCCGTGGTATATCAGAAAATTACTATTTACTGCTCTAGTTACATTGGTAACCAGTTTATAACAGCAATAAGGCACCTCAGGGGTTTGTAGTATATGGCCAATATACCACAGCTAAGGTCTGTATCCAGGCATTCTGTGTTAAGCTGTGCTAAGAACAGCCCTTAGCCGTGGTATATTGGCCATATACCACACACCCTCAGGCCTTATTGCTTAATTATAGTACTGGTTTTACTGTGTGTGTGTGACTGCATGACCATGTGTATATGTTACCTTCGCTCTGTGAGGCTGCGGTGCTGTTGATAGTAGTGTCTCCAGTAGAGGGGGTGGAGGCCAGGTTATAGACCAGACCCAGGATGTTGAGTTGACCTGTCTGGTGGGGCAGCAGTTTCAGACGAGCCTGAGGGAGGAGACAGAGAGGGGTCAGAAAGAGAACAAAATGATAGAGACTAATTGTAAGAGGAAAAGGAGGAGAGACTGTGGGTTGGACATAGAGAGAAGTCACAGAAAATTAGGGAGAGAGAGAGAGAGAGGAAAGACAGCAAGAAGAGAGCACCATAAAAGGCAGCTTACCAATCTCGTCTCCTCAGGGCTCAGGTAGAACTCTGGGATGACTTCTGTGGCGATGACGTCATCTTTCTGTGGGGTCTGCAGCAGGAGGGGTTGTAAAAAGTAGAGGTTAAATGAGCCTGCTGATGACCTTTGCAGACAGGACGAGCCGATTGAAGAATAGTCCAGGTCATATTCAATAGGCACCAAAACGGGGAGGGACTTATCCAATAAGAAAAACATGTTTTTGCTACGGTGTGTACTTATGAACACGACCCTGCTCTTACAGCACTGTAGCCTCACAGACCAAAGGTAACACACACACTCTTACCCTGGGAGTGATGGCCTCCTTCTCGTTGCTGATGGCAACGGCGTCTCCGACCGAGTCTTCCTGCGGTTGCGGTCGATTGAAGTCTTTGAGCGTGAACTTCCAGAGCAGCGAGAGGTCAGAGAGAACCAGTGGAACCTTTAGAGGGTTCCGGAACACCACCTCAACTATGATTGGTTCTAGAGGTAGAGATGTAGAGAGAGCGATGTAGAAAGAGATGGCGACAAGGGGTGTTTAGAGAAGAGAGAGAGAGAGAGAGAGAGAGCACGAGACGAGGGGTAGAGAGAGCGCGAGACGAGGGGTAGAGAGAGAGCGACGCGAGGGGTAGAGAGAGAGCGACGCGAGGGGTAGAGAGAGAGCGACGCGATGGGTAGAGAGAGAGCGAGACGAGGGGTAGAGAGAGAGCGAGACGAGGGGTAGAGAGAGAGCGAGACGAGGGGTAGAGAAGAGGCGAGAGGTAGAGAGAGAGCGAGAGGTAGAGAGAGAGGCCGACACGAGGGGTAGAGAGAGAAGCGACACGAGGGTAGAGAGAGAGCGACACGAGGGTAGAGAGAGAGCGAGACGAGGGGTTAGAGAGAGCGAGACGGGGGTAGAGAGAGAGCGAGACGAGGGGTAGAGAGAGAGCGAGACGAGGGGTAGAGAGAGAGCGAGACGAGGGTAGAGAGAGAGCGAGACGAGGGGTAGAGAGAGAGCGAGACGAGGGGTAGAGAGAGAGCGAGACGAGGGGTAGAGAGAGAGCGACACGAGGGGTAGAGAGAGCGACGAGGGGTAGAGAGAGCGACGCGAGGGGTAGAGAGAGAGCGACGCGAGGGGTAGAGAGAGAGCGAGGCGAGGGGTAGAGAGAGAGCGAGGCGAGGGGTAGAGAGAGAGCGAGACGAGGGGTAGAGAGAGAGCGAGACGAGGGGTAGAGAGAGAGCGAGACGAGGGGTAGAGAGAGAGCGAGACGAGGGGTAGAGAGAGAGCGAGACGAGGGGTAGAGAGAGAGCGAGACGAGGGGTAGAGAGAGAGCGAGACGAGGGGTAGAGAGAGAGCGAGACGAGGGGTAGAGAGAGAGCGAGACGAGGGGTAGAGAGAGAGCGAGACGAGGGGAAGAGAGAGCGACACAAGGGGTAGAGAGAGCGACACAAGGGGTAGAGAGAGCGAGGTAGCGAAAGAGAGAGCGAGGTAGCGAAAGAGAGAGCGAGGTAGCGAAAGAGAGAGCGAGGTAGTGAAAGAGACGAGAGGTAGAGAGAGACGAGATAAAGACAACAGGATGAGAACAGACAACACCACTTCAACTATGATTGGCTTTACATAGGAGCAAGCGAGAAAAGACACCAGGATGAGGACAAACACAACCAAAAGGTCTGAGGGTATACAGTGCATTCGGAAAGTATTCAGACCCCTTGACTTACGTTACATCCTTATTCTAAAATTGATTCAATTGTATTTTTCCCTCAACAATCTACACACAATACCCCATAATGACAAAGAGAAAAGTTGTTTAAATCATTTTTTCACATTTATTAAAAATAAAACAGAAATACCATATTCACATAAGTATTCAGACCCTTTGCTATGAGACTTGAAATTGAGCTCAGGTGCATCCTGTTTCCATTGATCATCCTTGAGATGTTGCTACAACTTGATTTGAGTCCACCTGTGGTAAATTCAATTGATTGGACATTATTTGGAAAGGCACACACCTGTCTATATAAGGTCCCACAGTTGACAGTGCATGTCAGAGCAAAACCCAAGCCATGTGGTTGAAGGAATTGTCTGTAGATCTCCGAGACAGGATTGTGTCGGGGCACAGACCTGGGGAAGGGTGCCAAAAAATGTCTGCAGCATTGAAGGTCCCCAAGAACGCAGTGGCCTCAATCATTCTTAAATGGAATAAGTTTGGAACCACCAAGACTCTTCCTAGAACTGGCCGCCCGGCCAAACTGAACAATCAGTGGAGAAGGGCCTTGGTCAGGGAGTTGACCAAGAACCAGATGGTCAATCTGACAGACCTCCAGAGTTCCTCTGTGGAGATGGGAGAACCTTCCAGAAGGACAACCATCTCTGCAGCACTCCACCAATCTGGCCTTTATTGTTGAGTTGCCAGACGGAAGCCACTCCTCAGTAAAAGGCACATGACAGCCCACTTGGAGTTTGCCAAAAGGCACCTAAAGGACTCTCAGACCATGAGAAACAAGATTATGTGGTCTGATGAAACCAAGTTTGAACTCTTTGGCCTAAATGCCAAGCGTCACGTTGAGGAAATCTGGCACCATCCCTACGGTGAAGCATGGTGGTGGCAGCATCATGATGTGGGGATGTTTTTCAGCGGCAGGGACTGGGAGACTAGTCAGGACCGAGGGAAAGATGAACGGAGCAAAGTACAGATAGATTCTTGATGAAAACCTGCTCAGGACCTCAGACTGGGGGGAAGGTTCACCTTCCAACAGGACAACGACCCTAAGCACACAGCCAAGACAACGCAGGAGTGGCTTCGGTGTGGCCCAGCCAGAGCCCAGACTTGAACCCGATCTAACATCTTTGGAGAGACCTGAAAATAACTGTGCAGCAACGCTCCCCAACCAACCTGACAGAGCTTGAGAGGATCTGCAGAGAAGAATGGGAGAAACTCCCCAAATACAGTTGTGCCAAGCTTGTAGCGTCATACCCAAGAAGACTCGAGGCTGTAATCGCTGCCAAAGGTGCTTCAACAAAGTACTGAGTAAAGGGTCTGAATTCTTATGTAAATGTCATATTTCTGTAAATTTTTTTGTGTAAAAAAATCTAAAAACCAGTTTTTGCCTTGTCATTATGGGGTATTGTGTGTAAATTGATGAGGAAATGAAAGAATGTAATCAATTTTAGAACAAGGCTGTTACGTAACAAAATGTGGAAAAAGTCAAGGGGTCTGAATACTTTCTGAATGTTTTGTATGTGAGGATAGTGAATTCAATACTATTTATAATATGTGTGTGTGGTTGCAGGTGCAGGGTTGTGTGTGTGTGTGTGTGTGTGTGTGGGCTAACTATCAAGCTATCAGACTTATAGCTGAATAGAAGATAGAGATGAGGGAGTGGGATAAGAAAAGAAAGCCGTGCTAAAAGGAGGAGGAATGAGAGACAGGAGTGTTAGTGTACTTACCCTCCACAACAGCAAGCGGGATGCGGAGGTTGTCCGTCTGACTGTTCAGGCAGCACTGGGTGGGTTGAAACGTTGCCGGGACGACCCCACGGTTGGCGGCGGCAACCACCTGTTCCTCGAGGTCCTGCCACATGGCAGCTAGGTCCCGGTCAAACTCCTGGTCCAAGGACACGTGGGTGGCTGCCTGCTTCTCACCTGATCAATAAACCAATATCACAATCAATTAGGGATGTAACGATTCACTGATACGCATCAGTCCCCAGTTCAAATGTTTAAGATACGAGTGCATCGGTCCGTTGGACCCCAAATCAATCCAAATGTAGCATGCATCGGTCAGGAAATCGATTAAAACGTTACGAAATCGCCTGTTTCCAAAAATGTTTTGCTCAAATGTCTTTTTACCTTCCGAAAATACCTCTCATCTATTGTGACAACTGTGTCCTCTCCTTCAGTGTCGAACTAAGCATGTAATTGTGTTGACAGTCATTGATCTACAAGTTATTTTGCATGTAGAAAAAGAAAAACAGGCATTATCAGTAGCGTAGTCAAACTGTGCGCTATATGCAGCTTCGTGTGCTGACCAATGAGGTAGGCCTATTCCTCATCTGACACGTTAGTAAAATGGCTTGCGCAAAGCTGCTTTATTAGTTGAGTGACAACCAATGTAATTTACTAGGTTATTTTTTATCAAATGCGCCGTTGACAATTGTGTTTTACCGGAATGAAAGTAGCCTAAGGTACCGTCGGAGACAACGTATCTGGCTATAGGTAGGCTACATGCTGATTGAAGCTTACATTCGATTTTATTTCGATTGTTCAGCAATTCAATAGGCACCAAAACGGATTGTTCAGCAAACATCGCCCCCCCCCTAACTGATAGTGGTGTGGTAGATGCCCAGTTTCCCTTATGGCTCAGCTCAGAATCACACCAAATCATTTCAAACTAAAACATATCGTTCCTGTAGCGTATCGGAGCCCATGTATCTAGATACGTATCAAATCGTCTTGAAAGTGAAAGATGCACATCCCTACAATCAATCGATCAATATCAAACCAATTAATTGATCAATCAATCAATCAGATCATTATGGATCAAACCAGCACTATGCAGTAGAACATATACTGCAATAATACAACTGAAAAAGGACATTTTGGGCAAAAAATTGCTATGTGAGTTGGTTGATGCAAAAGGGATACATACAGACAAACGTACACAAGCCTACAAACATTCCATAAATGCCACATTATCTCTGGTGGCTCTGTTGTGACAGACCGTGTCAGGGGATAATGACTCATTTAACTTCATGTTTGTGACCTTCTTTCCTCAACACCAACACACACCCCACTTATGACACATGCACACCTACGTATGTAACGGTATGCCACGTCTCAACCCCCACAGGACAATACCTCCTTTTGTGCTAAAAATGTGTCTGATTTTAAATGTCTTCAGGACTGAGTCTTAATCCTAAATTACAAAACTAAGGACAGGCGGTTATGGTAGGAAACTAAATTATTATGTTTTGTTCGTTTGGAGGGCCTGTTTAAATGAAGCAGCTGTAATCAGTGGAGGAAGGAACTTTCTCCAAGGACGCTGATTTAGAAATGTATTTATTCAGCCCAGGCGGCCACCTCCACACACTTTGGCAATGTCTGAAATGGCACACTATTCCCCACTTGGTCAAAATATGTGCACTATATAGGGAATAGGGTGCCATTTGGGACGCAGTCTTTAACTCCTCTGATCTTCATTCAAAGTTTGACTCTTTAATAACGAAGCTAGTCACACTTTCACTCAGCAGCAGTGCACAAACACTAGACTTACGTCTCGTTTCACAGTCTCAAACGCACATTTAAGTTCACACACACACTGCACTCTGTCTCACAGCTATTTTGCAGCTTGAAATATGTGATTGGGGAGCAGTGTGTGTGTGTCTCAGTCTTACCCTCTGCCAGGCGGCGTTCATGGCCGAAGTAGACCCTGGTGGCAGAGCTGTTGATGCAGGGTAGGGGCAGCTGGGGTAGCGCCACCTCACACACACCCGTCACATTCTGGAGGAACAGGTAGAGCGCAAGGAGATACTGTTAACACACACACAAGGCTGTGACGGTCTTGGAATTTCAGGTTACAGTAATTGGCCAGGCCAATGTCAGACTCAAAAGAAACATGGCTTTTCTCTGCAATTTCACTATTATGAGTAGCATTTAATTTTTATTATTCAAGTTATTATTACTTCTAAATATTAGTCTAGTATACAAATTAAGTAATGCCAGATTGGAGAGGATTGTCACATTTTTCATATTGAGACAACTTAACACACAGGCTATAAGACTCAAAAGAAACGTGCAATTTCACTATTGCATTACGCTTCGTACACACATACACACGGAGGACCAGAGTTCTGTAGTGTGTGCAGTAGGGCCGGGACGACACCAGTATCACAATACTCGTTAGTAACACGGAAAAACAGCCCTAATGTCAGGGGTGAAAGTAAGGCGGTACAATCCGGTAATAGTGGGGGTACGCCGTATCGGTAGAACATGAGCCACAATAATTAACACAAAATGTCAAGAAAACTGTAGGCTATTCCACCACTTTATCACTACTGCATTTCAGAGGCATGAAAAATCTGCGAATGGACTGGTAAACAGTTGCTATAGCCTACGCTCCAAAATTCAATGTGGTTCGACGAGAACACTGAAATTTGGCCAACACCGAGACGCGTGCGGACAGCAGTGGATGCATAAATTCTGGCCTAATGACAATTGCCAAATGTCATGACACTTTTTGGTGTTTTGTGTAACAGATGTCTCTTTCCATTCACCACTGTTTGGAGGCTGGAAATATGTTGTGAGTAAATGAATGTGCGCGGGTAGCCTAGTAAACAGCCATCACTAGCACAGAGAGGCTGCTGCCTACATAGACTTGAAAATCACTGGGCACTTTAATAAATGGAACACTAGTCACTTTAATAATGCCACTTTAATAATGTTTACATATCTTGCATTACCCATCTCATATGTATATACTGTATTCTATACTATCTATTGCATCTTAGCGTATGCCACTCTGATAATGACATTGCTCATCCATATATTTATATATTCTTATTCCATTCCTTTACTTAGATTGTGTGTATTAGGTTTTTGTTGTGTAACTGTTAGATATTACTTGATAGATACAGTGGGGAAAAAAAGTATTTAGTCAGCCACCAATTGTGCAAGTTCTCCCACTTAAAAAGATGAGAGAGGCCTGTCATTTTCATCATAGGTACACGTCAACTATGACAGACAAATTGAGAAAAAAAAATCCAGAAAATCACATTGTAGGATTTTTAATGAATTTATTTGCAAATTATGGTGGAAAATAAGTATTTGGTCACCTACAAACAAGCAAGATTTCTGGCTCTCACAGACCTGTAACTTCTTCTTTAAGAGGCTCCTCTGTCCTCCACTCGTTACCTGTATTAATGGCACCTGTTTGAACTTGTTATCAGTATAAAAGACACCTGTCCACAACCTCAAACAGTCACACTCCAAACTCCACTATGGCCAAGACCAAAGAGCTGTCAAAGGACACCAGAAACAAAATTGTAGACTTGCACCAGGCTGGGAAGACTGAATCTGCAATAGGTAAGCAGCTTGGTTTGAAGAAATCAACTGTGGGAGCAATTATTAGGAAATGGAAGACATACAAGACCACTGATAATCTCCCTCAATCTGGGGCTCCACGCAAGATCTCACCCCGTGGGGTCAAAATGATCACAAGAACGGTGAGCAAAAATCCTAGAACCACACGGGGGGACCTAGTGAATGACCTGCAGAGAGCTGGGACCAAAGTAACAAAGCCTACCATCAGTAACACACTACGCCGCCAGGGACTCAAATCCTGCAGTGCGAGACGTGTCCCCCTGCTTAAGCCAGTACATGTCCAGGCCCGTCTGAAGTGCATTTGGATGATCCAGAAGAGGATTGGGAGAATGTCATATGGTCAGATGAAACCAAAATATAACTTTTTGGTAAAAACTCAACTCGTCATGTTTGGAGGACAAAGAATGCTGAGTTGCATCCAAAGAACACCATACCTACTGTGAAGCATGGGGGTGGAAACATCATGCTTTGGGGCTGTTTTTCTGCAAAGGGACCAGGACGACTGATCCGTGTAAAGGAAAGAATGAATGGGGCCATGTATCGTGAGATTTTGAGTGAAAACCTCCTTCCATCAGCAAGGGCATTGAAGATGAAACGTGGCTGGGTCTTTCAGCATGACAATGATCCCAAACACACCGCCCGGGCAACGAAGGAGTGGCTTCGTAAGAAGCATTTCAAGGTCCTGGAGTGGCCTAGCCAGTCTCCAGATCTCAACCCCATAGAAAATCTTTGGAGGGAGTTGAAAGTCTGTGTTGCCCAGCGACAGCCCCAAAACATCACTGCTCTAGAGGAGATCTGCATGGAGGAATGGGCCAAAATACAAGCAACAGTGTGTGAAAACCTTGTGAAGACTTACAGAAAACGTTTGACCTGTGTCATTGCCAACAAAGGGTATATAACAAAGTATTGAGAAACTTTTGTTATTGACCAAATACTTATTTTCCACCATCATTTGCCAATAAATTCATTAAAAATCCTACAATGTGATTTTCTGGATTTTTTTTTCTCATTTTGTCTGTCATAGTTGACGAGTACCTATGATGAAAATTACAGGCCTCTCTCATCTTTTTAAGTGGGAGAACTTGCACAATTGGTGGCTGACTAAATACTTTTTTTCCCCACTGTATTGCTGCACTGTCGGAAAGCATTATGCTACATTCGCAATAACATCTGCTAACCATGTGTATGTGACCAATACATTTGATTTGATTTGTTAAAGGAGCCCTTTGAAGTGATTGTTTGACAATCCGATGAAAACATCATGACTGGTTGTGTTTATGCCACAAAAGGTAATACATTCAAAAAGTTAAATGACAAATCTTTACGACTACGCCCACAGAGATCTTATTTAATTAATTGGGATTCTATACTATATGTAATTCTATTAGGCCCATACATTTTGGTGCACACGCATATAGGAGGTCCTGTACCGGGAAGAAATTCATTCTACTTTCACCCCTGCCTAATGTTGAAAACAAACATAATGTTGTCGTCATCCAGAGTCACATTTATTTATTTTCCAAGCTATAGCACACTATTCTACATACAGCAGGTTTTTACAAGGACCAAAGACATTAGTCTGCTTTGTGTTTTCATTTTTGCCATGGAATTAATATTGCGATACTGGTATCGTCACAGCCCTAGTGTGTAGTGAGTGTGCATGCCTTTTAAACAGCTCGAGAACAAAAGGGAGGAAGGAGGAGTAGAAGACGTGTCACGCAAGTGGCAACACAAACATTTTAAAAGCTTCTTCAACCCTCTCTAATTACCCTCTTTGGTGAAAATAAACCTTTTTCTACAAGGAAATAAGTGTTTTTTAAGATAAATATTGCATTTTTCATTTTAAATGCCATTCGGTTCCAGCCAACATCTTTCTTCCATTCTCTCCGTACAGACCTCTAGAGTCAATACAGATAGTTTACAGTAAAGCCAGGACTGGAGGAGTGGCATCACACAGCCTTGTTATGAATTCGCCTCATGAGGAACAGCAGGCTAGCCAATGATTCCATCCCACTGGCTGGAGCTGGAGTGAACCCAGGAGTGAGTCAACATGCCCCCCCCCCCTCTAGTCTAGTCAGGAGGGCCAGGGGACAGAGTAGTATTGTCACGATACCGGAATTTTGACTATGATACCGATACCAGGTTTAGTATAATGATACTCGATACAAAAACGATACCATGGCAAAAAAATAAGGACTGTAGAAGGACTGTGAGAAGGTCAGTTCTTGTAAATAAATTATCTGGGCTGCCAAAAGGACTGATCTATATGATATATAAATAACTTTTGGAAAGTTCATTTCTGGGCTAGCCATTAAAAAAGTATGGTCCACAGAAGTAGGGGTGCACGGTATCCAATTTTTTTAACCTTCATACCGTTTCTGTACCATACCGGGGTGTACGGTATTACCGAATGAGCACACAAAAAACAAGGATCTTGGTCCAGGAGGGGATTGAATGTCTCTTCTGTAACCAAGAAGCTTGATCTTGACATCCAGCCACTTAGCTAGCAAGTTAGCAAACCGAATGCATAGCTGGAGCCCTGAGATGGATATAATTTATTTGACGCATCTTAAATTTCTCAGTTATACTTAACTTATACACTGAACAAAAATATAAAACGGAACATGTAAAGTGTTGGTCCCATGTTTCATGAGCTGAAATAAAAGATCCCAGAAATGTTCCATATGCAAAAAAAGCTTATTTCTCTCAAATTCTGTGCACAAACTTGTTTACATCCCTGTTAGTGAGCATTTCTCCTTTGCCAAGATAATCCACCCCCCTGACAGGTGTGGCATATCAAGAAGCTGATTAAACAGCATGATCATTACACATGTGCACCTTGTGCTGAGGACAATTAAAGGCCATTCTAAAATGTGCAGTTTTGTCACACAACACAATGCCACAGATGTCTCAAGTTTTGAGTAGCGTGCAATTGGCATGCTGACTGCAGGAATGCCCACCAGAGCTGTTGCCAGAGAATTGAATGTTAACTTCTCTACCATAAGCCGCCTCCCAACGTTGTTTTAGAGAATTTGGCAGTACGTCCAATAGGCCTCACAACCGCAAACCACGTGTATGGCGTCGTGTGGGCGAGCGGTTTGCTGATGTCAACCTTGGGGACAGAGTGCCCCATGGTGGTAGTAGGGTTATGGTATAAGTAGGCATAAGCTACGGACAACGAACATGATTGCATTTTATCGATGGCAATTTGAATGCACAAAAATACCATTATGTTTTTTATTTTTTATCTGTGACCAACAGATGCATATCTGTATTAACAGTCATGTGAAATCCATAGATTAGGGCCTAAATGAATTTATTTCAATTGACTGATTTCCTCATATGAACTGTAACTCAGTAAAATCAATGAAAATTGTTGCGTTTATATTTTTATTCAGTATAATTATAAGCAGTGGCGTAGCGAGTGCTCCCGAGTGGCGCAGTGGTCTAAGGCACTGCATCGCAGTGCTTGCTGTGCCACTAGAGATCCTGGTTCGAATCCAGGCTCTGTCGTAGCCGGCCGCGACCGGGTGACCCATGGGGCGGCGCACAATTGGCCCAGCGTCGTCCAGGGTAGGGGAGGGAATGGCCGGCAGGGATGTAGCTCAGTTGGTAGAGCAGGATTGTGGGTTCGATTCCCACGGGGGGTATAAAAAAATATATATAATGTATGCACTCACTAACTGTAAGTCGCTCTGGATAAGAGCGTCTGCTAAATGACGTAAATGTAAATGTAGCACGCACCGTTTATTCCGGGGTATCACCCAAGCCTAGATCTAAGTGAATCTGAACAACCCTTTAACTGGAACAGAATATGGAAACATGTGACCTTGGAAAACAACTTATACATTTTATGTTTGTTCACAGACTGTATTTAAAACCAAGGAAACGTTTTATAATGAAATTGGCCCCAACTCCCAAATGTTCACTGTGTCCTCTAAATCAGGCAGGCACATTCCTTCATATGTGGGAGTGCCCTGCAGTTAAATGCTTCTGGGACAAAGTTCCAAATTCATTTCAAAGTGCATGAATGTAAATATTAAGTCTACTATGTTACTTAACGATGATAGCTCCTTGAATCTCTCAATCAATCAGAGACTGCTGGAAGGCAGCTCTGTTGCACTTCAAAATTAATTATAGGCCACCTCGTTTCTTTATATACCAATTTGATTATTACAAAATCCTGTGATCAATATGATAATTTCTCTGTATGCATTTCTTATTTTAGTTATTTTTTTTGAGTGTCAGCCCACGGGTACATGTTATATAAACTGAATATATACTGAGTGTACAAAACATTAAGGACACCTTCCTAATATTGAGTTCAATTCGTCTAGGCATGGACTCTACAAGGTGTTGAAAGCATACAGGGACACAACTTAAATGTTGTGTCTTGCCCATTCACCTTCTGAATGGCACACATTCACAACCCATGTCTCAATTGTCTCAAGGCTTAAAAATCTTCATCTACACTGATTGAAGTGGATTTAACAGGTGACATCAATAATGGATCATAGCTTTCACCCCGATTCACCTGGTCAGTCTGTCATGGAAATAGCAGGTGTCCTTACGTTTTTGTACACTCAGTGTATGAAATGATATGAATATTGTACCTGTACACCATGCAACACTTGGACAGCGTGTGTCAAACCAGAGTCTATCACGCCATGGCCTTGTTGAGGGGTCTAGAGGTACTCTAAGGAAGGCTTCCTGAGCCTCCCTGTATTACGCTAATGTTAAGGCTGTATTGAGGTTATGTATAGGTTGTGTTGTGATCTTGTTTTCTTGACTCCCTGCTGTGGGGTTGTAATAATGTTGTGCTAACGTTGTGTTAAAGTTGTTTTAAGGTTGTGATAGGATTGTATTAACATTGTAAGGGTGTTACCTTGTAGACGTAGAGGTATTCCCGGAGGAAGGCTCCCTGCTGTGTGGAGGTTTGCTGGCTGTCGTTGGTGAGGATGTGTCTGAAGGCTGAGACAGCGTTCTCTGGTTGGCGCAGGGTGAAGGACTGGCGGCCGATAGTGAAGTTGATATGGTCCTCAGCCAGGGACCAGCCTTTACCCTTATACACCTGCATGGCCTGGCAGTAACACCGCAACGCATGGCGCTTCTACAGGGAGGGAGAGAGAGGGGGCAGATACAGCAGAGGGAAAGGAGAGGAAGAAAACAATCAAGAGTTCTGAAATGGAATGCTCAAACGATTCTAAAACTTTGAAGACTGCAGGCCTCCCGCTCAAACGGGGCTTCAGATGGACAGAAACCATATCACCTGTCTGACCCACCAGTAGAATCAATTCTGTTTCACCTTGTCTCAGATCACCACATTCTGCTTTTAAAAAGGCCTCATTGGTGTTCACACACCCACAATTCCTCTTTAACAGGGATTTACATACCGAAGTACATAGTACCTCCCTGTTTCGCTCTCTTCAGTTTCAGGTCTACAGAACACGGCCTAACTTTAGCCTGTTTTGGTCACACTCACCTGCCCTGCCTTGCTGAAGCGGTGTCCTGCCAGGATCATGTGGAAGGCAAACTTCCTGACCATGGGGTTCCGCATGTTAATAAAACAGTGGGCTGCCTGCTCCAATAGGAGGGCAGAACGCAGGTCAGAGTCCTGGGAGGGAGATAGACAGGGTTATACAGGTTAGCTAATAACATGGACATACCACACATTTTTATTTAACCTTTATTTATACAGGTTAGTCTAATTTAGATCAAATCTAGTTTGCAAGAGAAACCTGTTCAAGACGGCAGTAGGCAGCAACATAAAAGTTTCACACATAAATATGCTACACGTAACATACAGAGATCTGACTGCTACAGATGTATACAGAGCCAGAGGTTAATCTATAGTGGAAAAACATAGAACCTGATACAATGATAAATCAGAAGTAGTGTCTAGAGCCCGACCAATGTTTATTTAGGTCCAATACAGATTCAGATTTTTTGGGGGACATAACTTACTGATATATCTGCCTATATACTGTTTAACAGCGAGGAAATTCAATCATTATTCCACACTGAACTCTCAAAAATTGCCATCCAACAGAGCAATTGTCTAAGAAAAACGCTTCAAAATGTTGACTTCTTACAATAGTGACAATAATGACATCATGAGAATGGCCGCAAGTGTTCAGATAAGCATGAGATTCCCTTTTTTCATCTCATTTTTTGAATATCGGTTATCGGTGGAATTATCGTCCAATAACGATATAGTATTAGAAGGCCAATATCGGCCGTGCTCTAGTAGGGTCTTCTCACCTCACTGGTCATCTTGATGAGGAGGGTAGCAGCATCAGAGTACTTGGCCTGACTCTTTAGTACCTCAGCACTGAGCAGAGCACAACGTTCAGCTAGGACCATGTTCCTGTATGGGGGACAGACATTTATAAAACATATTCTTACACACACACTACCATAGGGGTGAGAGAGCCTGTGTAGTTTTGTGGCTTGTATGCGGCTATGAGGCTGGGTATTTTAGCTTACTGGCCATTGTTAGTCGATGTGCGATTTTGTGACAACACGTGTGTGTGTGTGTGTATGTGTGTGTGTGTGTGTGTGTGTGTGTGTGTGTGTGTTAATGTCGTACTTGGACACATCTCTGTAGGTCTGTATTGCCGTGTCCATGTAGTGTGCTGGATACGGCCTTGGAGCCCCAACCTGTAGAAACGCAGACACTGCTGCCATCTCCTACAGACAGAGAGAGGAGAGAAGAGAAGAGAGGAAGAGAGAGAGACAGACAGAGACAGACAGAGAGAGACAGAGAGAGAGAGGAGGAGGATAATGGGAAAGAGATGAATGAGAGAGAGCGAGAGGAGAAAGATTAGACAGTGGGAGAGAAACCGAAAGAGACAAAGGAGAGAGGGGCAGCAAAAGAGGAGAAAGATAATCATTTAAAATCTATTCATCATACATCCATACACCCATCAGTGTTGAGTGTTATAAATGGTAATATGGTGGGTGTGTTGAGGATAGGTATCAGACACGTGAGGGGCGGTCACGGTTCCAGACCATCGGCCTGCCATTAATAGTCTGGCTACACACACACACCTGTCTGCCGTTCATATTTAGGTGACCCAGAAAGCCATGAGGCGTGGCCGCATCGTTAACACTGCAGGACGCTAGGACAGGAAGCAGAGGGCGGGAGATCAATATGGTGTGTGTGTGTGGCCATTTTCCAATATCATTCAGTGTTGTATGTCTGTCTAGGGCACTCCCATGATGCATTCTTCAGATGTGCACCGGTGACACCACCTCTAGTTCTGTCATTGTTGTTGTTGTTGTTGTTGTTGTACCTTTAATGATGCTTCTGTTCTCTCAGACATCAAATTACAGTCTTTGTTCTTTAAGTTCTATGACTCCTCTGAACATTCTACAGGACAAACTTCACATTTACTTTCTTTCTAGTCTGCTGTGGTAGACACCCTACTGCTCAGGTCTCCAAGAGTACAAAAACTCAAGACTCTGTTCTTGTTTTGTTCACGTCATTCAGAGGTGCAAGGTAGATTGGTGTGTGTGTGCTCAGTCTCAGTATTGTGCATGTGCTGCTGCTGCCAAGCACTTACTTCACCTTCTGGCACCTAAACATTACCTCCTGCTGTGTCCTTTCTGCAAGACTGTTAACTACCTTCATGACAATGTACTGTGTGTGCGCATGCGACGTGTGTGTATGAGCATGTGTACGCACGTGTGTGTTTATGCGTGTGTGTTCTCTTTGAGAGTGTGTGTGTGTATGCGCTCTTGTTCTCTCTCCCTCTGTGTAGGTGTGTGTTCTCACCAGTGCCCCAGCGGCATAGAGCATGGCCTGGTCAGAGAGGAAATCCTTCTTGGCCGTGTGGTAGCAGCTGTAGGCCAGCTCATAGTGCTGAACCAGAAAACACAGGTCAGCCATCTTCCTGATCTGCAGCTCAGGGGCTTCTGGGGGATAGCTAATGACATCACACAGGACAGAGGGCAAAGGTCAGACCGCTCAGGAGATAAGGAGGTGGAGGTGTTCGCAAACGGCCATCCAGAACCATTCTGAGGCTGTGTCCCAAATGGCACCCTAGTGTTCTCTATTTAGTGCACTACATTTGACCAGGGCCCATAGGCCTCTGGTCACAAGTAGTACACTATAGGGAATAGGATGCCATTTGGGATACACACAGATCCTCAGCTGTAATAGCAAACCACCATCCTGAACAATTCAAAATATGCAAACTCTACACTTCTTTGGGTGAAAGCCTACAGCTGATCTCTGACGAGTTCTAACGCTCTCTAGCCTCTCGTTCTGCACCTCTGATTAGACACGTGGATGGTTGAACACAGTAAATGTGTGATTGTGTGCATACTGTATGTACCAGAGTGTGATCCCAGGTGTGATCTGTTAATGAGAGGACCCTGCCATCCTTTACAATCACTGGTCAGTAAGCAGCGTGATAGCTTTGGTCTTGGCACTTACTAACAGGAAAATCTCCTCGCTAATGGTGATATGAAGGTGATGAAGAGTAAGAAGAGGAGGAGGAAGGTGATGTACTTACAGGAGGCCAGAAGTGTTCTTCAGTTCAGCAATACTCTTCTCTGGAACTTTCCCTCCTCCAAACCACTTCTTAGTGGCAGAGAAAAGAGAGCGACTCAAGCCTTTCCTGGAGACCAGCTACAGAGAGTGAGAGGGGGAGGGAGAGAAAAGGAATGAGATCAGATCATTAGAAGGCCTAAGGCCATATCATTGATCGTTCCATCCATCAATCAGTCATTCCAGGATTTCGCTGCTTTTCTTGGGAGTGATATTTGCAGGCAAAAATGCTTGATTTTGCTGCTGCAATTCTGACATTTTGCATGGCAATCTGCAATGATTTTGTCCAATTTGCCGTGCAGTAATCGGACAGTTTTATGCTGTAATATTGAAGTGATTTGACTGTTTTATGTGGTTATTGGTCAAATCTTCTCATAATATGCAGGGAATTGACAATTTTACAAAAGAAAAAAGCAATCGCAGAATCACGAAGGGACTAATTATTAAATCCACAATACACTAGACAGAGTGCCGACATTATATTACCGCAGCGTGTGTGTCCGCGGTCACTGAGCCGTCTCATGGTCACTGTGTATGTGTGCGTGTCTTTCTACCTGGTCATTGAGCTGTCTGATGTTCTTCTCTATGTGAGGCAGTAGTCCCCTGAAGGTAAACTCCTGGATGAACAGTCTGATGCGGTCGTGGTCGTTCAGCGTTAGGCACGCCCCATGGCTGGCGGCCGCTGCCATTCCCGTGGCGATAGGCGGTGGCTTGGTTTCCACGGCGACGGCCCTGAGAGCGTCGAGGCTACCGGGCGTGTCACTGGGTGTATCCAGCTGGAGGGGATGGGTGTTGTCCAGACTGTTGACCAAGACTCCGTCTGATAAACAACACATTGTCAACAACACACAATGTCACTGTCAACAATGTGAAGGCATGTGGCCACAATGTTGGTCATTCCGTCTGGATAAACAACAACTTCAACAAAACATGGTCAAGAACCTAAGCACACTTCAAATGGGGATGTGCATCCAGAATGTTGGGAAACTCAATCTGAACAAATCATCAACACCACATTGTCAACCCAGGCATGCTTCAGATGATAGTTACTAATCTATCTGAATTAAATAAGTCAACTAGAGCAGTGTCTTTCTTTAATGACGCAATCATCAACCTTTCAGTAGAGTAAGAGGGGAATGAATCAGACACACACTGGAGGTGGAAAAGAGGTTTCACAAATACAAAATGTGTATTTTACACGTTTTAAATATTTTTTCATTGATAAGCAATCCCATTGAACCAATGACCTTGGAGTTGCTAGGGCCAAGCTCTTTTCAACTGAGCCACACAGGACCACAAGTATGTTCATGTTCAGGAGTGGAGGAGTGGCTAATGACATGACATCTTCAGCTCCTGAGTATTGCTAAGTGGCTAAGCTCACCTTTCTCTTCTGAGTCGTGTCCATCCACCTCGGATGTTCCTCCTACGTTGTTCTCTACAGCAGTGTTGTTCACCACTACAGGGGCTGGGGCTGGATCCTCATACTGATCCTAGAACAGCCATGAGCAAACATGTTTAATAGGCACGCAACGGAAGAAAACGCTCAGAAACTGAGTAAAACAGGAAGGTACAACCTGAACTTGTCCAATAAGCAACATTCATTTTCTTTTTCCGTCGAAAAAACAATGTGTCCTAATGAACCCGATAATGGTACTGACAGTTGTATGCTACTGTACATTAGCAACTAGATACTTGGAATACTTTGTCTGGGCTCTACTGTACCTGGCTTTGCAGGCTGCTCTTGTGAAGGTACTGGCTCCATGGGTCTGGGATCTGTTCGTCTGCTCCTGCTGCTGCCGTACGAGAGTTGACCTTCAACAGGTAACAACCCTGAGCACCATACCTCTGCTTCATATCCTCATACACAGAGTCAGCCCTGAGAGAGAGAGAATTAAGGGAATCCATAACTGCCGGTGAGAAGCGGAGTGAACACCTTCCTCATTACTGCTTCTGTCTAATGGCAGAGGGGCTGCGCGCACACGCAAACACAGGGTTAGCCGAGGTCAATGGATTAAAGAGAAGGAGAGCTGAGGTCATTGGCCTGGCTGTCTGAGATTTTGTGTGCGTACTTGCATGTCTGCACATGCGTGTGGTGTTTGCGTCACTACTACCCACCTCTGTTCGTTTCCCTGGCTCATGTCGTGCAGTAGGACGTAGTATTTAAGTGTGTTGGGGATGAACCACTTGGGGTTGGTGTATTCGCCGCTGTGCTGGATCCTGTGCTGCTCCTGAGACAGCTTGAGGAACTTCTCCACTGGTACAGCCTCACTGGATGACACCACCAACAGACCTGCAGGGACAGCCGTCAAAGAACCACAACCAGAGACAGAGCGAGTAGGAAAGGGGGAGACAACCACACAGACAGAGAAAGAGGGAGTAGGAAAGGGGGAGACAACCACACAGACAGAGAAAGAGGGAGTAGGAAAGGGGGAGACAACCACACAGACAGAGAAAGAGGGAGTAGGAAAGGGGGAGACAACCACACAGACAGAGAAAGAGGGAGTAGGAAAGGGGGAGACAACCACACAGACAGAGAAAGAGGGAGTAGGAAAGGGGGAGACAACCACACAGACAGAGAAAGAGGGAGTAGGAAAGGGGGAGACAACCACACAGACAGAGAAAGAGGGAGTAGGAAAGGGGGAGACAACCACACAGACAGAGAAAGAGGGAGTAGGACAGGACGGGAGACAACCACACAGACAGAGAAAGAGGGAGTAGGACAGGACGGGAGAGGAAGATGAAAACAGAGGAGCGAGAAAGAGGTGGAGAGTGACAGGGATAAACTGAACAAGACAGAGAGAGAGGTAAAGAAAACCGGGAGAAAAGGAAGGAGGAATGAGAGAGAGATGGCTTCTCTCTCATCATCATAGGGTTTATTCTACTATGTTGAAGCAGTGCGAAGGATACAAGCGAGGTAGTGGTTGAGGAACTCATGGTCGGAGGCAGGCATGGACTGGAGGAAGCTCTCTCTGTACGCCTCAAACCAGGGAGTCGTGGCTGGAGAGATAGGACAACAACAACAAGATGAGAGAGAACATTACTCTAACCAGGTCTCACCTCCACACAGAGAGTGGAGCTGCATAGAGATCACCTGTAGCCTACACCCAGGGGGGTTGCAGAGAGCAGTCTACACACACACACACACACACACACACACACACCAGGCTCAACCAGCCAGGAGAAGCCATCACAGGTGACACACACACACACACTAGGGTTGCGCGATATTATGATAGCATAGTCTATCAACGATGATTGACAGACGACGGTTTAGCCTATTTGAACTTGACTGGCGCCGCACAGTAAAGAAACGAAGACTCGCAAAAGTTGAAATAAAGTTTAAGCTTATTAAGAAATACAATTATCCATGCGGGCCTGAAAAAAAACAAATGGCCAATAACCTATAATAAAAGTTAAAGTTATGAACAGTAGCTTAGTTCCCAAATATTCTAGCCTAAAAAAATAACAAGAATGAAAGTCTATAGCCTAAGCGTAGGCTATTCTCAATCACAGCTTTATGAGAGCTAGAACAATATTCTTAATTTAGTATTATTTTACGAGGCAAATTATCCAATGAACCTAACTAACTATGGTAAGACAGACTGTTCCTCATCAGACTGCCACTGCTCCATCATGTGCGCGCCACACAGTCATACAGACACACCTGCTCCAAGCTTCTGCCCAGGCTTTCAACATCATTATCTTTCGCGCAACAGACGCTTAAGTGGAGTTGTTTGGGGTTTTTTGGTTGGCCAATAGGAGGCAATACTATTGTGTATATCAATGTTTTATGAGTACATAATCACGATAGGACAAAGGTTGACGTCGCCCAACCCTAACACACACGCAGTGATTGCTGAAGGGTCTGATTGCGGAGCCGCAACAAATGATACTCGGTGAGAGAAATTAGATGAATTACTGATTAGCCAGATGAGAGTAAGGTTTGTACCACCACCTGATTCTTCTTTTATCCTAAACCCATTGAGATGCAGAGAGCATCATGCTGCTCATTGTAGACTACATTTGTCATCAAGAGATACACCAATTAGTCAGAAGAACAAAAAAAAATCAAAACAAAACAATAAAAATCAGCAGGAGTATATAATATTGCCATGATCAAGTGTAGACATCAACTACGTAACGTAACACCTGGATGTGTGTGAGGAAACAAAGAATGAGTGCAAAGCGTAGTCTGCATACTGACTATCTGAACTTGTCCAATAAGAAGCTCTCCTGATCTTTAAATGGTGTGCCCTAATGAACACAACCTGGGTAGTTCTGCCATCTCTGGTGTGAGTTCTCTGAACAGCTCCTTCATGACACCTCAGACAGACTCTAGTACTCCTTCTCTCCACATTCATCACAACAAACACAGCAGGCTTTGTGTTCGGACACAGACACAACAGCATTATGAGGAAGAGGAGCATGTAACCCTCTGGGTTCCCAGCCCAATTTCCAGATGATTAGGCAGTAATACATTTACAGTCATCATTTTATGGCAGGGACATCAAGAAAAATTATATCTAAAGCCACCAGTGCTCAGTCTTTGAAAAATGTAAAGACAAAGATGACGTCACGTCAAAAACCATTTGAATGGCTCACGTGTTAGTGTCACGGTTCAGAAATTTGGTGACAAGTGTACTCAGAATGACCAAATACACAAACATTGGATTTCATCAACAAATTGTCAGTGTTTTTAACACTTGTGCTACGCGTGTGTACAAACAGGAATGCTATGTGTATGTCATCAAGAGGACCACCGGTTAATAGCCTACTGATTGAGAGAGAACCAAACAGATCAGGAGTTCTATGCTACTTACAGACCTGGCTTCAAGTACTATTTAAAATCATTTCCAATACTTAAGCTGTGCTTGATTGAGCTTGCATGCCACAATGGGACCAATAGAAAAGTCCCAAAAGTGCAAACACCGCCCACCTGGCACTCCAGGCAACAATCAAAGTATTTGAAATGACCAAATAGTATTTGAACCCAGGTCTGTATGCTACTAACTAAAGCCACGAGCTACAAGGGAAACCTTGAGTGAGTGAGTAGGGAGTGAGTGTCACTCACAGCATCAGAGAGCTCACTTCAGTCTGGTCAGTGAGTGATCTCAGTAACTGAGAAACACACAGCAGAGTCAGGATTCATCTGTTTAAAGCCTTCTGTTTTGAATCAATTCCAATTCCCTGTTATCAACTTGAATTCATTGTTTGAGAGAAAACCCATTAACTTGGAGTAAGAGTTACTGCCGGGCGGAAGTCAGAGTGCCCAGAGATGCGGCTCAGAAAGCAATAGGCCATAGCCAATTAGGGGCCTTTGTATGACTGTAAGGCACTTTAAGACATAAAAAAGGAAATGTATAAATAAATGTGATTGACTGATTGATTGATAGATAGATAGACCAGAGAAGTGAGATTATCAAGGTCATCAGAGTACAGGAAGTGTGTTCAGGACATAAACAATTCTCCACCCTGACATCAAACTGTCTGAAACAGCCTAAGATAGAAAGCATAGTTTCAATTTACACTGGCTCCTCAAGTCTCAGGAATGCAGATATCTTACAAAAGACACCATATCTAATAACCTGGGATTTAGATTTAGGCCTAAGCCAATTATATATAAATGGGAGACGGAAGAACACTGACTAAATTATCCCACTTTACACATGACGAGTCCAATGTTCTTCCCTTTGGTGTAGGATGAAGGAAATTATAGTTCCATTACCAAGATTATATCAAAATGAGCTCTAATGCCCTGAGTCACTTCCTGAACCCACATAACAAGACAATTTCTGAGACAAAAAGTACAGAGTACACATTCTTATATGGAAAAGTACACAAATATATGCAGGGATGTGATCAGGACAACATAGTAAATCAGGAAATTATGGATTTTGGCTTATATGTGGAGGATAATGTCAGAAAAGCAGGACTTGCTGATTGACCAGGAAAAATCACATCCCTGATATGGAAATCTGAAGCTACTACCTTGTGAGAGAAAGAGCAGAGAATAAGGAGAGAAGGTAGAGTTCACTACAAGGGTCTGCTACGGAGAGACTAGAGAGGAGAAAGGGACAGTCTGCTACATAGTTAGGACTATGCTAAGGAGAGAGAGAGCGGAACGGAGGGAGGGATAGCTGTAAACGGAGAGAAGAGAGAGGGAGGGCCATCCCCCACACACCTGTGGGCCAGGTGAGGTGAGGTGAGAGTACAGGTACCTGTGTAATGCTTGGAGGTGCTGAGTTCCGTTAGCGTGTCCCTCCAGTCACTGTACCAGGGGACGCTAGCTTTAAGAGAGCGATCTGACGGGGGGAGAGAGTCAGGGACTAGCATTAGCAACATCCCATTACCTGTACAGGAGCTCCCACTAATGTTCACCACTCATAGATCATCTACAGTACCAACATCATAGATAGTATATATCTCACATAGTAGATTGTAGTTAATGACCACTGTAGGGAAAACCAGGGAAGAGCAGCATTATAGGAGACTGAGGTCAATTTCACTACCATGGCTCACACTTTAACCTACAAATGTGCCCCTATAGATAGCTTGGAGAAAAGGTTAGCCCAAATCACAAGCTTAGCTTCCAGTTTAGCTTTCAAAAAAACATTTGACAACAGAACATGCAATGTGTATGCTCCATTCATAGGTCAAAGGGAGACATAGGAGGGCCATGGTTGGATTGACTTAACTTTAGGTTAGGGTTAGAGGAGGCTTTTTGACCCAAGCAAGGTCCACTAATAGTATGGGAGCGATAGAGGTGATTGAAGATGTTTGTGGAAGTGGACCGTAAGAGGGACACACTCTGTGGTGCGTCACCACAACAACGTTGCTGCAACGTTACCCAAAGCTCATTGTGTGTGAAAATGCAACCGCAAATCTTCATGAACCTTTTTTTTTTTTTTTTACTTTTCAGAAATTTAGCACAATAAAATATTATTTTTCTCTAGGCTACATTCATATCAGATACACTGAAAAATAATGTCCTGCAAAGAGCATTTCTCTGAGCTGAATTTCAGGTAAATAAAAGCTTTTATGGATATTTATATTCCATTGTTAAATATGCTTGATCTGTAACGTCGTAGGTTAGAGGTCAGAGATCGTAGGAAGGCACTTACCCAAGGACCGTTCAGGTGAGTAATAGAGAAAATAAAATGAGGGGAAAAGGTCATCAATGAGGAAATGAACAAAATAAATCAACATGTAAATCACTCCCATATTGCACTATACATTTGCTGTTATTGTCCGTTTGAAAAAATGATATTTTTTCCTAAATCACTCCCATCATCCTTCTCCCCCATGTTCTCTCCTTAGTGTTTGTTGCCCTCTGCAGGACAGTCTGGGGAACTACATGACTCGTCTCATTCCTCCTCATCAATAAACATTACATTCCTACAGCTCATTAACCAGGTGATGATTCCAGGCCTCTGTTCTGTCTTAGTTTTACTATTACTAAACTTGTGGCCAGAGTTCACCTTCCTTGGCCCAGGAACATATAGCGAAATCCATAGATTAGGGCCCAATTTATTTAAATGGACTGATTTCCTTATACGAACTGTAACTCAGTAAAATCGTTGAATGTGTTGCATGCTGCATTTATATTTTTGTTCAGTATATCTTTGATCTACTCTGTGCTCTTTCCACATATGGCTCTAGCTTGCTGATAACATCTGATGAGACAAAATGAAATAATTTGACACTGTAATTTGATAGACAATGGTGTTCCCAAATCAGACAATTACTTTAAATGAAATCTGTTTTCCTCAGTTAAATGTTTGGTGAATGCATGGCGGTGCTTTGTCCTCAGTCCTCCTTTGAATGTTGTGTGTACAATGATGACATGTTAACCTGGGTTTAGCTGGTTAATCATTAATTTCAGTTTACATTCTATTATTTGGCACTGGTTATGTACTGTTAATGTAGAAGGTTCTCCCCTTCGTGTCTCCATATAATTCAAAATCCCCATATGCCATGTGTGTGCCCTTGGGCTTAATACCCTAAATATTGGATTCTGCCTTCATCTCAATTCCTGACCTCTCTCTTAACTATCCCACTAGACCTTCCTTTCAATGTTATCATCATCATGCAATTATTATTTGTGTACCCACATGTTATTCCCAACAATGGAGTCATTATATTTAGCTATATTAAATTATGGCTAGGCCATAGTGGATGATGAATGAACTTGTTAGATCACAGCCACATTATGTCCATACTCCACCTATTATTTGATACATTGGGGTTAACTCCCTCGTATCAAGCAAACACATAGCAGACACTTTCTGGAAAGGTGAAGAAAAACAATTAGCTAGTGGTGGACTATGGTGTTTCTTAGCTAGAGTAGACTGTCTGCTTTGTCTTACAGATGAACGTTGCTGGCTAACAAGTAATTAGCTAGCTAACTAAGCCCACCCCCACCAGCCTGAAATCCAATCGAGAAAAAATAGCAATTGTTGAAACTCAAAGGTGATCTGCGGCAATGATGTTCTGCTCACCCAAAGTCACACTTGCAAGCTCTTAAGTTTGGCCTGCCGGCTTGCGGGACACCCTCTGCTCGCTCTCGACCAAATGTATTCGCTCTCGCGGCACTCATCCTCTGCGCTCTCGTAGCAGTGTTTGCTTGCTCAATGATGTTTAATCTCACTCGACAGCGCCATCTAGCGCGCAATGGACTTGAGGCTGATTTGACGCGATAGGAATTTAGAAGGGACTGAGGTTGTACCACAGATAACATCTTTGGTTGTACTGTGTATTCAACAGAGTCAGCTATGGCTTGTGGCTGCCCAAGCCCAACTTCTCAGTTTCACTTTGACTGCACTAATTTTGCAGACAGAAACAATGCTCTCCTCCAGAGTGTCTTTCTCCCCATGGGTGAATTCAGATTGTTTCTAAGATGTGGCATTTTTCTATTCCTTGTAGGGATGTTAACGGTTAACCGTTAGTAGCTAAAATAAAATTGACTGGTCATGCTTATCAGCCTATAGGGTCATTTGAATAATTGCGTGGAATTAAATTGGTGTCAGAATGTAACAAATCTCAGTCATAAAACAGAAACGGTATTGATGGACCGGAATTATTATTTTGCCGAAAAATAATGTACAGTGAGTTTATAGAGTTAGAAAGTAGCTTTCTAAAATCAACTAATGGTGGTCTCTACTCAGAGTGAGCAAGCCAGAGCAGAGACTTGTTGCTAGGCAACTCACAGACGCAGGCTGCAGGGAGCAGTGGGAGAGAGAGGAGCAGCACGAAGCAGCTAACAGCTAAGCTAGTAACCAAAAAAGTTTCACAGCATTTCTCTCCTGTTCCACTGGTTTTCATATCAACTTTATTTTGTTGTCCAGAAGCCAAAAGGCACAATCCTAGTCATATTAACGACCCATCCTAGTGGTTGCATATTAACATTTTCCCTCTAAGTTTCAAACTGTGATGTTCATCTCTGTCACATGAAATGGCTCGCATCAGGTGCATATTTTGGGCAACTCAACCGGCTCGTGGAGATGTTTGCAATGCATTACCTATCAAAGTTTAAATAATGCAAACAAATTCTTCATGTATGGCCTATACGCAGTCTAAATAAACATATTTAGCAGAAAAATAATTTCTGATATGTTTTTATTGGTGTGCCATTTAAAGAGTTAAAGACCAACTGGACAAAAAAAGCAACTTCTTTTGAAAATGGCCTATGTGGCATTGATAGGAGTCAGAAACATGTATTCTAGTGACAAAAATTGAGTACAAAGTGTAAATAGGATAATTTTGAACATAAAATCAGTGTCGTACAAATCGGAGATTGGCGAGATGATTAGGAAAAAATGTTATGGCACAGAATCAAGGCGACGCAACAGTTTTTCTTGGGTTGGGTTTATTTCCATCCTGCCTACAGCTGGCAGCATGCGACCTGATTGTAATGGCCGTGGTAAATATGGTTTGTCTTTGGATATCCCTATGGGGTTGTTAGGAAATTACACAATGTACATGGGACAATATTTACATTTCAATAGCTCCAAATTTCAATGACTTAAAAACCTCAAACCAACTATAAACTGTAGAAATACATATACAAATATTGAAAGCATTTAATGAGAACTAAAAGGAGTGCAACATGAAAATATTGCCCCACTTACACTGTGTAGCCCTGGAGATAGGCTGTCCAAAATATATTTTCTACTTCCAGAAATGAGTCCAATAACATATTAGTACAATTATTTGAACATATTGGACCATGCAAGGCCCGTATTATAAGGTATGCTATTAGCAATAAGCATTATCACCTGTAGCCCAACTGATGCAGCATAGTGGTTATAAATAAATATGCTGAAGCATGGGGTTGCCTATCTGCATTTACCCTATTAGGCTAATCATCAGCTAGATCCCAAATGTGATCTTTTAACCATTTAGCATCATACTGATGAATTATGTCCCAAAAAACTTGCATAAACACAGTGAATATAATGTAGGCCTACCAGTTAGTGTAACTTGGGGTAGCACGCCTCTGCCTGTACTTCTCACAAAAACCACTTCATGTCACCATATCTTTCCCCAACACTTCCCTGGTTGCCACTATTCTTGTTCAACAAAATGTTTTATCTGTCTCGTCACAATTTTGTAAGTCACTTTAAATTATTTTCAAGTAGGATGTAGAGCTGAGAATTGCCAGGTACCTCACGATACGATATTATCACAATACTTAGATGCCGATACGATATGTATTGTAATTGTCACGATTCTATATGTATTGCAATTCGATGTTCCAAACATATTGCTCACCATATGTCTGCTGCAGAGGGACAACAGAGCTTTATCAGTCATTGAAATAAAAGTGCTGAAAACAAATTGGATCCCTATTTAAAAAGATGGAGCACAAGCAAAAATATATAGCAATATAGTCAAAGCGATACATCGTCAAAAATAATATCCCGATCTACTATCAATTTTTCCCATCACTAGTAGGGTGGTGTTTTACCCCAAGTTACCCTACAATTGACTCATGTTACATTTAGCCCCACTCTCCCTTATGCACTCACAGTGAATTGCTGAGCAGTAACATGATTAACCATGCTGCTGCAAAAAAAAAGAACTGGATTTAAAACAGTGCAGTTCGTGCATATTTAGAAGTTGAGAAATAAAGTAGGAATGGAAAGCTGAGAACACCCTCTTTTTAACAAAGGCATTTAAAACTACTGTTTCCCCCACAATTGCAAGAATTGTTGTGCATTGACTGCTTGTCAGAATGCATGTTTCCCTCCCTATGGCACTCATAACTTGAATGCGCCTCGAGAGGAATATTTATCTTGCATAGAAAACACAACAAGCCCAGGGCTCGACATTAACGCTTGTCCGGGATAAGAAAAAATAAATAAAATTCAAACAAATACTCAGATCAGAATTGGATCAAAGGTCAACATTGGAATAATATTCAAATCAATTTTTCATGTAGGCCTCCATAAATAAAAAAGCCTACATGTCAAAGTGTAGGTGATATGCATATTGGCTACAGCCTCATGTCCAAAAAGATGCAGACATGAGGGAGGTGCCAGAAAATGTAGCTAAACTTTAATGAGACTTATAGCTGAACGCCAGTCATGCTTGACAAAATATAATGAAGGATAATTAACATTAACGTCTAAAAGGCATGATTCTGTCGACATACTCGAGGCATGGTTCGTTCAGATTAAAATGGTCACAAGACTGGAGTGAAGGACCGTGCATGTTGCGCACCGCACATCACCCACCTTGAATCTGAGTGAAGGCAGTCAGCATTTTGAAACTATGTACTTGACCATGAACTAAGTTCTTTAAAAACTGGACGTTTTATGTCATTTTATGAAGCATGTCTTACCTTGTTTCAGAGTAGCCTAGCCAAAATACAACCATAGAAATGTTGAGGGAATTATTTTATAAACACTTAACCCTATCAATCCCAAAAATCAGCTTTTCATTTATCTGACTTTCATTTATCTGCATGTACAGCCCTTATATTTAGCCTCAAAATTAAGTGTTTAACCATTTTATTTTCAGGACAACCAGGGCTACAAATACAGCACAAAACAATTTGACATACAGTGTCTTCAGAAAGTATTCACACCCCTTGGCTTTTCTCACATTTTGTTGTTACAACCTGAATTTAAAATGGCTAACATTTAGATTTTTTTGTCTCTTGCCTACACACGTCATAGTGGAATTATGTTTTTTGACATTTTTACTAATTAATTAAATATTAAAAGCTGAATTGTTGAGTTAATAAGTATTCAACCCCTTTGTTATGGCAAGCCTGAATACGTTCAGGAGTAAAGAAATGTGCTTAACAAGTCACATAAGTTGCATGGACTCCCTTTGTGCAATAATAGTGTTTAACATGATTTTTGAATGACTACCTCATCTCTGCACCCCACACATACAATTATCTGTAAGGTCCCGCAGTCGAGCAGTGAACTTCAAACAGATTCAACCAAAAACCAGGGAGGTTTTCCAGTGCCTCGCAAAGAAGGGCATCTACTGGTAGATTGGTAAAAAATAAAAAGTAGACATTGAACATCCCTTTGACCATGCTGAAGTTAATTACACTTTGGATGGTGTATCAATATACCCAGTCACTACAAAAGATACAGGCGTCCTTCCAAACTCAGTTGCCGGAGAGGAAGGAAACCACCCACTCAGGGATTTCACCATGAGGTCAATGGTGACATTAAAATAGTTACGAGTTTAATGTCTGTGATAAGAGAAAACTGAAGTTGGACCAACAACATTGTAGTTACGCCACAATACTAACCTAATTGACAGTGAAACAGAGGAAGCCTGTACAGAATACAAATATTCAAAAAAATGCAACCTGTTTTGCAACAAGGCACTAAAGAAATACTGGTAAAAAATGTGGCTAAGCAATTAACATTTTTCTTCAATATAAAAGTGTTATGTTTGGGGCAAATCCAATACAACACATTAGAGTACCACTCTCCATATTTTCAAGCATAGTGGTGGCTGCATTATGTTACAGGTATGCTTGTAATTGTTAAGGACTAGGGAGTTTATCAGGATAAAAAAAGAAACGGAATGGAGCTAAGCAGAGGCAAAAATCCTAGAGGAAAACCTGGTTCAGTCTGCTTTCCACCAGACACTGGGAGATTAATTAACCTTTCAGCAGGACAATAACCTAAAACACATGGCCAAATCTAGACGGGAGTTGCTTACCAAGAAGACAGTGAATGTTCCTGAGTGGCCGAGTTACAGTTGACTTGAATCTACTTGAAAATCTATGGCAAGACATGAAAATGGTTGTCCAGCAATGATCAACAACCAATTTGAAGTGTTTTCTTTTTGCTTTTTTTTCAAATGTTATAATTTTTCTTCCATCTTGACAGAGTATTTTGTGTAGATCGTTGACAAAAAATGGCAATTAAATCCCACCTTGTAACAACAAAATGTGGAAAAAGTCAAGGGGTGTGAATTCTTTCTGAAGGCACTGTAACTAATCGAATGCACCCCATGTCTTCTCTCCCTTTCATTCTCTCCATCACCTCTTTTTTTGGCCTTCCATGTCACTCAGTCCATCTCTTGCCCACACTCCCGCTTCTAAACCCACCCTCCACCCCTCTTCTCGATTTACTCACCACTAATATTGAGGTCATAGTCGCCGGCAGTTATGACATTGGAAACGCCACCCTCAGCCGGTTGGCATGTCGACACCACCTCGCTGAGCAGCCGTCGCTGGGCATGGCCAGGGATGCCGGAGGCAGGGACAGAAGGGCGTGTCACCACGTTGTTGACGCTGATACGAAGGTTCTTCACCACCTGCACCTGGTTGTTGGGGTCCCTCATGTGACCTACGAGACAGAAAGTGTGTGTTTGAGATAGACTACATTGACTGTACAGAATCAGTGATCTTGCATCTCAAAATAACATCTTGTTTAAAACTGATCTCATCGAACACGCTGAAACACATATGTAGTCAGTCAGATTTTAAAGTAACTGTCCAGTGAAAATATCACTTTTAAAAAGTTCATAATCTGTTAACTCATACTCAAATAATGTTATTGACTAGTCCTATACTCATGTGGCCAAAGAATAATATAGAGAGAAAAAAAACAACACTTCAAATACCCCACCTCAAACTTGTATCTCACACAGACATTTCAAAAATGCTTGCCATTTCCTCATAGAGTATGATGTCATACTCCTGAGGAGGATGAGCTGGCCAACCAGCGGTCTAGAGGATGAGCTGGCCAATCAGTGGTCTACTTGCATGAATATTTTTAACAACCAGTATACGCCCCACCATTCTGTTGTTGGGGTACACCCATTCAAACACAAAAGCTGCTTAACATAATTAATTAAACATTTTTGGAAGGATTTCACTCATATTGTAAGTAATTACAGATCATCTTTCATAGAAATCTGGAAACACTGGGCAGTTCCTTTATAAAGGAAGAAGGGGATGTGGTTGGTTTGGTTAATGCTAAATGACTAAAATGTCAATGTTAATGTGTGAAGAGAAGGAGAGTCAGTGAAGAGGTCTAGACCTATATAATGATAAATAAGCGTCCCTTACATAACCTAACTGAGAGATCAAATTAAAATATTAAACAACACTTAGGGCCTATGCCTATCTACTTTTGACTTCTGTGTGAACAAATTCATGCAGTAAGAACATAGCCTACCGCTAACATGATCAAGAGTGTGGACAACCGGACAACTGAGCATGCACCGAGTCTAACATATGCCCCCCCCCCCAAAAAAAAAACATTGGCATTCACATACATATTTGGCTTTGCTCATATGCAGTTATAGTAGCAAATGGCCATGTATTCTTATGGTACTTGTGTTTTCCACAATAACATAGTAGCCAGCAAATAGAAAAAGTAGCCAGCCAGGTGCCCCAAGCCCAGGGGGGTCCAGGGGGCGTTCAATGTTTTTGCAGAAGGAGCTCTATTTCGGTGGCCTCCGGTACATTCTAAATGCCTTGACTCCATCTGAAATAGGTATTTCTATCAATAAATGGGCAAATGTGTGACATCAGGGTAAACATTTCAAAATGGTTTGACATACATTTAAATATGATTTTCTTGCAGCTTCACATGTGTAGTTAAAGGAATAAGAGTCTAGATAGGCAGAATGAGGCCATAACTCCTAGCAACACCAAAACATCTACATGTCATTCAAAATGTCACATGAAACATGGACACCGACTGCATGTTTCCTTGCCATGCCTAGTAGCCAGGTATATTTGTGCTTTAGTCAACTTCTCTATCATTTATTGCTATGCTCAACCTTCCAGAAGAATGCAAAAGATAAAACAGCATTTCTATATATTTTAATAGTTGATATAATAATTTTATACAATGGGTTGTGTCAACAAAATTGTTGACAATAATAATAATAACCAATAATGATGTCATTATAATCAGTAACCTCTTCAAGCAGCGTGTGTGTGTAAGAAAACTAGACATCACATTCTTGCTTCCTCTGTCCTTGTTTCCTCCACTCCTTGCCTCCCCTTGAAAGTGCATTGGAGCCTGAAGAGAGGAACCTTCCCTCTCCCCCATGTGCTTTGAGAGGGAGGTGAGGAACGGTGGAAACAAGGGGAGAATCTCAATTGCATTTCCTTCATTCCTCACATCCTCTCTCCTCGCCTCCTTCTCAAAACCCATTGGATAAGGTGAGGGAACTCTGACCTTCTCATTCAGAAGGAGACGAGGAGAGAGGATGCAACGAATCATGGAAATGCAATTGAGATTCTCCCAAGGACAGAGGAAACAAGTATGACAGCTATTAATATTTTTTGACAGTGCCAGACTGACCTACCAAAATACCCATGGCCTGTCCAGAAACAACCCCTAACCCCTACTGCCCAGAGTCTAGACACTTGCGGAGAGCTGAGCGGGATTGATTGGTGGTGACATCGTGGGAACGCTACCTTAACCTCTGATAGGCTTGGTGGAATTTTGGCGGTATTGCTTACACCTGTCCAATTGTCTCAGATCTCCACAAGTGTCTAGGGGTATTGTTTCTGGACAGGAACCCAAAACCCTTCGGGTGTGTGGTGGACCTACAGCACGACACTTGAGGCATTGGTTGGATATTGAATTCCATTGCTATATAGACACACAGATTTACACAGGTGTAAGCTGGACACACCCATGGCACCATATCAGGCTTCTCAGACAGGTCTGGGTAGCTGGAGACCTGTTGTAAACAGTGAAAGGATATGTTTACATGTCTACTATTCACACCCTTGCTTCATTCCAGCTAGTTAGATGTGCAACCACTGACTAACTATAGCTAGGGCATATCTCTAGTCTAGCAATATATACTGTTGTTTTGGCTGTATAGCATCATTTAATAAGATTAACAATGGTTAGCTCGGTAGTTAGGATAGAGCAGTCACAGTAAAAGCAGTTCATTCATAAGTCAATACACACTAAATATTATGCGGAAATTTAGAAATCGTACCTTATTTTGGCACTGTGGCAAGGTTTTGGCAACTATTAATACATTAATTCATAGTTTCATAGAACGGAGTTAGAAGGGTGACCTCTTACTTTGAAAGGACATGAAGTGTTGGCTGTGCACTTGATCAGGCATTCCACATTTAACCCCACCAACATTTGAACATCAAAATAAAGTTATTTTCTTTTTTTCTATTTTCTTAAGTCTTATTTACTGCAAGATATGAATTGCCACAATGTTTGTTTTTCAAATTATGCATTTTATTGAAAAAGGAAATAAATAGCCCACATTGTTGAAAAGGAAATTAAAAGGTTTTGTTCCCCTTTAATTCAAGTGTGCACCTAGCAAGAGGCTGTTTAGAGGTATTTTTGTAGCGCACATGTGATGGTAGAGTTTGCATCGATATTGATATCATTCTGCCAGGTAAGCATAGGCTACTTTGTAATGATAGAAGATGCATATCATTCATTCTAGAGTGAGTGGGCTCGAGGGACTAGCGAAATGAAACTTAAATGAAAAGTAGCTTATCAAATGTAGCAGAAAATGAGTCTAACCGACAGCCGGCGCGAATAGAGTACCACAGTATGAGTCATGAAACCCATAAAACCTAGCAGTCAAACAGGGAAATGGTTCTAATCGTTATTCCACCATTAATTTCTCCCCATAGGGGATTTCAGAAACTCTTAAAATAAGGGCAGTGTTTTAAATTGACACCAGTGGCGATTTTAGCATGTAAATCTTGGTGGGGAAAACTAAATAAATAAAAAAGTAGATGTATGCCAGCAAACCCATTACACAACACTAAACAATACATTAATTGCACCATAACGGTGACAAATGAAATCAAATTGTACTTGTCACATGCGCCGAATACAACAGGTATAGACCTTACAGTGACTCTTACTCACAAGCCCTTAACAGCGTAGTTTTAAGAAAGAAAACCAACAACAAACAAAAAACATGAAATAACACGAAATAAAAGTAACAAATAATTAAAGAGCAGCAGCAGAAATAATAATAGGGAGGCTATATACATGGGGTACCGGTACTGAATCAATGTGCGGGGGCACCGGTTAGTTGAGGTAATATGTACATGTAGGTAGAGTTATTAAAATGACTATGCATAGATAATAAACAGAGAGTAGCAGCAGCGTAAAAGAGGATGGGGGGGGGGGGGGGTAGCCATTTCATTAGATGTTCAGCAGTCTTATGGCTTGGGGGTAGAAGTTGTTTAGAAGCCTTTTGGACCTAGACTTGGCGCTCCGGTACCGCTTGCCGTGTGGTAGCAGAGAGAACAGTCTATGACTAGGGTGGCTGGAGTCTTTGACCATTTTTAGGGCCATCCTCTGACACCGCCTGGTATAGAGGTCCTGTATGGCAAGAAGCTTGGCCCCAGTGATGTACTGGGCCGTACGCACTACCCTCTGTAGTGCCTTGCGGTCGGAGGCCGAGCAGTTGCCATACCAGGCAGTGATGCAATCAGTCAAGATGCTCTCGATTGTGCAGCTGTAGAACCTTTTGAGGATCTGAGGATCCATGCCAAATCTTTTCAGTCTCCTTAGGGCAAACGGTGCCCACACGGTATCCGAACAGTCTCCTTAAGGCAAACGGTGTCCAAACAGCAGAGTCCCAACACCTTACCACTGCTACACCTGGCTATCAGCGGAGCCTTGCCTGGCAGCGAAACAGTTCATTCAGCCTCATTTACTGCCTTTATAAAAAAAACATAGCTGATATGGCTGACTTGCTTAAACAAATGTGGTTTCTACTGACAATTGGGATGAACAAACTATGGCATAAGGGGACGATGAGGCAATCCTAAGAGGCAATCCGTAATTTCAATTAAGACATTAATGAGCGAGCTAGGACAGACGTAGTCAATATAACTATTTGTTCAGCACTTATGAAATGTACAGCGACAGAATTCAGAACATGGACCGTTCTTATAGTATTCTCCCTGTACACCAAGTCAGAACTGTAGGATAAATATAGGGGGCATATAAGCAGACAATGAAAGGAGGAATATGGGCTACTAAACAGCTTACTACACAACATACACTTAGTATTACTTTTTTAGCTACAGTATACATATCTCCGTGGCATATTACATAATTTATGCTGCAGCACACAATACATTTTTTGACTCACCTGGTTGGGCTGTGCTCACTTGAACAGAAAGGTGGCGCGGTGGTCCTTTATGGGCAAATTTTGTCATACTTTGTCATCAAAGTAGCTACACAGTCCCGTGTAGCTCAGTTGATAGAGCATGGCGTTTGCAACGCCAGGGTTGTGGGTTCGATTCCCACAGGGGGCAAGTATGACAATGTATGCACTCTAACTGTAAGTCGCTCTGGATAAGAGCACCTGCTAAATGACTAAAAAAAAAGGTTACAAAATTTACAAATGTAAAGTCTGGCATTCTCTGGATTTATGGTGCTTTCCAGACAACTGGGAATTCTGAAAAAAAGCAAGGTTGAATCATGATGACATCAGTGATCTTTAGTTCGGTGCTCTAGAAAGAGGCCCGAGTTCCCGACTTGCAATTCCAAGTTGGATGACCGTTCAAAACGTATTTTCCCCAGTTGGAGCAAAATTTTTTCAGAGTTCCCAGTTGTTTTGAGCGCGGCAGAAGTCATGATGGATCGACACCATGGCCAATGTTGAATGTTTATCCTTTTAAGCTTGGAAAATAGACCCTTAAACCCAGATTTGGGACCACACACCCACTCCACTGAATAGCAGGCTAATGATTGCTTTGCAATGCTTGCAGTTCGCCACTGACTCCTTCCCATCCACTCATTGCTGAATTTGCGATTTCCAACTTGTTGTGTAATGTTTATGTCCAATGGCCAATGAGCACCGATACGTTTGATCTATAACTTACCTTCATATAACTAGGATAAAAAAATATTTGCCAGTAGATTGTCGACGTGATTCATGCTGATGACTGCTAGCTTGCTAGCTAAGATTTTGAAATGATGATGTTGACATGATCAGTCCAATCAAAGCAGCTGTAGATTTAACTTGATTTGACGTCATTTTATCTGTGGCCAATGACCTTCAACCTTCTTGGATGGGCACTTCCAATGTACAGTGGGGAAAAAAAGGATTTAGTCAGCCACCAATTGTGCAAGTTCTCCCACTTAAAAAGATGAGAGAGGCCTGTAATTTTCATCATAGGTACACGTCAACTATGACAGACAAAATGAGAAAAAAAAATCCTGAAAATCACATTGTAGGATTTTTAATGAATTTATTTGCAAATTATGGTGGAAAATAAGTATTTGGTCAATAACAAAAGTTTCTCAATACTTTGTTATATACCCTTTGTTGGCAATGACACAGGTCAAACGTTTTCTGTAAGTCTTCACAAGGTTTTCACACACTGTTGCTGGTATTTTGGCCCATTCCTCCATGCAGATCTCCTCTAGAGCAGTGATGTTTTGGGGCTGTCGCTGGGCAACACAGACTTTCAATTCCCTCCAAAGATTTTCTATGGGGTTGAGATCTGGAGACTGGCTAGGCCACTCCAGGACCTTGAAATGCTTCTTACGAAGCCACTCCTTCGTTGCCCGGGCGGTGTGTTTGGGATCATTGTCATGCTGAAAGACCCAGCCACGTTTCATCTTCAATGCCCTTGCTGATGGAAGGAGGTTTCACTCAAAATCTCACGATACATGGCCCCATTCATTCTTTCCTTTACACGGATCAGTCGTCCTGGTCCCTTTGCAGAAAAACAGCCCCAAAGCATGAGGTTTCCACCCCCATGCTTCACAGTAGGTATGGTGTTCTTTGGATGCAACTCAGCATTCTTTGTCCTCCAAACACGACGAGTTGAGTTTTTACCAAAAAGTTATATTTTGGTTTCATCTGACCATATGACATTCTCCCAATCCTCTTCTGGATCATCCAAATGCACTCTAGCAAACATCAGACGGGCCTGGACATGTACTGGCTTAAGCAGGGGGACACGTCTGGCAATGCAGGATTTGAGTCCCTGGCAGCGTAGTGTGTTACTGATGGTAGGCTTTGTTACTTTGGTCCCAGCTCTCTGCAGGTCATTCACTAGGTCCCCCCGTGTGGTTCTGGGATTTTTGCTCACCGTTCTTGTGATCATTTTGACCCCACGGGGTGAGATCTTGCGTGGAGCCCCAGATCGAGGGAGATTATCAGTGGTCTTGTATGTCTTCCATTTCCTAATAATTGCTCCCACAGTTGATTTCTTCAAACCAAGCTGCTTACCTATTGCAGATTCAGTCTTCCCAGCCTGGTGCAGGTCTACAATTTTGTTTCTGGTGTCCTTTGACAGCTCTTTGGTCTTGGCCATAGTGGAGTTTGGAGTGTGACTGTTTGAGGTTGTGGACAGGTGTCTTTTATACTGATAACAAGTTCAAACAGGTGCCATTAATACAGGTAACGAGTGGAGGACAGAGGAGCCTCTTAAAGAAGAAGTTACAGGTCTGTGAGAGCCAGAAATCTTGCTTGTTTGTAGGTGACCAAATACTTATTTTCCACCATAATTTGCAAATAAATTCATTAAAAATCCTACAATGTGATTTTCTGGATTTTTTTTTCTCAATTTGTCTGTCATAGTTGACGTGTACCTATGATGAAAATTACAGGCCTCTCATCTTTTTAAGTGGGAGAACTTGCACAATTGGTGGCTGACTAAATACTTTTTTTCCCCACTGTAACTCTATGGCAGCACCCAAGGGGCTTGAATTTTCGAGCGCTACCCTTAGATTTGGCTGTGACGTAGTGAACCCATGAGCGACAGAACACTGAGCCAATCACGACGCAACTAGAGAACATTACCAACCCCTACGCTCCGTATTTTCCGTTGGCTGCCCCACCATTAGAGAAAGCACTGAGCTAGGCTGCCTTACTCAAAAAAGAGACCAAGTTTGTATGTAGCTTTATTAACTCATAAATAAATAAAAATGACATTGTTTGCAAACTGATATGTGACATGTATTAATGCCAAAATAACATGCAAAACAGAAACATCCCAGTTTGTTTGCTCTGCCCCACCTGCCCTGAATGACGGGTCACCACTGACTGACCTGTTAGCAAAGGTGTCAGCTAGAGATAATATGCAGGAGCTTGTATTTGTAGGGATTTGTAGTTTTGCATAATGTCTACTTTGATTCTAATTGGCATTTTCGAATCAGAGTAAATAGAGCTGAATATATTGATGAAAGTCACCTTGCCCGAGAGAGATTTACATGGTTATCAAAACGTCACGCCAGGGTAAGTCTACATGAAACACAGTCCTTATTTTAAGTGTTTTTATAATCCCCTATGGGAAAAATGGAATGGTGGAAAATGAACAATTTCCCTGTTTGACCGCTAGGTTTTATGGGTATTATGACTCCACTGTGGAGCTCTATGTGGCACTTCTTCACTGTGCGAGTCAGCACCGTCAACAATCTGGACACATTCCTCCAGAAATTAGATTAAATGTGCCTGGAAGTTAAACACACAGACCAAGAGGTTATTCTCTGGAGTTTTGTGAGAATGCCACTCCTTGTTTCCTACCCCTCTGCTTATCTTGGGGATATTATACATTTCATTAATCTAATGTAAAATGTGTCTATGAGAGGACTTGTTATTAGACAACTAGGGTTATGATAGGGCAATGACACTGTTATGGCAGTGAGTTTATCACAGCCTGATGATCAAAACCTAGAGCCTTGTTTATTCCAAAACACAGCGGTTTTCCAATTTCACTTGAGCCATAGAAAAACTATACACTAGATATGGAGATGTGATTGGTAGGCCTTGCCCTTTGCATAGATATTATATGGTACCGATGGATGTGGGTTGGTAGCTAGCTAGCTAGTTTACATAATGAGTGAGGAACCAAGACATTGGGATTGTCAGTCTGACAATGAGTAAACTGGCGTTTTAAATGCCAGTGGTAAACTAGCATTAAACCGAATTACGAATACAAACGTAATCTACTCGTGGCTGCTTAATCCAAGTTCAACTGAATGGCCATTTCTGTTTCAGAATCCAGCTTGCTTAGCCAGTTAGCGAGCTTACTAGCTATGTCAAATGTTGTTGTTGGGCGTTGCTCAGTCAGTGGCAGTGTCACACAAGATGACTGGCTGTTCGCTGGCTAAGCACCTCTGAATTTGGCTAACTAGCTAATATAGCTTACAAGCAGATATACACCCTTCCTTCAAGTCGCAGCTAAACAATTTAGGTAGCCAAATTAGCATGACAGGCGAAGCTTAGCTAACTCCCAAGTCGTCCTTCCCAACCCCTAGTGGACTTGGGCCTCTTCCCCGCTGCGTTGAAACGAAAGCAATTTTAACTAACTACATTTTTACATTTGAGTCAGTCATTTAGCAGACGCTCTTATCCAGAGCGACTTACAGTTAGTGAGTGCATAAATTTTTCCATGCTGGCCCCCCGTGGGAATCGAACCCACAACCCTGGCGTTGCAAGCGCCATACTCTACTAACTGAGCTACAGAGGAGGCCGAAAACACTACAAAGGCACCCAAGACGGTTGCAGCCGTACGACAATGGCAGACATCTCGGGTGTCAGTGGGCCCTATCGAGTGACACATTCAAGAAACAAGACAAGGCCCCTGTTTCAACACCACGTCTGCTACTGCTGGTTCACCCTTCCTGTCACTTGACTTGACGCCGCCAAGTGACGGCGGTAACTGCAATTGGCTAACGTTAGCTTAGTTGGCTAGGAGGACAACATCATGCTAATGCAAACTAGTTAACAACTGTGAACACAAAACACACAATGCCGCAAACATAGCTTGGTTTAAAATGTCCCTGTGTAATTTGTTGGTCTTTAACATAAAAACCTGAAGTTGTTGCGTGTCAAAGCCCTTACCTTCGGAGGTTAACCGGCAGAAGGGCCTTAGCAGCTCCGAGAAATTCAGGTTGTTTTTACGAGTCACTTTCTCCGCATCTTCGCTACACAGGACCGCCACCATCGGGACAAACGAGTCCTGGATGAACTCCTGCACCGACTGTACGCACTGAGCCATTGCGTCTGCTTGAGAGGCCCAGGCTACGAAAATGTATTTATCTCTGGATTTAGATAGTGAAAAAGCTAGCTATCCGCTTCTGAGATGAAAATAACTCCCTTACCGACCGTGCAAGGCAGCCATGTTGAATTCTACAGTTGCCTGCTGATCGATTCGCTTACTGTCGAGCAGCAAGGTGGTGGTCATGTTATTGCCGCATTCAAACCAATTGGGAACTCGGAAATCTTCGACTTCCGAGTTCAGTGCGTTCAAAACAACTGGGAACTCGGAAAAAAACTAGCTCCGACTGGGAAAAATCGATTTGAACTGTCATCCAACTCGGGAACTCGGGCATCTCTCTAGAGCTCCGACCTGAAGTTCACTGACGTCATGATTTGACCTGGTATTTTTCCCAGTACCAAGGTGTTTTAAACGCAGCATTTGTAGTGAGACCAGACAGTGGCAGCTCAATCGATGCGTGGCTTGCTACGCCTCTAGCTGCTGGTCTAAGGGCGTTTTCACCCAGTTTGAGCCAAAGTTCGAATCAAAATAAAGTTTGATGATTTGTTACAGGTCCGTGTACTTTTTGCCCAATTCATATTTCCTATTAGATGACAAGATCCAAAATGAGTAAGGAGTCGTTCCTCGTTTATTTAATTTGAATCTGAAATTAAACAACACAAAAACGTTTTTTTTTTCTTGTTTTTTTTTTTCTAAAGGAAATATTAAATAACGAGATACTGGATAATGATTTGATTATTCAAATATTGTGTTTTTAAGAGCCTGTCAATTCCACAACATTTACAACGTTAACGACTATGTGCCAATTTATGCTTGATCTTTAAATGTGGTCGGAGACACCATATGGAGGGTGTGACGCAATAGCGGCGCCTCAGGAGGACCACAGAGGCCAAATTGAGCTCCATATCGCATCGCGGTCAGCCTCCGAAATTTTGTAACAATGCAGAAGGCTCCATATAGTTCCGCATTGACATGATTGGTTGACGGTAGGTGGGGGTGGGAGGTCCTGTAGAAACACAAACTCACTTCCTTGGTGGTGAACAGGGTTGGCATCTATGCCTTCATGTGTAGCGTGATGAATATGAGTGATCAGGTTAAGAAAAAGTCTGTAAGCATAGAAGTGGTGGTATGCGCTGCCAAAGATTTCCTGGGAATTACATAAGCAACTGGAGTAATGATGCATGATATTTTGAATCAGCCAAGAGGTGATGGGTTGGAACAACCTATTTAGCATGGTTTTTGTGGTCCTTCAATAGAATGCTAGAAGCTTAATAGCTAACAGGCAGAAGTTTAAGAAGTTTGTATATGACATGGATGTAGTACTAGATGCAGTGTGTGTCCAAGAGGCATGGCTGAAACCTTAACTGGAGTTTGTGATTCCGGAATTCAGTTTGGTGCGGTGTGATAGAGTGGAGGGGTCAGGTGGTGGGTGGTGGGTGGTGCTACGTTCATTAAAGAGGGAAGGTGTACAGCGTACTGGAGATACAGGATTTGGAATGTGTGGGGATAGAAATATGTAGGAATAGAGGTAACATTGTAATAGTTAATTTCTATAACCCCTGCAAACCTCTCATGTTAGCACAGTTCGAATGGATTGATGGGACGTGTAGGGTAGGAAGGTAATATGGTGATTTTAAGGCCCAAAATGAAATCTGGGAAAGTACGCATAAAGATAACAATGGTAGTATAGTTGAAGAATGTATGGATAACAGAGGATTAGTTTGTGTTAATGATGGGAGGGGGACTAGAATCAGTGTGGTGAGGGGTACAGAGTCATCCTTGGACTTGACATTGGTATCTGCGGCGGTGGCAGGGAGGTGTGAATGGAAAGTGATGCGAGAAACCATGGTAGGGAGTGATCATTTTCTGGCTGGATGTCATGTCAATATTGATGTGTGTATGCAGAGTAGAGGCAATAACATGAGGTTGTGCTTTGAGAAAGCTAACTGGAAGATGTTCAAGTACCTGGGCGGGGCCAAATGTTATCAATGGAGGGGTCTGTGGATGAGTGCGCTGAGGCAGTAACGTCTGTAATTATATCAGCTGCAGACGGGACTGTTCCAGAGTGTTCTGGGGAGGAAGACGGCAGGTGGTGCCGTGGTGGACAGATGAGTGCTCAAAGGTGGTGCAGGAAAGGAATAGAGCTCTACGGGAACTTAAGAATTGCTTGACAGAAAGGACTCTCATGGAGTATCAAAGGAAGAGAGCGATGGCAAGAAGAATGATTAAAATGGCGAAAAGGGAGGCATGGCAGGAATTTTGCTCCACTATTGGTAGAGGGACCGAAATTGGTGCGGTTTGGAAAATGTTTTGAAAATGATAGGGAAGGGTAAAAATGCTGGAATTCCAGTGTTGGTAAAAGAAACGTCACAGCTGTATCAAGTAAAGAAAAGGCAAATGTCCTAGGTGGTGCATGTGAGCACCTATGTGATGAGAGTAAGAAGAGACGTAAGGAAAAGTTAAAGGAGCATGGAGATGTCTTAAAGAGAAAAGGGGAGTCAGGAGAAGCTATGGATGCAGAGTTCTCTATGTATCAGATGACATTGGCGAAGGAGGGATGCGGGCGGACTGCTCCTGGAGAAGATAGGGTGTGTTATGTGATGTTTAAGCATGCACCGAACAGTGTGTTGGAAGCAGTGTTAGGGTTGTATAATAAGGTGTGGAGGACTGGGGTGATACAGTGGGGGAAAAAAGTATTTAGTCAGCCACCAATTGTGCAAGTTCTCCCACTTAAAAAGATGAGAGAGGCCTGTAATTTTCATCATTAGTACACATCAACTATGACAGACAAATTGAGAGAAAAAAAATCCAGAAAATCACATTGTAGGATTTTTAATGAATTTATTTGCAAATTATGGTGGAAAATAAGTATTTGGTCACCTACAAACAAGCAAGATTTCTGGCTCTCACAAACCTGTAAATTCTTCTTTAAGAGGCTCCTCTGTCCTCCACTCGTTACCTGTATTAATGGCACCTGTTTGAACTTGTTATCAGTATAAAAGACACCTGTCCATAACCTCAAACAGTCACACTCCAAACTCCACTATGGCCAAGACCAAAGAGCTGTCAAAGGACACCAGAAACACAATTGTAGACCTGCACCAGGCTGGGAAGACTGAATCTGCAATAGGTAAGCAGCTTGGTTTGAAGAAATCAACTGTGGGAGCAATTATTAGGAAATGGAAGACATACAAGACCACTGATAATCTCCCTCGATCTGGGGCTCCACGCAAGATCTCACCCCGTGGGGTCAAAATGATCACAAGAACGGTGAGCAAAAATCCCAGAACCACACGGCGGGACCTAGTGAATGACCTGCAGAGAGCTGGGACCAAAGTAACAAAGCCTACCATCAGTAACACACTATGCCGCCAGGGACTCAAATCCTGCAGTGCCAGACGTGTCCCCCTGCTTAAGCCAGTACATGTCCAGGCCCGTCTGAAGTTTGCTAGAGTGCATTTGGATGATCCAGAAGAGGATTGGGAGAATGTCATATGGTCAGATGAAACCAAAATATAACTTTTTGGTAAAAACTCAACTCGTCGTGTTTGGAGGACAAAGAATGCTGAGTTGCATCCAAAGAACACCATACCTACTGTGAAGCAGGGTGGTGGAAACTTCATGCTTTGGGGCTGTTTTTCTGCAAAGGGACCAGGACGACTGATCTGTGTAAAGGAAAGAATGAATGGGGCCATGTATCGTGAGATTTTGAGTGAAAACCTCCTTCCATCAGCAAGGGCATTGAAGATGAAACGTGGCTGGGTCTTTCAGCATGACAATGATCCCAAACACACCGCCCGGGCAACGAAGGAGTGGCTTCGTAAGAAGCATTTCAAGGTCCTGGAGTGGCCTAGCCAGTCTCCAGATCTCAACCCCATAGAAAATCTTTGGAGGGAGTTGAAAGTCTGTGTTGCCCAGCGACAGCCCCAAAACATCACTGCTCTAGAGGAGATCTGCATGGAGGAATGGGCCAAAATACCAGCAACAGTGTGTGAAAACCTTGTGAAGACTTACAGAAAACGTTTGACCTGTGTCATTGCCAACAAAGGGTATATAACAAAGTATTGAGAAACTTTTGTTATTGACCAAATACTTATTTTCCACCATCATTTGCAAATAAATTCATTAAAAATCCTACAATGTGATTTTCTGGAAAAAAAAATTCCTCATTATGTCTGTCATAGTTGACGTGTACCTATGATGAAAATTACAGGCCTCTCTCATCTTTTTAAGTGGGAGAACTTGCACAATTGGTGGCTGGGTAAATACTTTTTTTCCCCACTGTCCCTGCTGGGTGGAAACGTGCGGTGGTGTCGCCATTTGTAAAACCAGGTAAAGATCCCGCTATGGCGGGCAGTTATACACTACCGTTCAAAAGTTTGGGGTCACTTAGAAATGTCCTTGTTTTCGAAAGAAAAGCAATATTTTTGTCCATTAAAATAACATCAAATGGATCAGCAATACAGTGTAGACATTGTTAATGTTGTAAATGGCTATTGTAGCTGGAAACAGCTGATTTTTTTATGGAATATCTACATAGGCGTACAGATGCCCATTATCAGCAACCATCAGTCCTGTGTTCCAATGGCACGTTGTGTTTGCTAATCCAAGTTTATTTTAAAAGGCTAATTGATCATTAGAAAAGCCTTTTGCAATTATGTTAGCACAGCTGAAAACTGTTGTGCTGATTTAAAGAAGCAATAAAACTGGCCTTCTTGAGACTAGTTGAGTATCTGGAGCATCAGCAATTGTGGGTTCGATTACAGGCTCAAAATGGCCAGAAACAAATAACTTGGTGTCTGAGTTTAAGTATTTAGGTATGTGGTTTGATGAGAGGCTTACATGGAAGAGATGTTGAGTATATTGAAATTAAGATTTTGGAAGGTGCTGAACCTCATGAGAACAGTGGCAGGATATGATTGGGGGTTGGATAGCCAAACACTGTTGTGTATGTATCAGGCATTGATCAGGTCATCTTTGGATTATGGGTGCTTTGTATATGGGTGGGCAGCCAAAACGGTATTACAGCGCCTGGATTGGATACAGTCAAGGGCCCGGAGATTGTGTGTGGGTACCTTCAGGACGACACCTGTTGAGGCCTTGCAGGTGGATAGTGGGGAACTGCCACAGAGGATAAGGTGGGACAAACTTGCATTAGCGTACTGGGCAAGGTTGAAAGGGAATTCAGAAGGACATCCTGCGGTCACGGCAACTGGGGAATGTTGGGAGCGAGGAGTGGGTAAGCAGAGGGCATACGGGTGGACAATTGGGCAGAAAGTGGTAGAAATGGACTGGAGGAGAGAGAGATAGGGCCGCCAATGTTATTGGGGAACGTTCCTCCATGGCTGTTTCCAAAACCAAGTGTAGATGTGGATGTGATTGAAGGTAGGAGAGAATGGGGTGAGGACGTGAGATGGGGTGTGGAGAGATATACAGTGCCTTGCAAAAGTATTCATCCCCTTTGGCGTTTTTCCTATTTTGTTGCATTACAACCTGTAATTTAAATTGATTTTTATTTGGATTTCATGTAATGGACATACACAAAACAGTCAAAATTGGTGAAGTGAAATGAAAACAATAACTTGTTTCAAATAACAAAAAAATAAAAATAACGGAAAACTGGTGCGTGCATATGTATTCACCCCCTTTGCTATGAAGCCCCTAAATAAGATCTGGTGCAACCAATTACCTTCAGAAGTCACATAATTAGTTAAATAAAGTCCACCTGTGTGCAATCTAAGTGTCACATGATCTGTCACATGATCTCAGTATATATACACCTGTTCTGAAAGGCCCCAGAGTCTGCAACACCACTAACCAAGGGGCACCACCAAGCAAGTGACACCATGAAGACCAAGGAGCTCTCCAAACAGGTCAGGGACAAAGTTGTGGAGAAGTACAGATCAGGGTTGGGTTATAAAAAACATCTGAAACTTTGAACATCCCACGGAGCACCATTAAATCCATTATTAAAAAATGGAAAGAATATGGCACCACAACAAACCTGCCAAGAGAGGGCCGGCCACCAAAACTCACGGACCAGGCAAGGAGGGCATTAATCAGAGAGGCAACAAAGAGACCAAAGATAACCCTGAAGGAGCTGCAAAGATCCACAGCGGAGATTGGAGTATCTGTCCATAGGACCACTTTAAGCCGTACACTCCACAGAGCTGTGCTTTACGGAAGAGTGGGCCGAAAAAGCCATTGCTTAAAGAAAAAAATAAGCAAACACGTTTGGTGTTCGCCAAAAGGCATGTGGGAGACTCCCCAAACATATGGAAGAAGGTACTCTGGTCAGATGAGACTAAAATTGAGCTTTTTGGCCATCAAGGAAAACGCTATGTCTGGCACAAACCCAACACCTCTGATCACCCTGAAAACACCATCCCCACAGTGAAGCATGGTGGTGGCAGCATCATGCTGTGAGGATATTTTTCATCGGCAGGGACTGGGAAACTGGTCAGAATTGAAGGAATGATGGATGGCGCTAAATACAGGGAAATTCTTGAGGGAAACCTGTTTCAGTCTTCCAGAGATTTGAGACTGGGACGGAGATTCACCTTCCAGCAGGACAATGACCCTAAGCATACTGCTAAAGCAACACATGAGTGGTTTAAGGGGAAACATTTAAATGTCTTAGAATGGCCTAGTCAAAGCCCAGACCTCAATCCAATTGAGAATCTGTGGTATGACTTAAAGATTGCTGTACACCAGTGGAACCCATCCAACTTGAAGGAGCTGGAGCAGTTTTGCATTCAAGAATGGGCAAAAATCCCAGTGGCAAGATGTGCCAAGCTTATAGAGACATACCCCAAGAGACTTGCAGCTGTAATTGCTGCAAAAGGTGGCTCTACAAAGTATTGACTTTGGGGAGGTAAATAGTTATGCACGCTCAAGTTTTCAGTTTTTTTGTCTTATTTCTGGTTTGTTTCACAATAAAACATATTTTGCATCTTCAAAGTGGTAGGCATGTTGTGTAAATCAAATGATACAAGCCCCCCAAAAATCCATTTTAATTCCAGGTTGTAAGGCAACAAAATAGGAACCTATTTGGCCAGATCTATTACCGCTCTTAGCATAAAAAATAATTGTTACTTTTTGCAATGGATCAATTTTGAATAAAAGCCATCAAAGTTCATTCGAGTTGCCTCTTCGTTAATTCGTTAATATTTCAAATACAATCGCAGAAAAACACAGGTTGGAAAGCAAATGGCTCCTGCTGTAAAGAGAAGACTAATCCCTCCATACTCAACTGGCGGACCGCTGACTGGATTCGGACCCAGAACAGGGTCATTGTGGACCACAGCTCCCCCCCAAAATAAAAAAATAAATAATAATAATAATAATTATATATATATACAGTGGGGAGAACAAGTATTTGATACACTGCCGATTTTGCAGGTTTTCCTACTTACAAAGCATGTAGAGGTCTGTAATTTCTATCCAGGCTCTGTTGCAGCCGGCCGCGACCGGGAGACTCATGGGCGGCGCACAATTGGCCCAGCGTTGTCCAGGGTAGGGGAGGGAATGGCCGGCAGGGATGTAGCTCAGTTGATAGAGCATGGCGTTTGCAACGCCAGGGTTGTGGGTTCGATTCCCATGGGGGGCCAGTATAAAAGAAAAAATGTATTCACTAACTGTAAGTCGCTCTGGATAAGAGCGTCTGCTAAATGACTAAAATGTAAATGTAAATCACAGGTACACTTCAACTGTGAGAGATGGAATCTAAAACAACAATCCAGAAAATCACATTGTATGATTTTTAAGTAATTAATTTGCATTTTATTGCATGACATAAGTATTTGATCACCTACCAACCAGTAAGCATTTCGGCTCTCACAGACCTGTTTGTTTTTCTTTAAGAAGCCCTCCTGTTCTCCACTCATTATCTGTATTAACTGCACCTGTTTGAACTCTTTACCTGTATAAAAGACACCTGTCCACACACTCAATCAAACAGACTCCAACCTCTCCACAATGGCCAAGACCAGAGAGCTGTGTAAGGACATCAGGGATAAAATTGTAGACCTGCACAAGGCTGGTATGGGCTACAGGACAATAGACAAGCATCTTGGTGAGAAGGCAACAACTGTTGGCGCAATTATTAGAAAATGGAAGAAGTTCAAGATGACGGTCAATCACCCTCAGTCTGGGGCTCCATGCAAGATCTCACCTCGTGGGGCATCAATGATCATGAGGAAGGTGAGGGATCAGCCCAGAACTACACGGCAGGACCTGGTCAATGACCTGAAGAGAGCTGGGACCACAGTCTCAAAGAAAACCATTAGTAACACACTACGCCGTCATGGATTAAAATCCTGCAGCACACGCAAGGTCCCCCTGCTCAAGCCAGCGCATGTCCAGGCCCGTCTAAAGTTTGCCAATGACCATCTGGATTATCCAGAAGAGGAATGGGAGAAGGTCATGTGGTCTGATGAGACAAAAATAGAGCTTTTTGGTCTAAACTCCACTCGCCGTGTTTGGAGGAAGAAGAAGAATGAGTACAACCCCAAGAACACCATCCCAACCGTGAAGCATGGAGGTGGAAACATCATTCTTTGGGGATGCTTTTCTGCAAAGGGGACAGGATGACTGCACCGTATTGAGGGGAGGATGGATGGGGCCATGTATCGCGAGATCTTGGCCAACAACCTCCTTCCCTCAGTAAGAGCACTGAAAATGGGTCGTGGCTGGGTCTTCCAGCATGACAACGACCCGAAACACACAGCCAGGGCAACTAAGGAGTGGCTCCGTAAGAAGCATCTCAAGGTCCTGGAGTGGCCTAGCCAGTCTCCAGACCTGAACCCAATAGAAAATCTTTGGAGGGAGCTGAAAGTCCGTATAGCCCAGCGACAGCCCCGAAACCTGAAGGATCTGGAGAAGGTCTGTATGGAGGAGTGGGCCAAAATCCCTGCTGCAGTGTGTGCAAACCTGGTCAAGACCTACAGGAAACGTATGATCTCTGTAATTGCAAACAAAGGTTTCTGTACCAAATATTAAGTTCTGCTTTTCTGATGTATCAAATACTTATGTCATGCAATAAAATGCAAATTAATTACTTAAAAATCATACAATGTGATTTTCTGGATATATATACAGTGGGGGGAAAAAGTATTTAGTCAGCCACCAATTGTGCAAGTTCTCCCACTTAAAAAAGATGAGAGAGGCCTGTAATTTTCAACATAGGTACACATCAGTGGGAGAACTTGCACAATTGGTGGCTGACTAAATACTTTTTTCCCCACTGTATGTAAACCACCCCCTTCTGCGAACATGCCTTCTGTGATGTTGGTTACAAGGCGGTACTTATTTAAATTAGGTAAGATAATAAGATGTAACCATTGGTGTATTAAAATTAGGCTTTTTGTGATTTCACAAAAATCACTTAATAATCCCACCTCCATCCCGCCTCCTAATCCAAGTGTTTGACATGGTGAGGGGACCAGTAACTTTGATGAAACTTTATCAATGTAGAAGCAACAGTAATTTGTCATACTTTGGTAGTCCTACTTTGATCTGGTTTCATCCAAATTTCATCCAATTTCATGAAAAACATGATAAATGTCAAATGTATTATTATTGATTATTTAATAGTCCCCCATTAGCTTATGTAGGTAGAGGAAGACTAAGGAACAATCGACAGCAGAACCAGCAATACACACATAATTACACACACACACATGGACATGCAACCACATACATAATACAATCCTCCAGGAAAGAAATATGTTTGATTAAATTATTATAGTCAAGTCAACTATATACAAAGACATTAAATGGAAAAGTATATAAAAGCTAGTGTCAATATTATAGTTGATAGATTTTATGATAGATTTATCAAAATATTTCTACACTATGTAACATGTAATGAATTAGTGTTTATTTATTGGCAGTTAGACTAGTTGCAGTAAATTAGATTTCATACATTCAAAAGAAAGAAAATAAAACTATCAACGTTTGACAACATTACAATTTTCACAAATGTTTGTGAGCAGCTTTAGCATCAAAATATTGCACACAACTTTTTGAACATATTACTTAGTACACAAATCATTATGACATTGTTATTGCTAAATTGCTAGATTATAAATTATATCAGTCAAGATCATCTTGGATTCCGGTTGGCATCCCGGAGAGACTCAATAATGGCATATTGCACGTTCAATGTGTCGGTTTGGTGGATATTCTGTGGACCAAAGAAACATATTTAAGTGTGTGTGTGTGTGTGTGTGTGTGTCTGTCTGTCTGTGTGTGTGTGTGTGTGTGTGTGTGTGTGTGTGTGTGTGTGTGTGTGTGTGTGTGTGTGTAGCCTACCGTGTAGTCCTCGGCATAGTAGCAGTGTCTTAGGTTCAAATGTCTGATGAAGTTCCTGCTGATTTGGTTTGGGTTACCGTGTGGCAGAGAGACACACACCGGGCACACCTAGAGGGCACCAGAGAGCAACAATCACTCAAAGCAACAAAGTTTCAGCCCAAGTGGCCAACAACTCCCTAGAACTAGAGACTGGGGACAAGGACTCCCTGGAGGCAGTGACAATTGTTACTAAGGGGACTATCATGGTTAAACAACACAAAATAAAACTAAATTATATTTCAGCAACTGACGACTTATAACAGATTTATCACTGACCACGGGCCTGTTGTCATAGTGATGGTTGTCATAGTGATGGGGGGGGGGCAGAGAGAGAGATAAACAGAAAAAGATAAACACAGAGAGAGTGAGCATTAGAGAAAAAAAATACGAAAAAATGTAATACTGTCACACTATCAGGTAACATTTTTAATGATGAGTCTGCAGCAGAGGAGGCTGGTTGGAGGAGCTATAGGAGAACAGGCTCATTGTAGTGGCTGGAATGGAATTCATGGAACGGTATCAAACACAAATATATGGAAACCACATGGTTGACTCCGTTCCATTGATTCCATTCCAGTCATTACAATGAGCCCATCCTCCTATAGCGCCTCCCACCAGCCTCATCTGGTCTGTAGTAGTCTACAATGAGAAGCAAATGTATAAGAATCTAACATACTTTAATCACCACAGACAAGCACACTAATGAGAACACACATACCAATGGTGACTTACTCATCATCAGTGAAGGAGAGGGAAGGTGGATTGCGAAAATTCAGCCCTGCAGTAATGACTGTGAATTAGCCAGTACAGGGGGAGCTAATGTAGAGGGCATGGAGGTGGGTCTTTGAGCTGGGGGTGGTGTGTGCTGAGGAATGGCCAATGGCTGTGGTCCTGGGGCGCAGCGAGTCCTGGGGTCGGGTTAGGTGTGGTAATAGGAAGCCACAGAGGAAAGAGAGGGGGCAGATGTTCGAGCCATAGTCATGCATGCACCATTGGTAGGGGCAGGAGGAGTGATGGTAGGTGTGATGGCAGGTGTGATGGTTGGTGTTTGTGAAGTAGGGGCAGCAACAGGAGTAACAGATGTATGGGTCATAGACATATATAGGTCATCGGCTGGGGCAGGGGGAGTGATGGAGGAGGAAGGTTTGGCGAAGAATCTTGGGGTGGGAAGGGGAGGGGCTGTAGTGACTCTGTAGCTGGGCTCTGATTGGCCATGCTCCTTCCTGTTGCCTGAGTAGCTATTTGTAGTAGTCTGCTCCGGCAACAACAACAAAAAACCGTAGGTATGCAATCAGTCAACCTTTAGGTCCTTATTGAAACTGTCAGTGCATTCATTGTAACCCTCTGAATAGGATGCTTAGATCACAGGAGGTTGGTGGCACCTTAATTGGGGAGGACGGGATTGTGGTAATAGCTGGAGCAGAATCAGTAGAATGGTATCAAATACATCAAACACATGGTTTCCATGTGTTTGATGCCATTCCATTCACTCCGTTCCAGCAATGATTATGAGCCATCCTCCCCTCAGCAGCCTCCTGTGGTTTAGAAACATAATGTACTCCAAGGGACTCTACATGGTTCTGCTGTATTTGGCTCTGTGGGTTTGGCTGTGTCTAGACCAGTCACTCACTCACCTCTGGATATCCCCTGTCACAGGTCTAGTTGCTGGGGTGGAAAGCCCCAACAAGCCAGGGAGAGGTTGACCCAACCTGACGACTGTGGTCCTCGTCTGGACTCTGAAAGTGACATCAGTGGCACCAGCAGGCATTATGTCATCAACCCGCGCCTTAGCTCTGCACACAGGGCAGTGGGGTAACCACTTTAAAGAACACGTCAGACATAGTCGGCAGAACCTGCAACACACACACACACACAGTGCATCATTCAGTTAAATGCATAAGCAACATGCATCATTGTGGTAATGGTCCACTGATACAGTGGGCACATTCTTCAGTCATGAAGTATACACTTACAGGAAGAATCAAACCTACAAGAACCTATTTCCTAACACTGCAGCTATGTCATAAATCCAGACTACAGTGATCATAACATTGAAAGGAAAAGGCTAAAGTACTCTCATCCACATTTTGATAGGCTACCTCTCTCAGAAGAGGAATTGCCATATAAGTATAATATTTGGTACAGTCAGGGGATTTTTCTGTGGTGTGAGGGAAGATTCCCCTCATGTAAAGACACACTATCACTTTCGCCAAAAGTTGGCAACTTGTTATTGTTATTTACCAGCAGTGGAAGGTGTGGAGGAAGTAAAGAACCTGTTCATTACTTAGAGTATAAAGTCATTCGTCAAATCATAGCATATCATCTTTGACAAGGCATCCATAAAATAAACTGTAGTCTACTTTACAAACAATTTGATGTCAAGCTCATCTCAGTAGTTTATCATATTACTCAAGAAACATCAATGTTAAGTTTGTACACAGATACTATTGTCTTTGCACTGTGCTGATGGTCTTTATTGACAAAAATAGAGAATTCATAGAAAACGTATTTGAGAGAGTTCAGACACTGAATTAATTATATTAGGGAGAATGACCTATTTGGGGTTAGAGACAGTTATAGCCATCAGCTCTGGGAGCTCACAGCTCACTGCTACAGTGTAGCTTCTGTGTAAAAGTGAACCTACTTCAATTACTCAATACTCAAATACTCAATTTAAACAGAAAGACCAGGCTACAAATTACGTTACAGATTAGGCTACAAGCTGTGCTATAACACTAGATAATATGACAATAAAAAGGAGGTTACTCACACATGAGAACAGGCAGCAGGGTGATGTGGGTCCGTCAAGGTGCTCATACAGATGGGACACTCATCCTCAAATGTGGTCTGTAGGCCTGCTGCAGAGTGGGCCATACTTGGGTTGGTACAGATTCTCTCTCCCAGAGAGCTCCCAGAGAGCCCTGGACAGAGTACACTACAGTCTCCCCTGGGGCAGGAGTGGTGTGTGTGAGGCAGCTACTGTACTGCCTTGCTAAAAAATACCTGGCTGGCTACTTCCCTACCTCAGAGCACAGCCTCTTACCTACAGACCCAGCCCGTAGGAGGGAAACTCCAATCAAACAGCTGACTTTGTTCTTTAGTCCCAGCCCAGGGACTTTCTGGACTGTCTTTACTGAAAGCAAACTCACTTTCCGGGAGAGGGTGTGTGTTTGTGTGTGTGTGTGACAACCAGGTTCTCAGGATAAGGCATGACAATGAAGACTTGAACTGGGTAGTCGGTATCCAGGAAGGCACATCACACAGTAGTACAAAAAAATATAACAGCTTTTATTAAAAGGGGCAATGTGCAGTTCCTACATCCATTTTGTTGACTTGTAAATTAATGATATGTACCCATTGTACCCATGGACTTCAAGAATATAACTTAGAAATGCTTCATGAGCTTAGTTCAACTGTAGTACCCCATCTGAAACCAAAATATAAGCTTGTTTTAAAATGGAAACAAACACTGTATAGCCTCAAAATGGTTAAAACTATACTTTTGATATCATGGATGGTCAGTCATTGCATCCATAGCACTGTCTATGAATTTGAGAGTGGTTACATTTCTCTAGCCAAATCCCTCAGCTGTTTATCAATAACAGTGGCGGGGAACACGCTTTGTTATTGTTTCAACTGCTGATTGGCACTTTAAAAAATTAATATTAAAATAGTACACAAGCTGACAAAACATAAGCATTACCTTGCTGGCTGTCTTTAAGTCCAGACAGCCAAACACAAATTGTACTCATTGCAGGATACTTACAGCTAACACATTAACACAAACACACAGAAACTGGATAGAAGAGGAGAATGGCGCTGCAATGGATAGCTCACGTTTTACAGGTTTCTGACAATTCTGCTGTTTTGTGTGATTTCTTGTACATAATGTTTCCGCCATTGTTTCCTATGACCGAAAATAGCTTCTGGACATCAGAACAGCGATCACTAACCTCGATTTGGTGAACAAACTGGACGGGCGCCGTTCGAGACTATCCTATCAACGGGACCTGAAGAACTGTAATATCTTATGCTTCTCTGAGTCGTGGTTGAACAAGGACATGGATCATATACACTTGCCCATTCGCCCTGTTAGTAACACTATCAAAGTTTCCCTTTACTGTGGCAATTGTAATCGAGTCATGGTGTTAGCAGTGTCATGCTGTGGGGATGTTTTTCAGCGGCAGGGACTGGGAGACTAGTCAGGAAAAAGGGAAAGATGAACGGAGCAAAGTACAGAAAGATCCTTGATGAAAAACCGGGGGGGCTTCCAAAAAGAGCGCCCTAAAAAAAGGCCCAAAAATAAAAAAAACTGGGGGGAAAGGTTTCTTTTTCCGGAAAACCCCCTTTAAAACCAATCCAAAGAAAGGGAGGGTTTTAACGATTAATGCCCCGGGGTTTTTGGGGCCAAAAGGGGGAAAGGGGGGGCCCCAAAAACCCCTCTTTTTTTCCCTGAAAAACCCAGGGGGAACCCCCCCTTTTCCCCCTAAAAGCGAGGGGGGGCCCAAAATCCTAAATTTAAGAAGGCAAGCTTGATTTTCCCGGGGAAAAATCGCGGGAATCGGGGGCCGAAAGGGGTTTCAAAAATTTTGAGTGGGGGCCCTAAAAAAAATTTTAAAACTAATTTGAACCACCAAGGATTAAAAGGGCTTTCCCCAACCAAATTGGGTTTTGGTTTTTTTTTTTTTTCCCAAACCTGTTTTTTTTTTTCCCCGGGTTTGGTTGGAAATTGTAAAAAAACCTGAATCAATTTTAAATACAGGATGTAATGTAACAAAATGTGGAAAAAGTCAAGGGGTCTGAATACTTTCTGAAGTCTAGCCACTCTGCCACTGGGAGAATCTCAATTGCATACTCCCCATGTCCTTTCTCCAAGCCTCCTCAAAACCCATAGGATGAATAAAGCCAGAGGTCCCTCCCCTCTGACCTTTTCCTCCAATGGGTTTTAAGAAGGAGGGGAGGGCAGATATCCTAACATAGCAGGCATAAAAGAAACACCTGAAACTATATCCCCTACATAATGGACTTGACGAGAATAAAAAAACAAACTGTTGGTGGAGGTTCTCTTCTGCATTGTTCAACCAATCCAGTAAATGTGGAGGAGGACTTAAGATGTAGTGTCGCCTTCTTAGGGTCCAAAAGTGGAAGTTGGGTCACAGGCTCTCTTTCCATTTCCCCTGAAAACCGGAACATCCGGTTGTTGCGGACTCAGCAGAGGCTAGGCAGCAGGTAGCCTAGAGGTTAGAGAGGCGAGTCAGCATCCAGAGGGTTGCCAGTTTGAATCTCGTGTCTGAAGTGAGCTGGCAACTGGAGTGAGTTCATAAAAATGTACTGAAAGGAACTAAGTGTGAAAACACCCAAAGAGATTAAAGGGGCTTTCACACCAAATTGGTTTGGTGTGTTTTTTCCAAACTGTTGCATTTACCCCCGGGTTCGTTTGGACTGGTGTGAACACTATCTGCACTCGGGAGTTCACTAAACAACTCACTGTGATTTGCTCAAAAAGAGTGGTCTCGGGCTGATTCCATTTGTACCGTGGTGCGGTTTACTGCAGGTGAGAATGCAGTCCGGACCAAACACAGGAAAATAACCAGATGTGAGCAGTATTATTGGTTGTTTGACTGCGAGCATTTGATCAAATGCACGCAGCATCATAACTTGATATCTCTGAAACATTATGTGAGTAGTAGCGCACTTATGAGCGCATCTGAAGCAGATTAGGGGAGATGGGGGCTATACTGGCGGGGATATATCAATGCTGTATCATTGGGATATACACTGAGTGTACAAAACATTAGGAACACCATCCTAATATTGAATTGCACCCCATTTTGCCCTCAGAACAGGCTCTATTCGTCGGGGCATGGACTCTACAAGGTCCCGGAAATGTTCCACAGGGATGCTGGCCCATGTTGACTCCAATGCTTCCAACAGTTGTGTCCAGTTGGCTGGATGTCATTTGGGTGGTGGACCATTCTTGATACATACGGGAAACTGTTGAGTGTGAAACACTCAGAAGCGTTGCAGTTCTTGACACACTCAAACCGGTACACCTGGCACCTACTGGCAGGTAGTTTAGTGGTTAAGAGCATTGTGCCAGTAACTGAAAGGTCACTGGTTCTAATCCACGAGCCGACTAGGTGAAACATCTGTCGATGTGCCCTTGAGCAAGGCACTAACCCTAATTGCTCCTGTAAGTCGTTCTGGATAAGAGCGTCTGCTAAATGACTAAAAATGTAAACTGTAATAGGCACTTAAATCGTTTGTCTTGTCCATTCACCCTCTGCACACATACACAATCTATCTCAATTATATACCTCGATTTTTTTTTACTTGGTCGGGCTTCGACCCCTGGTATCATATAAATACACATAAGACATGGAATAATGCATAAAATTGCAGGAAAATCGGGTTAAAACAGCAAAAAAAATCTCTGCAACATGCAAAATGTGTAGAATTGCAGGAAATTAGATTTAAAACTGCAACATTTTCTCTCCGCCAACAAGAGGGTTGTGAACAGTTTGGGGTCGCATGGGTTGCGAGGTGGTGGTTTGCTACTACGCCGATAAATTACATTATCCATCTGGACCTTTGCTACCTAGGAAATTTGTGTGACCGGACCTTCTCAAATAGTACTTGAGTACCCCTGCTCTAATCTGTCTGCTGTAGGCTGGCAAAAATATTTGATAACTTCCAAATATTGTTTTACAAAGTAACAAGGTTTTACAAAGTAAAACAAGAGAGAGATAGGCTTTTGGCACTAGGGCCTTGGCCATCACCAGTGAGTGAGCTGCACATCATTGGGTGAGTCAGTGAAACTGGAAAGCATTTTTAGGACTATAATTTCCTCATTGTAGACTACAATATGTGTCTCCCTACACCTAGGCCTAGGCTACTGATGGAATCAAGACAAGTTTGTTGTTAATGATATCAGACTCTCAGCTTGTCAGTGTCAAAGTCGCCTGTCATTTGTGTGGTATTAAAAAAGATTCTACCAGTCTCCAGTCATGTAAAATGACATAGAATTGCATGAAATTGTACTTCAGTTCAAATACTTTCAAGTACAACTTAAGTAGCTTTTTTGGGTATCTGTACTCTACTATTTATATTTTTGACAACTTTTACTTTTACTCCACTACATTCATAAAGAAAATAATGTACTTTTTACTCCATACATTTTCCCTGACACCAAAAAGTACTTGTTACATTTTGAATGCTTAACAGGACAGCAAAAGGGTCCAATTCACACACTTATAAAGAGAACGTCCCTGGTCATCCCTACTGCCTCTGATCTGGCGGACTCACTAAACACAAATGCTTCATTTGCAGTGGTGTGTATTCATGGATGCCAAGGGAAGCAAGGATTCCCAAAAACATTGACCAATAAAAAAACATATAATAATGTATCTTTCATCTCTCTGTGTTTCATAATTTTCCTTCAATTCGCAAGAGGCTGAATGCATCTCACAGGAGAAAGCATCCGAGCAAGCGAAACAGCGCCCCTCTGTCTCTCTACGTGTAGGCCATCTATCTGATGCTGTCTGGTTCAAACGAGTATGACATTGTTGCCGTCCGTAGCATTGAATGCAACTGAAGCCAGCTGGCATCTGGCCTCCCTTGACAAAAAAGTATACAAAATTAGCCAATCAGCGTTGCGCTAAACTGAGCAAGCTCAACTGTGAATGGTCCTGGCGCACCAAATAAAAGTGTCAAGGGAAGCCAGCTTGGATTTGGCGTCACTCCTATCAAATCCCATTGAGAGCAATACGTCATTGACAGAAAAACTTGAATTGTTGCATCTCGTTGTGTTGTTGTCCTCCGGTGGCAAGCTAGCAAGCTAGCTAAACATTGGCCCTTTCCTAAATTAGCCATGGATGGAAATAGGGATTTTGACTTGTTTTACTTAATTCTCCCTACTGGCCAATGATTATAAAGGCGATTCTGATCCAACCATTAATTCATACATTGTGGTGCACCTGG